TCCGACCTAAATAATATTAATAATTTTAATAACCCCTACTCCCCTAACGAGTATAACGAAAGTATACGGGAAAATGCTATTAATTTATTTACTATTATAGATAACCGTCCGTGCGTATTAGAGAAATACTCCCTATTGGGACTCCGGCGTACCCCCGACGTACTAAAAATTATTATACTTAATAGTATTTATATTTTTACTGAAGATAGGGATCTAGTACGCTATATAATAGCCTTAGTTGATAAATACCCCGGTTTGTAGGAAGAAGGTGGAATAATCGATATTCCTAAGTATAAAATAATGAAAATCCCTTTAGTAGAAGGATAGTAAAACTAAAAAATAAGTACCTATCTATACCCCTTAAGCCGTAAAGACCGGGAAGTCGTTAACGAAATCTTCGATAAACTTCGAATATAGGGCAAGTTTGACGATTGCTTAGAAGCTACCCCTTTCTTATACCCTATTTTCGTAGTATAGAGAATTATTAAGGATAAACCTAAGGAATACCCTGTTGTTGACCTCCGTTCGTTAAATAAAATTTTAATTCTTAACAATTACTTTCTACCTTATTAAGAATCTATCATCGGCTGAATAAAGGGTAAGCAATTTATTATAATTATCGACGCCGTATTATTTTTCTACTAATTCGGAGTATAGCCCCCTTATAGAAATAAATTGATTATAATTATTTATAGAGGTTTAGAAACCTTACGAATCGTCTTTATAGGATATTAAAATTCTCTAGCCTATATTTAACACTTTATAGACCGACTCTTAGCGCTATACGCGATATATTATTGCGCCTTTATTAATAATATCGTAATTGCTAGTAATATTGCCGAGGAATACTTGAATTATTTGAATGCTATTTTCAAATTATTTAACGATAAGAATATTTCTATTTTACCTAAGAAGTCCTTTATTGGATTTCCAAGTATTAAATTGTTAAGTTTTTGTGTTAATACTCTTGGATTAATATTAATTAAGGAAAGGATTGAAGTTATGTAAAAATTAGATTTCCCGGACTAATTAAAAGTATTAGAAATATATATTAGTAGTATTAGATTTTTGAAGTATTTAATTCCGTACTATACTTAGTTAATCAAACCCCTCTAGGAACGAAAAGTTAAATTATTAGCCGAAGGATAAAAAACCGGAGTTCTAATTATTAGTAATATTAGTAAGTGTATAGTATATGTAATTAAAACTAAGTACGAAGCGATAAAGTAAGAACGGACCTCTTTTAAAACCGTTTAAAACGCTATTTGTAGAAGAAATAGTATTGGCGGTGTCCTTTACTATATAAACCCGGACTAAATATTATTTATTTAATTGGATAGTTCCCTAAAACGAAGGAATAGTATAATAATTTTTCACTTGAAAAACGGATATAATTAGACGCCTAATACTAATATCCCTTTAATAATAGTACTACCGGTAATATTTTTGAATAAGTGTTTAACTAAAGCAGAATTACGATATAGATTATTGGAATTGGAAGTTGCCTGCTTAGTATAGGCCGTCAAAAAGCTACGTATTTATATCTATTTATTAAACTACTCTATTATTATCCTTATTAATTATATTGCGATAAAGGGAATTATTAAATAGATTACTTTGTAGATGTGTTCTACGGACCGAGTTAACCGAAGGCTAATTAATACTTTAGTATACTTATTATAATACAATCTAGAAATATACTATATTCTAAAACGCTTGAATTTCGTCTTAAACGCTTTAAATCGTTTTAAATATATTAACAATAATAACAACCTAAATAGAGAAGCAGTTCTAAATATTATTTAATTTACTATAGCCGAGCTATAAATAGACCCAACTTTAAAGTAGCACATTATCGACAGATATAATAAGGACCCTAAGTTCGTTAAAATTAAATTAGACCTTACAAAGGCGAAACCTACCGAGGATAATAGAAGTCTTTTCCAACCCGGGTACCTATTTATAATCAGCCCGGACGGATTAATTTATAATACTAGTAGCAATAAGACTAGGAGTTTGTATATCCCTAGATCCTATATCTAAGAAATTCTAATAATTATTTATAATAAAAAGTACTATTTCGGGAGAGATAGGATATTTTACAACCTTTGTAGTTTGGTAATAAATAATAAAATTCACTTAGTGAAAAAATATGTAGAATATTACCCTACCTACTAATTAAATTAGATTAGTAGAACCTAGCCTATAGGTAATTATTAACTATCCTAAATTAGTACTCTACTTATATATTTTATTACTATTAATTTTATTATTAGGCTTTCTAAAGTACTATCGGAAGAAACACCTTAGTAAATACCTGGATATAATACTTTTAATGTACTAATGACCGCTATATATTCGAATTCTAAAAGATTACTATTAATATTAGGGTACTCTACGTATACCGCTGATAATTAGGGAAGAATCTTTATAAGGCAATTTATTATCGCTAATTAGGGAATCCTAATAGGATTAATTTCTAATAAAAATAGGAAATTTATATTAGAATTCTAGTAAAGAATATGGAAAATATAGGGAACTAAATTATTAATAATAACCGTATACTACTTATAGGGTAATGGTTTCTCTGAATGTAAAAATTAAAGCGTAGAGATAGTTATATGCTTTTACTATTTCGAATACCCCGAAGCCCGCTAGATAGATATTATACTCCCTCTATAATAGAATTTCAATAGTGTATACTCCGATACCGTTAAATCGTCCCCCTACGAACTCCTTTACGGCTTTAAATTCCGTAGACCCTTGGACGCCCTAATAAAACCTTTAGAGGATATTAACGTAGAGTATAACATAGCCTTTAAAAAGCACCTCCGCTAAAATACGCAACTTACTATAGACTTCGCAACCGCCAAAGCTAAGGTAAGATACGACGAAAACTACCGGGATATTAAATTTAATATTAAGGATAAATTCTTTCTCCAACTCCACTACGGATACTACCTACCTAAACGACCCTTAAGAAAATTATTCTAATAATGTTCCGGCCCCTTTAAAGTATTCGAACGAATTGGCCGCTTGGCGTACCGGCTTAATCTTCTAGACAATATGAAAATTTACCCGGTTGTATCCTATACGCATCTCCTACCCGCTCCTAAGGATAAAGATCCCTTTACCCGCCAAATACCCCCGCCCAGCCCAATAAAGGATTCCTAAGACTCCGAAGAAGATAGTAAAAAGTACGAAGTAGAAGCGGTATTCGATTATCGGGTAAGAAGACGATATAAATTATAATATTTAATTAAATAAATAGGATAGGGAAATTAGTATAACGAATAGAAGATTGAATAATAGTTAAGATATTCTAAAGAATTAATAGAAGAATATTAGGAATAAAAAGGAGGCCGCCCCGAAGGATCTGCTTCAGGCACCCGCCGGGGAGGTTATAGCGTTTGTATTTGCTAGGGAGATATAACTAATATAATTAGGGAGGAAGAAAGCTAGTCGGATATAGATTGAAAGGAGATATAAAGGATAATTAGAGTAATAGACGAATATTATTGAGGATAGTAATAGCTTCTTTTGTAAGGCCGGGACTTAATATAGGATATATACAATAGAAAGATAGACTACCCTCCTGCCCGCCGGAACCCTCCGGTAGGCACGGGGCTGCCCAGCCGGCCTACAAAGGTTCTTACAACCTTTATTGACCGCCTTTGATAGGGCACCCATTTACAGGCAGAGTAGAGGCTTCTGGAAGCCTTGCAAGCACCCTATTTAACCAACGCTTGTAAGGCCGCCTCTGGCCTGCTCCCTTCCCTAGAAATCATCACGCTTCCTATTTAGAATACCAAATACAAGGTCTTCTACAGGAATCCCAGACTTCCGCATCAAATATATTAATTTTGATTAGTAAATCCTATACTTTATTAAATACAATCGCTGTACTAGTATTAAGATTAAACCTGAACTCTGATTAGGAGGTATTCTTTAAAATTATCTATATATACTATTTCTAATAAAATAAATCAATTTTATTATAAATTTAATTATTATTGGACGATAAATTGAAGCGTTTAATTATTTTAATAATAAGAGCATTATATATTTAGTTTTTATAATTATTCTAATTAGTTATACTATAACTGGCAATATTTTTTAAGAGGGTAAATAAATAAGATTCCTATTCGCCGTCCTATATCTAATTCTTAATAGTAGTACGATTTCTCTTCTTTTTCTAAATTTAATTAGAAGGGGGGGCTAGCTAGGGGATAATTAATTAGAGAGGAATTGGCTAGATTATAACTACAATTGAGACCCTATAGTTTGGGATTCCTCCTATGTCACACGCTGAACTTGACTGTCACTTATATAGGTATAAAAGCAGGCGGTTATTATTCTTAAAAAAATAATAAGGGAAGAGGGGGACGATAGTAAGCAACGAAGGGTATTATAGTAGTCAACAACACTACGATTTATATACTGGCTCAAATACGACGATTTCTAATTTCCAGTATTTCGATTACATTTTGGAAATCCCCTCGCGTAAGCACAAAAAGCGGGTCATGGCTAAGACCACCCACTTTTACTGGGATGGTTACGAGCTGGCCAGTGCGTACCACGTAAAAAGGATTTACTGGCTCCCTTTACTGGGCCATTTACTGCTGCGACGTTCACGCCCTCATTCGAAAAGCTGGAAATATCACCGTAAAGAAGGGTCTTTGATCCGATGACAAGACTCCCTAGGATCGGGGAACAACATGAAACTCTCACTCTCTTAACCCCACCCCCACCTAGAGAGAATGTTTGTGGATCTCTTCACCGCTCGTCTCTCCGCTCTCGATTCCATGTTTGGTGAGCATGATGGTCCGTGCTCCTTCGGCTACCTCCCCCGGGCACCAGCCGGCGGCGGTTCGCTTGGTTTGCTTGGAAAGTCTGGAACGAGGCGCTTCACCTACTGCGTAGTTTGTGGCGCACTTAACCCCCATCAACCAATCGAGCCAATCTGATCTCGAAAGTGTGTGTGTGTGGGCTGTGGAATTCCTTCAGCAGCGTCCCTAGCCACTTTTGGGGTGTCCAATCACAGTGAGGTCGGCTATCGACCGAGTCCCAGTGTTCCAGTCTCCATCGTTCGTCTGGTCTCGCTCGGTCCAGGTCAGGAACACCCGCAGACGCCCGCACTGCCAGGCAGGTGAACAAGGTGAGTCGAAACACCCAACTCGCAATCCAGCGGAGATAATGTGAATGAACAAGAGAAGATCATTGATCTTCCTCAACTCCATGAGTGAACCAGCATCGGCGCCAGTTACTCCGTTGGTTCCGTCAAATATCTGTCGTGTTACGAGTAACGCCTGCTAACAACGCCTGCACCCCGTACAAAGCCCGGGCGGAACGGAAACGAACACTGGCGCTCTGCAAGATAGACAAGCAGAGACATGCAAACCCACCAACCACCTCGTCGGCCTTGCTCTCGAGACCGTGAGAACGGTTCGTCAGTGGTTGGACTGGTTCAAAGAGCTTGCATTAGGGCCATGCCAAATCATCAATCTATTACCCCACTCGCACCCCGTGGGCTTGCAAATCTCGCGAGAGTCGTCGTTGTTGGATTGAGGTCGCGTTGAGTGCTTGCATCCACAGTTTTCTTCCCCTCATTCACCCACCTGCTCTTGTCTCGTCTCTTGAGTTTGTGAGACTGTCTCGTCCATGCAAAGTGTCGGTTTGCACTTGTTCTTGTGAGTCGCAGCGCCATTATCAAACATAAATAAGAAACGACAGGGCACAGAACCAATTCAATTCCGGCGTTACCATCCTCGCAAAATTTGCCCTTGCAATTGGAGACACGACAGCAGTCCGAACTTGGTTTGTGTGGGTGTGGGTGTGGGTGCCCGTCTGAGCCATCGTGATGGATGGTGGTCCGTGCGGTGGGTGACTGGTCTTGTGGATGAAGCTCGAAAACCTTCCATCGTGCGATCTTATTGATGCTCAAGGCAGTACAAGCGGCGAAACCACAAGAATGTCGGCAATGATGAAAGTGTCATGAGCGCAAAGCATCAAGAATTTGTTAGACGTGTGGGTTACGCTAAGCAACAAAACAACAATGCGGGTAAAACGACCAGGCGACAACAACGCGCTTAAAGCCAACATATCGATCAGGTTATCCAATGCCCCATCTATGATGCTAAGGAGTGTCCAAAACTGTGAGTACCATGCTGTTCGCAAAAATATGGGTGATGATGTGACCAAAGAAACAAAAGCCGGGACCCCGCGAAGATCAAAATTAAGTGGGTATGACGGGAAAAAAGCAGCCGTAAACTTGTCGCCATCACCCACCTAGGAGATGTAAACAGGAAGGCGATTGCCTCTGAGCTCGCTCTTGGGAAACTGTATGTCCTGCCTGTCGAAGTCGTGCAACTGAAGCCAGCACAGCATCCTGAAAATCAGAGTGCACCAGATGGCCTGGGCTTCGATGAGCTGCTCAGGGGCCAGGACAGGTGTTGTAGGCAACACTGGGGATTGCCCAACCGTAGACGTACTAGGTGTCGAAGCAGTGGCAGTGGAATCGGGACCCGATGCTCTTTCCGTTGGGGCCATCCCCAATCCACTGATGTCCGAGTCTTCGGTCTGCTGTGCCAAGGTATACGATCTGTGATTTATGTTCTTCATGCGCTTGCGCTTATCGTACGCTTTGACCGCACGATCGCTAACACAAGGAAGGACATGCTCAAAGTAGACTTTCATGAAGATGCCCTGCCTGTCTTCTGGGTTGGCGTCGCTGAGTACGTCGAAAAAGGCCGGAACCGTCTTCCCTGCTTTCTGGGAGCTGTCATCTCCTGTGTCGCCCGTTGTGGTTGACTTTGTACTCTCCTCCGGCTCGGGTTCATTGATCATCCTGAGTACCTCTTGGATGTGCTCGCGAACAACCATGGTGAGAAGATCGCGCTCACGAGTCTTCAGGTATTTGTCGCACTCCTGAATTGCGTCGTGTAGACAAGTAAGAAGAGGAAGGTTGTAGCCAGGCAAAATGGGTGCGTAGTCCTTTTTGGGCCGTTCTTCCGCTTTTGGAGGACTGCTTGCTTTGTATTCAATCAACCAACTTGGTCGTGTTCGTTTCCTTGTTAGCGATCGCTTGAGCGGACCAATGACTCCACCTTCAGATGGTACGTCACTTGAGATCTCCACATCCTTCTTCTTCTCGTGCCCTTCGTTTTCTTTGTCCTCTTTGTCTTTCTTCTTCTTTTCTTCATCAGCGGCAATTTCCGTATCCCTCTCCTTCTGTCTTGCTGCGACGTCCCTTCTATCGGTTTCCAGCTGTTCGAGGACTTGACTGATAAGCTTTTTCAGATCAGGAGTGTCCGGAGAGGGCGTCATGTATTTTTCCTTGTCAAACCTCGTTGAGAACTCTTTGATGAGCCTTGGGAGATCAAAGAAGCGCCTATCCCAGTGATACGGTGTCGGGTTCGGAAGCATGCGGTGGTAACTGTTTTTCATGTACAGGGATTGTCCAAGCATGCCGATGATTTCAAAGGGAACTATCCGATGTGGCCTGTCAGTTGAGTGTCGCTTCATAAGGGCACTTTATCTGACTTACCTGCGAACAGATGTTGGTGTCTAGCGTCCTTTGTCTTGAAGTAATTGGCTGTGCTAGTGTTGCATTCGAGCTGAACCATGGTCTCGGCAATCTCGCGCATGCTGCCAAACTGGAGCTCGTTGTCATCTTTAGCACCAAGCCTGCGGTTGTCCTTGGCCGTGTAGAAGATGGTGCGAACGTAGCCGAAGCACAGCTCCTTGATTTCATCAAGAGGTATGATTCTGTTTTCCTGGAAGCGGGCTTTTCCACATATCTGGAAGGTGAAGGTGAGGCCGAGATCGGGGACCGTGCTACCAGTGAGCATGAAACCGTTGCCTTCGGCGCGGTACTTGTCCCGTGATCGATCAAACTCCTTCCAGTAGATACCCAGCATGGATGCGATTTCGACTATGTGGCATATTGTGGTGGTAGCGTACGGCTTCTTGACGCCGGCAGGCATGTTGTCCCAGCTTCGAGGCTTGGGTTGAAGGGCAACAACCAAGGTGTGCTCTTTGAAGCCTGCTACGGCACCGGGGCCGGATTTCTGGCGATGCTCTGTGACCCAATTCATGTTTGCTCGTTCCATGGACTGAATTTCTTCCAACAGGGTGAGCCAGGTGGCCTTTTCATTATCGGCCGTATGAATACGGCTGTGTTGAAGGGCGTCGCGCTGTTGTGCGTTCTGCTCCTCTTGTGTCAGGAGCCGGGCCTTCTTCATGCTGTCCTTGGTGCCATCGAGAAAACTGATAGGAACCTTGAGACCCAATTCAGGCTTATCCATAGGGCCGCGGTCATTAGTTTGCGGACAAACGAATATGACGGGAGTCTCAAACTGGACCTCGAAACGGAGCTCTTTGAGCTGTAACTTTCGGTGTACCGTATCATACCAGCCGCCCTTGAGACTTTTGCGGCAGTTGGCGTAACCCGTGGCAGATGCAAGGTATTGCTGGACGACCTGTAGGAATGTTCCGATCAATGCCACGAGTGAGATGACGAGGGCGGCGGTCTCGACTTTGTCATCGCTGCTGCTCATGTTGACGATCTAGGGGATGATGCCCAGAGACAGGAACGGAAAGAGGCCGTTATGGACGAGTTGAGGTGGGAAAGCGCATGGGTGTATAATTGAATGTCGTTTCAAGCGTCGTAGTAGCAGTGGCCCGCGTCTGGGTATGAATGTATTCGTGATCGTGATGGTGGTGTTGTTGATTGGCAAGACGGTTCGGGGGAAGAGGATGGGGCTCTATCTAAGCAAGAAAAAGAGATGATGAGTGTTGGATTCGTAGCAGACAGACGAGGTTTACGAGAAGGGGCGCAGCCACATCAGTTGTGACAACAGCATACATAGCTTGGACTTGGAATACTACCTCGATCCAAGGAGGCTCTGCCGCCGCCACCGTGTGTACGACGGTAAACAACCATTTTGGTTGCGACATGCTGCAAGAAGGAAGCTTGGAATTGGTGATGGGGGTGGTCGGGGTGGTCGAGTCAGGGTCCATGTCGTGTGTGTACCCGACGAGGGTCGAGAAAAGTGCGGACAAGGCCACCAATGGTGGTGATGGAAATAATGGGGGACTCGATTAGTTGGAGATCAGCGGAGATGGCGGAGGCAGGCAGGGCACTGGAGCGGGACTGCGCTAACACTGCGCCAGGCCCGAATTTGACCTGCAGCAGGGGCAGTTTAGAGGTCCAGTACGCAGGAGGCAGGCAGACAGCCCGCGCTCCATCTCCATCATCCACCTCGTCTGGCCATCATGGTCAGTTCTTTCCACTTTAGGTCATCCTCTTAGGAAGGTTCTGGGTGACTCTTTTGGCCTGTCCATTTCATCGTGGGCGACCTCCGCAACAAATACCTGTAGGTATCCCCGGCTGTCTTTTTCGTCAGTCAGCCCCTTTGGCCTGCATCGCCACAATGTATATGCAAGTCCAAGGTGGTTTCTGAACCTAGACCACATTGAGTTGGCCTATCTCCTCTTCTTCAGGTGCGCCTTGTTGCCTGCGTGGCCAAAGAGGGAGGGGGTTACACTCACCAAACTGATTTGTTTACATGAGAACTGGAGTTACCCCTCCCAACAATGGGAAGCAACAGACAGACGAAGCCAGCCATGTTCGAGTCAATCAAAGAAGCCCCGCCGTCTCCACTGCCAATCCGGGGCGGACCGGGGCGAAACTGGGCGGACCGGCACGGAAGGGGGCCGTCCCTTGGGCCAAACACTAGTGTAGCATGGAAATCCATGTTCATGGTGTTGTGGTCCCCTTACGTAAAAGTGTCGGGTGATGAACGTGTAAAATGACCTTGAGCAGCAAAGGACATTGATGTCACTCCTGTTAAAGGGTTGCGTGACGGAGCAAAGAGCGCTAACAGTTCAACCAGTGTTTGTGCGGTTATTCTGTTAAACTACGCTACCAATTTAGACAACTTATACACTACACCACACGACCTACCTTGGCTTCCTCGTGGCAGGCAACGGCGTCCGGCCCGCGGGGCATTAAGGTTCTCAATCACCATCGTGACGTCACCAACTAGCTCGGGGAAAGAGCTTCTTGATCAACTTGTACCATTTCGGTTGTCACTCTTTTCTTGACTCGGAGTCCTGAATACACACAGGCAGTTGAGGAACTCCTTCTCTCTCCGTCTAGCAGCAAATCAACCTTTACACAACCCTCAGCGACAATATATTTTCTAGTCACCACCTCCCACAATGTCAAACAACAACACCACCTCCACCAAATACAGCGACACCCGAGAAGACGTGCCCACTCCCTCGCTCGCCTGCCACGACCCCGCCAACCCCTCCATCCCCGGCTCTCCCAAAACCACCCTCTCCTCCGCCCTCGAAACCGGCGCCTCCCTCGCTCAAGACTTCAGCCCCGTCAAGTCCATCTGCGCCCACCTCAACGCCTTCCACGTGTACGCCTCGGACCCCACCCGCTTCGTCGAAGCCAACCACTACTGCGCCCACCTGACCGAGGACGTGCGACAATGCATTCTCTACGATTCACCCAACCCGGGCGCCCGCATCCTGGGCATCGAGTACATGATCACCCCCAAGCTGTACGAGACCCTTCCCCAACAAGAGAGGAGGTACTGGCATACCCATGTCTTTGAGGTCAAGAGCGGCATGTTGATCATGCCCAAGCCTCCCGGGCTGATGCCGCAGGCGGCCTGGGAGAAGGCGGAGAAGACGGAGATGGAAAAGGTGGTTACCCTCTATGGCAAGATCTATCACTTGTGGCAGGTGGATAGGGGCGATAAGTTGCCCCTCGGAGAACCGCAGTTGATGACGAGCTTTACCGACGAGAGCCAGTTCCCCGTGGACATGGAAAAGGTGTTGGATGAGAGAGACCAACGATTCCCGGGGGCGGATTGGAGGGCTAAGAGAGAGGGTAGAAAGGATATTGAAGTGCCCGAGATGCATCCTGGTGAGTTTTTCTGTCCCTCGTGACCCTGACATGCCCTGGTCCTTTTTCTTTTCTTTTCTCAAAGGTACCTACGCTAACTGTTGGAACAACAGATGCGGATTGGACGTGGAAGAAGGACAAGCAGAAACAATGAACGAGAAACATATCTCTATCTTATCTAGATTGTAATGCATAATATAATGCAACGAACGTACACGAACGAATATTCCGCGACGCCGTAATTGCTACCAATATACAAGTAAACGAGAACACGATCCCGAAACCCCTCACAATGCCGTCAACGCCTTGGTCATCTCTCCAATCACAAACCGAGCACCATCCAGCCCGAGCTTGTATTTTGACCCAAACACGCCAATCGTAACTGCGTCGCCCTCGACGGCAACCTCCACATCGATTGTATCCTGTATCATATTGTTAGCATAAGCCGTCGGTCTGAGAAAAACCAACTTGATCAAACTCACCGGATACGCATTCCTAACCGCGTTGTTCTCGAGCTCCTTAGGCACGGAAAACTCCTGCTGGTCTTCGGCCTCTCCCATCACCTTCACTTCCTCCTCGCTCACCAGTTCCATCCTCACAGCCCCGTTGGAATCAAAGTTGGAAGAAGACACAGGCACACTCAAGAAGTTGACAAACCCATCCACCACCACTCCAGTCCACTCCTTGATCTCCCAGAGTCCCGCACCAACGTGTTCAGGATCAGAGATCTTGTACAGATCTTCTTGAATCCGCTTGGCCATGTCCACCAGGCTTTCTTGGACTCGAACGCGCAACGGCACAAGGCAGAGAGTGGGATATGGGATTTCAGAGAGGTCGGAAGAGCGGTTGGCAAGGTAAACTCCAAAGACCACGTCTCGGGATTTGGCCTGAATAGTTTCCGAGACGAAACGTGCGTAAGCAGCGAAGAAGAGGGCTTGGATTGAGACCCCTGCCGCGGCACACAGCTTCTTGATCCTGGAGACGTCCGCAATGGCATTGCGCTGGACTAGAGAAACGCGCCGCGAGGGTCGGGACTGATGCTTTGGAGCTGGTGCTGGTTGCCATACGGCTCCTGGCAGGAAACGAGAGAGTCCGTCTACAAGAGGTCGGAGGAGGTCGGGTAGCCAGGTGGATTGCGGTGATGGTGCTTCTTCTACCTTTTCTAGAGCTGATGCTGCTGTGGTCGACTCTGATCCTGTCGTTGAACTCGTTGCCGAAGTGTCCAGGTTGAGGTCAACAGGTGTCGACTTCGCGCCAGCAAGGTATTCCGTCCAGAACTGCTTCGCCCTCGCACTTTGATGTGTCTGCTGTCTGCTATACTCCTTCCAGACCTCAAGCGACTTGGAAGCATCCGCCTCTCCACTGATGCTGGCGCCGGCGCACAAGGTGGCGAGCCGGTTAACCATCATTGGCAAGCATATCGCATCGTACAAAGCATGATGGATCGTGAAGCTCAAGATCCAATCCCCGTTGTCAGCTTGTTGACCACCCATGGAGTTCAACGGTTGGACTAATCCACTTTGACCCTTTCTTGACAGACTTGACCACTGCTTTGGATCGATATCCTCAGCTGGGTTGTCCACCAGCGCATCAGGCCTGAGAATGACCTGCACTACCGGCTTTTCAGGCTGGTCATTTGCTAAGAAGATGGTCCGCAGAATGGGAAACTCGGCAACTACAGACTTCCAGGCCTCCGAGAGAGAGGACTTGCTGATGTTGCCGGTGAGACGATATGTGAAGGTCGCGTGGAAGACATCGCCTTGGGTGTTTTGCCAGACGGAGAGCATGTGGACTTGCATGGCCGTGGCATGAAGGACGGCCTCGATATTGTTGATTATCGGCCCAGCAGAGGAGGGAATGATGTCGGCTTGAGAGAATAGGGCGGTGATGTGCTTTTCGTCGATATGCTTGGGAGGCAGAGAGGTCTCGTTGACAGTGTTGATACCATTTCCAGTGTCATTCGGAGCCGGAGCTTCGGTTGACCTCGCTGCAGGCTGCTCTCCGGCCACAGTAGCAGCCTGAGCCATGGCGGGGACACTCTTCGCCTTCAACAGCTGACGGAGCGGGATCGATACCCCTTGTTTCCGTAGGAGAGAAACGACCTTGATGGCGGAGATGGAGTCCAGGCCCAGGTGGTAGATGTTGTTGCTCTTCTGGACCGTAGATACCTCCAGGCCAGCAACTTCTGCAAGGACAGACCTGATTTTCTCCTCCAGTTCCGACCACTCTCCACCAACATCTGCATCCTCTACTAAATCCTTGCCATCAACCGCAACGGTGTCATCATCAGTCGACGGAGTAAAACCGTCCAACCCACAAACACTCATCTTGCCCCCTTCAAATTCCAACACGTTCTTCTCCCCGCTCTCAACCAAATACCTCAACACCTTATCCAATCTCTCCAGCAACTCCTCCGCCCCCTTCTCGCCATCCACGAATCGTGAGTCGCACGCCGTTCTCCAAACCAATTTCTCCCCTCCATCTGCGCCAGAAACAACATCCATCTCCACACAAACGGGGTACTCAACCGCCGAACTTCCACCTACTGACCTCACCAGCGCTTCACCACCTGCTCCTGTGTTACCGCCGGGCACCCTTCTTTGCAGAACAAACAACGTGTTGAAAAGCTGTCCACCCCCTTTCACCAACCGCTGCATCTTCCGCAACGGAAAATGCTCCTTGCCACCGATATCGTTCGAAACACCTTGCATGTATCGCAACCAACTTTTTACGTCTCCATGCAGCACGCTTCTGACTGCAACAGTGTTCATGGTGGGGAACATGAGCTGTTCAGCTTCTTCTGAACCGGCGCGACCGGAGAGGACTGCGCCAAACATGACGTCTAGGCTTCGGGTAACGGTGGCGAGCACTGCGGCATGGCAGGCTTGACCAAGCGTTTGCAAGGTTATGGCGTGCTGTTTGGTGAAGGACTTGATCTTGTAGAAGTCAAGTTGGGAGGTGGTTTCGTGCTGGTAGATGACCGAAGACTGCTCAAGAGAAAATTGAGGGTAAAACGTCGGTTTCGCGCCAGCCAGATATCCAGACCAGAAAGCTGCTGATCGGCCATCGCCTTTGCGAATAATCTCCTCCAGGTATGCTTCATACGAGGGGCGAGGTGTGTACCGGCCCTCGTAAGCGGCTTGGACGTCTTGGTGGAGGAGGGAGAGAGACCACCCGTCGTAGAGGGCGTGAGCTATGGAGAGAACAACAAATCTCCTGTCACCCAGTGTCGCGAATGTCAGCTGCAGAAAGCCGGCATCGCCGCCAGCTTTTCGAGCCCGAGCGGTAGCATACTCGGTGATCTTGGATAGGTCTTCCTTTCTTTCGATTTTCAGCTCTTTCATGGCTTCTGCGGGGAGTTGTTGGTGGACAACCTGGAGGTAGGCAAAATCCAACGTGGGGTCTTCCGCCATGAAGAAGGACGTCCGCAAGATCGGGGAGTTGGCGATCACGGTCTTCCACGCAGTCTTGAGCTTGCCCAGGTCGACATGCGGCTCAATCTCCATGATATCGTGGTTGAAGTACAGCTGGAAGTCCGAATGGACCATCTCGGCGACCATGCCGTCTTGAAGGGGAGTGGCGGGTAGAATTGTTTCTATATCTCCCTTTTGTTGTTCGCGGATCTTGTCAACCCATTTGTCCCTCAAACTAGAGGAGGTCTTTCCTCGTAATTTGTCGCCGTTTGCTTGCGTGCCGTTCATGATCTTTTGTTCCTCCAAGTAAGGAAGCAGTCCCTCAATTGTCTGCCCTTTCATCAACTCGCTTGGCTTGATACTAACACCCAACTGCCTCAACCGTGCAGAAAGTTTGATAGTGTCGATACTGTCCAGGCCAAGCTCCAGGATCGAGGTTGTCTCGGTGACTGTGTCAGCAGCGACCTCCGCTAGGGTAGCAATCTGTTCGCGAATCGTTTTGGAGGCTTCAGTCCAGACAAACCCGGAATTTTCTCTCCCTTTGTTGACGTCCTCCACCTTGTTGGCCTCGTGTCCAGGTTCTTGCTGCCATGTGACCAAGTTGATCCCATCACCACCCACAATCACTGCCTCCGGATCCTCTCCTATCTCCCTCATAATCTCTACCAAAACCTCCATCAGCTTCTCCACCATATCTTCACCAACAACCGCCTCCTGTGCAACAATCAACAATTTCACCTCCCCATTACTCGTCAAAGTTGCCTCAAGCGCTAGCGGATAATCAACCTGCGTATTGGCATCCTCGTCCATGATTGTCCACAACTCTTCCTCCTTGTTCCTACCTTCTACATCCGCTTCCTGGGATTTCGAAGGCTGCTCCTGTTGGAACGAGAACAACACCTCAAACAGCCCCTTCCCGGCCTTTCCACACCACTTTTGAATCTCCCTAAGCGGTACATGCTGCCATTCCACTACCTTCGAATTCCAGTCATGGCAACTCCTCACCAGCTCCTTATACGTCCTATTGCCGACCGAAACATGGAACGGCAGCGTGTTCAGAAGCGGGCCAGCGACGCGCTCCGCATCCTCAAGCTCGATAGCCCGTCCCGAAACAATGACTCCGATCGTTGGGTTTCTGACGCCGAACTGTTTGGCTAAGACGGCGACCCAAGCGGCTTGCAGGAGGGAGTGATTGGTTACTCCTAGATTTTTGCTCAAACGCTGGAGAGTGAAAGGGATGGTTGTGCGGGAACTGAAGGCTTTCGTGCTGGCGCCTTCGACGACGGCGAAAGTCGGCTCGGGACTGGCATTGTTGAGGTGTGACAGCCAGAAAGGCTTGGAGTGAGAAAAGGGTTGGAGGGGGCCGTGGTAGAGGGCTTCGAGAAAAGATGGGTTCTTCTCACCCTGATCGACCTTGCCACGATATGCAGAGGCCATCTTCTGGAGGATCAACTCCAAGCTGTTGGCGTCATAAACGCCGTGAAAGATGTGCAACGCCAAGAGCCGCTCCTTCTGGAGATCGGGTCTGAGGATACTAAACAGCTGGAGTTCCATGGTTCGCTTGATAATCCTCCCGGCATTGTTTCGTAGCCACTCCCTTCTCGTCGCCTTTACCGTCTCTTCCACCTCAGCCTCTTCCTCGACCTTCAATTGCTTCCAATTCAGCTTTGAATCTGTTGCTCCAGGCTTAACAGCGACCTGAACAAATCCCTCACTAGTCTGCACGAATTTGGTCCTCAGAATCGGGTACTCGTCCATGACTTCGTTCCATGCACTCTCCAACTTCTCCACATCCACTCCCTCCGTCACCTTGAAGAGGAAGGTATTATAATATTTCTCCCTCCGGGCAGTCATACCAGCCTGCAACCCGGTACACGGCGCCACATACTCTACCTCCTCCCTCTTCAGCCCCAGCTCTTTACAGACATTCGCCATGTGGCGATGCTGGCACGCTTGCACGAGTTGCTTGGCAGCAGCAATTTGAGCGGTGTTGGACTGCGCCTTGCCCAAGTCCAAGGCTTGTGACAAGTCGGCAAGGAGCGGATGGCTGAGGATTAGTGACGGAGAGGCTTGAGGAAAACCGGATCGCTTGAGCACCCGGCTAAAGCGGAGGGCAGAGATGGAGTCGAGACCCAACTCGAAGATGGAGGTAGAGGGGGTAATGAGTCCAGGAGAGATGGATAGCATCTCTGCGAGGACGGCGGCAGCTTTTTGACCAGTAGGGGTCAAGCTACCGGGGGCGATGGAGGCAGAAGGGGAGAGGCTGACGAGTTCTTCCTGCGTTAACGAGGAGAAGAGACGTTTTAGCTCCTTGATCTCCGCCTTATTGTTCGCTGACAGCGGGATGTAAGGCAGACGGACGACGTAGGTTGGGACCATGTACCCAGGGAGCTTTGCGCGACAGGCTTGCCGGACCTTGTGAAGCAGTTCAGCAGTGTCGTTTCCGTTTTTGATCACCTCCAATTTCTGCTGCTCCACTCCCCGCGTTCTGATGGCTGTTGTCACGAAAGCAACAAGGAAATCTTTGCCGGCTTTTTCGTTGCGTATCACCACTGTCGCCACATCCTGCACCTCCTCCACTCCCACTTTGATCGAATGGTTGATCTCCCCAATTTCCAACCTCTGCCCTCTGAGCTTAACCTGATCATCCGCTCTCCCCAAGAAGTCAAAGCAACCATCATGCAAAACTCTGACAAGGTCACCAGTGCGGTAGACCTTCTCCTCTTGATCAAGTACCCGCAAGGTAGGGAACCTCTCCTTGGTCAGATCTTCCCTCCCTAAATATCCCTTACCAACCAACTTGCCAGAGACGCACAGCTCGCCGACAGCACCGCGCAGGACAGGCTTGTCTGTGCCCGGCTTCAGCACGTACGAACCGACATTCAAAAACTGCCGCCCAATATTGCTCGCCCTTCCGTTCCTCGGAACTCTCGGGTACACTGTTACACCAATCGTTGCCTCCGTCGGACCGTAAAAGTTATAAATGACGGCTCTATCGCCCCACGCATCCAGAATCTCTTGCTTCAGGCTTTCGCCTCCTGTTATGAACACGCCGCGACACAGGGACGGGACATCGTCGGGGTGTATCAACCTTGCCAAAGAAGGAGTGAGGTCGATATGCGTAATTTGCAATCGGGAGATAGTCCCCGCGAGATCTTCGAGAATGAGGTCCTTAGGCGCGCCGACAAGGGTAATACCTACAGACCAGGACCAATACTGTTCAAGCACAGAAACATCGAAGTGCAGGGAGGCGAACTGGAGCCAGCGGGATGTGTCTTCCCAGTGACCAGTGAAAATGTGCTGGAAAGCGAGCATGCACTGAACTGTGTTGTCGTGGGTGATCTCGCAACCTTTAGGGGTGCCTGTTGTACCGGAGGTATAAAGACAGTAGGCCGCATCAGATGGATGCAGCTTCCGATCCAAGAACGGCGGGTCAGCCGACTGGCTCTTCAACGCCTCGAGATCCACGCCCATGACCGGCACCTCGACAACGAAGTCCATCTGTGTGGACTTGCCAGCCGTGGTCAACAAGGCGGTAGCCCCAGAATCCTTGACAATGAACTCCTTTCTTGCCTTGGGCGCTCCAGGATCCAGTGCCACGAACGAACATCCCACCTTCAGGACACCCAAGATAGCGAAGAAGGCCTCCGGACACTTATCAAAGTAGACTGCAACAATATCTCCAACTTTGACATGTCTTGAAAGCATGTTCGCTACCCGGTTTCCGTTAGCATCAAGCTCATTATAGCTCCACTGCCTCCCTATCGGCTCGCCATGGGAATCAAATCCATCAGCAAAGAATAGGGCCGTCTTCTCGGGAGTCTTGAGAGCTTGGACCTCGACAAACTGATGGAGAAACTGAACATCGTCCAGCACTGGCAAGGTGGCTTTCTCGGGGGGGACGATGGCGAACAGCTCCGGACGTCGCTCCAACAGTCCATCCTCGTCAGCAGCTGGGTGAAGAGCGAGATACTCAACCATTGCCTGAAACTGCCTCAAAACGAGCTGGGCTTGCTCACGAGGGAGGACGTCGTCGAAGAAAGTAACGGCATACTTCACCTCTCCGTTGGGTTGAGGTTCGACTTCAATGGAGACGGGGTAATCGATTGTCGCAGCATCCTCGACAAGGCTCCACGGCGCTTGCTTTTCAGTTGTGGAGGTGTGAGATGAGAACTTTTGATAAACAACCAGCGTGTCAAACAATCTCGTGTCTGGCCTTCCAAGCCACTGCTGAATCTTCGCCAACGGCTGATGCTGCTGCTTGTACAGCTCGGCACTGTACTTCATCATCCCCTGCAGCAGTTCCTCGTTACTCGCGGTATTCGCAGCAATGACCGGCAGGGTGGTGATACACGGGAAGATCGCGTCTCTCGTCGCTTCCGTGTTTCTACCCGAGAGAACCACGCCAAACGTCACTGACGGTTCACCCAAGTAGGCTGACAGCACCCGCGCCCACGAAGCCTGAAGGAGGACTTGCAAGCTATACCCCGACTCGGCCGCAGCCTTCTCCAGTTCAGGTAGCGACCAGCCACCCTGCAGCGTTTCCACCTGGATCTTCCTGGTCGACTCCTTCAAGGGCGTCATCACTGGGAAGCTGTTGATAACTGTATTCTCCGCCTGCCCCTTCCAGAACTTCTCGGCCGTCTGCCGGGAAGTCTCGATTTGCGTGAGAATATCCGCCACAGCGGTTCCGGTTTTAGTAGACGTCAGCGGGATAAGGTCATCGCCAAAGACAGCTTTGGCAAGTTCCACCATGAGGACTTGCAGAGAATGCGCGTCGTAAAGAACGTGATGCAGGCCGACGTGCATCGCCAACCCATCATCACCCTCAACCAAAGAAACGCCCCACGGCACGGACTGCTTTTCGTTCAGGATACCGTCAGCGAGATCACTCCGCCACTTCTCAACCTCAAAAGGCTGTCCCTTGATCACAAGCACCGGCTTCTTGACAGCATCAGGCTGGTATTGAACCATCGCAAAAGCGCAGTTATCATGCTCAACGGCCATAACGCCGGTGCGGAGAATGGGTTGAGCCTTGAAGAGCATCTCCCACGCCTTCTCCAGGTCATCCAGCCCAACACCCTTTGAGGCATCGATCCGGTACTCCAGAAAGTTGAGGTAATCTCTCCCTCCATCTTGAGCGGACTGCACGAACTGCAACCACATTCCGCTTTGCAACGGGGTACAAGGCAAAACCTTCTCCACGTTCATGAGCCGAATGTCCTGAGACACAAGCTGTGGTTCAAGCTGAGACTGGACCTCTTCAGCGAATTTAGCGATGCCATCCGTGATAGTCTTCGGCTCAATTATAACGGCCTTATTGCTACCCTTTTGGCTCTCAAGGAACGCAGCCAATGAAGCGCAACTAGGATGCGCAATGATATCGCTGGCATTGACCTTCGTACCTTCAGAAGCCAGTTCCTTTCGCAGCATCGAAGCGATCTGCACGGCGGAGATACTGTCTAGACCGAGTTGGTAGATGGTTGTCTGTCTCCCAATGCGACGGTCCTTGTTCGTCATAAGTGAGGCCAGAACACTGCAAATACGGGATTCAAGATCGGACCACTCTTCTTTCCTCGCGTCGTTTGCTTGGACATGAGGGGCCGACGAGGTTGATGCTTCAGTGTCATTGAAAGGCATCTCTGTGAGCTTCTCCTTGAGGTTCGCGGGAAGGGTATCGAATTGCCAGATATGCGAGGCAGGATACTTTAGGAAGTTGTCGAGGGTGCTGAAGAGGAGATCAAGAACCAGGTCGGCGAAATCCTTGGAGAAGTGTCCACTGTTTCAGTTCGTGTCAGAAAGCCTTTCCCATCGCATGGAAAACGGACTCTGAGACGACTTACCGCTCCAAATACAAATTCACCAGCAGCTCATCCTTCTCCGCGTCAGGGACGAACTCAACCACGATCGGGACCTGCGTTGATTAGCCTTCAGCGCAAATCCTACAAGCTATCGACCCTTGATCATCATCACCAACAAGTCAATCAGCAAAGGAAAACTCACATCCATATCACCCTCATCCCTCACCACCTTCCACAGGCTGTTCTCCTTCTCCCCATATCCGCCACCTTGTTGCAGCAACAAAAGTGTGTCAAAAAGTCTCTCTTGTGCCTGAACAAGCCCCTGCGCCTTTCTCAAAGATGCAAACCCAGGCCCCTCTAGAAGTCTAGTCCCCAGCTGGCCAAATGCTTTCACCAAGTCAATATTCCTGCGTCCCTCGAGATCGTCCAACCTCATCCTCACCGGGACCGTATTGAAGCAAGGCGCCACGAGCTCATCGATTCCCTCGATTGACAGGGTACGGCCGCTGAGCACGTTACCGAAGCATACGTCTTCCGTCCTCAGTACCACCGACAAAACGGTGGCCCATGAGGCTTGAATAAGGGAGAGAAGTGAGACGCTCGAGTGCCTGGCCTTGCTAAGGACTTGACTGAGTGAAATTGGGATGGGTTTTGTCAGTAGTACCGGCGCTGGCAACTCAGCTGTGCTGGAAGGAGCAAAGTGGAACGATTTGATCAACAGACGGGGATGCAGTCCAGCAAGCTGCTCCCTCCAGAACGTCTCCGTCTCCGGCGCCCGCGCAAACGCCAGACTCTCGCGGAGGAAGGGCTCATATTTCGGTGCTGGAGGTAGCTCCTGGCCGGCAAGAAGCTGTTCCACTTCGTAGAGCAAACGCTGGATGGCCACTCCGTCGTACAGAGCGTGGTGGCAGATGAATGACAGGAACTTGCCATCTCCACTGTTGATTATCGCAAGTGAAATGGGCGGTTCGAAAGAGTCGACCGGCTCGGAGAGGGTCGAAACGTGCTTCTCGATGACTTCCCCCAAATCATCGGTTGAAGAAACACCAAACTCCAACCATGGTATCTCCCAGCTCCCAGCTTCCAACACAACCTGGACCATCGGTCGCTCCGGATCCACAGTGGACACAAAAGCCGCCCTTAGAATCCCCTGCCTCTGGCAAGCCTTGGCCCACATCCGTCTCAAGCTTTCCACACTGCAAGTAGCTCCGAGCTTCAGCAGCATCTTGTTCACGTACGCCCCACGCCCACGCCCAATAGAAGCAGCAAGCATGCCCTCCTGCAGTGGTGTACAAGGCAACACCTTTTCTACATTCTTCCCCTTCTCTTCAAACTGCCCCGTAATAGCCCGGAAAAGCTGTTCTGAGACCAACGGCTCCAGGCTTTTCTCCTTTCCCGTTTCTGCTTCCGCTCCCACTTCTTCTGCCGTAGCCGCTGCCGGGGGCCCGGAAGAGGGCGACTCGGACAACGCCAACGCGATTCTCGCGACGGTAGAACTTCGAAGGATTGTTGATATTGCGAGGCGCCTGCCGCCGAGGTGAGATGAAAGCTGCTTGGAGAGCTCGATAGCAGAAATGGAATCCAATCCGAAAGCCGTGAGGGGCGTCCATCTTTTCACGCTGCTCCTGTCAACCGCAAAGATGCGGCAAACAATATCTGCCACTTTACTCTCGTCTTCTGACCACTCCCCGCTGTCATCATCGCTGTTGCTGGAGCCAATCAAAGGGCTAGCGGAGGCGAGGTACTCCTGGGTAAGGGAGGTGAAGCTCTCTTCGAGGAGGCGGCGGTCGAGCTTACCAGAGGCTGTAATGGGCAGCTTGGTGAGAGGAATGATGAACGAAGGGATCATGTAGCTTGGTACTTGTGCCTCAACCAATTGAAAGATGGAGCGGACTTCACTTTGAAGGACATCGTCGAGCTCGAGGACCTGGAATGTTGTTGTGCGGCCAAGGATACCGGGGACGAAGAAGCTGACGATTTGTCCTTGCCCTGCGCTGGTGGAAGCCACTCCTTTCTTCGGCTTGAAGAACAGTGTCGCGCATTCGATCCCGTTGCCCTCCATCTTCCCATCCTCTCCTACAGCCCCCTTTTCTTCCACGCCATTCGCTTGATCCACCGAATTACCCCCCAGCTTATTGCCAGCACTTGCCTGAGCCGCCGCCTGCACAACAGCATTTACCTCTCCCAGCTCAGCCCTCTGACCTCTCACCTTCACCTGTTCATCCGCCCTTCCCCAAATCATCAAACTACCATCGGCCAGCATCCTACCCAGATCGCCCGACCTATACACCCTCCCCCACTCTTTATCCACCACGAACTTCCTACTTGTCAGGTCTTCCTGCCCGAGATACCCCTTGACGACTTGATCTCCGCCAAAACAGAGCTCACCAAACCCTCCGATTGGGACCAGATCGAGCTTATCAGAGTTAGGACAAACCACGAACGCGCTGGTGTTGGGAAAGGTGAAACCCAAATGTCGAATCCTGTGACGAGGAGGGATGGTCATCTTCTTGACAGAGCAGATATTGGTAGTCTCGGAAGGGCCATACCCCTGCCATAGCTGCTTGTGCCATTTACTTGCTACCGCAGGTGTCATCGGTTCTCCTGCTGTCACCAGGAATTCCACATTAGGTACGTTTTCGGGGGAAACGAGCGAGGCGACGGTAGGCGTCATGGAAAGATGGGTAATTCCAAGTGAACAGATAGATTGTTCGAGGTCGGCGAAGAGGATATCGTTGGTGCCGGAGCAGAGGGTCATGGATTGGGTCCAGGCGAAGAAGATCTCAAAGACCGAAACGTCAAAGGCCTGGGAGCAGGACTGAAGGAGGCGGGATTTGCCGGGTATTGATGGGTAGATGCGAGATAGGACGTCCAGATTGCTGACGATGTTGAGTTGGGTGACGCAAACCCCTTTGGGTATCCCAGTAGAACCGGAGGTGTATATGATGTAGGCGATGCGGGAAGGATCGGCTGGGATATTGAGGTTTTCATCGGAGAGGCCGCCTAGGTCCGCAGTCTCGAGGTTAATGAACTTGACCTCTCCAATCTCCTCAAACTTTGTCGTGGAGTCAGAATCAGCCAGACAGTGCCGGAGACCAGCCTGCCCAAAAACTGTCTTTACCCTCTCAACCGGCGTGGTGGGCAGTAAAGGCAGATACGCACACCCAGCCTTGAGAATCGCCAGTATTCCCGCATAGAGAAGTACCGATTTCTCCATGACAATGGCCACAATGTCTCCCTTCTCCACACCTCGGCTTTTCAACAGCCAGGCAATTTTGTTGGCCGTTGCGTTCAACTCCCTGTAGCTCACACTCTTCGCTACTACGGTGCCATCTTCCGCAATCCTCCCCGCAAAGCAAAGTGCCTCCTGATTCGAATTCCTCTCAGCGGCTACCTCAACGGCCTTCGCCAAATCTGGCACCCCTTCAAGCGTCTTGGGGTGCTCGTTATAAATCGACAACAGTTTCCTGGGAAATACATTCGTGAGAGAAGATACTTCCGTGTCCAAGCTGTGGAGCATAGCCTCAACAAGGACACTCAATTGATCCCCTATGACGGCGATCTGAGCCCCGGTAAACGCATCAGTGTGATATGTGAGGGTCAAGCCGTACCCATCCTGGTGGGGCTCGACTTCAACGAGAAGTTTCGTCTCGAGCCAGTCCCGACCTTGTTCCAACTCCACGAACTTCCTCTCTCCGCCCCTGTTCGCATCCCTGGTCGGGCTTTCGAGCGTCTCCTGATAGACAAGAAGCACATCAAACGGACTCTGTCCAGCCTGAATCCCTATAGCTCTTTTGATCTCCTTCAGTGGCAACACGCTATGTTTCATCACCTCCCTACCCACCGCCTGAACATTCCCCAGCAGATCCCTCACCGTCCTCACACTTGCCAGATCCGTCCTCAGCGGCACCGTAGCAATGCACGGTCCGATGATCTTCTCAATGCCCGGCACAGGAATCGTTCGCCCCGATGTTACCGTGCCGATGACCACGTCTTGACTTCCGACGTAAACGCTCCATAGCCAAGCCAAAGCAGCCTGGAAGAGGACTGGCGGGGTACAACCAAGTTCGCGAAGTACGGACTTGACTTGCTGGGGAGAAAGAGAGGGAAGATGGACGGAGTGGGACCGAACTGTGGAAGAAGAAGGGATGTCGGGTCGCAGTTCTGGGATTGAAGGAGGTTGGAAACCAGCGAGGTGTTGAGCCCAGAATTCGCGGGCTAAGTTGCAAGACCGGCGATAAGATGCGGAATGGTAGTAGGTTGTGACGGCGCTGAATTGGGGACGTGACTTGGGAGTGGAATCGTTGATGAAGGAGTCAAGGTCAGAGAGGAGGAGATCGGTTGACCAGCCGTCATAGATGGCATGATGAATCTGAAGGACGGCCGTAATAGACGATGTGGCTGAGGGAGGGGAGAAGAAAATGCGGAAGGGGCGGAGGAAGTCGTCATGACCGAAGAAGGAGAACTCATCAGAAATGTTGTCGACGGCCGAAATCAGTGAGTCGTCGAGGGAGTGGAAGATGACCTGCAGGAATTGACCGCCATGGTGAACGAACCCCGTCCGTAAAGCCTCGTTTGACTGCGCAAGCTGAAGAAACCACGACCGGATATCCATCTCCGTGGAGCCCTCCGGGAAATTGAGCCGCATCCAGTTGCAGTACGCTCTCGGGTTGGCAGTGGTTTCAGACAGCATCGCAGACTGAAGCGGCGTACAAGACAGCACAGCTTCGATATCCTCCAGCCGTCCCTTCAGAGCGTCGTTGCTGGCTGCGATCTCAGCCGGCTGATACGTCTCCATGTCCCGTTCCTGGCCCTCTCCATCATCAGTACCCTCAGCCTCAAGACCCCTGATCACTTCCCTTAGAGCTCTGATTGTCCTGGCGCCCAGGATTTCGTTGGCTCCAATCCTCACCCCCATTGTCTGCCTCAGTGCACTCGCCATCTTGATAGCACTTAACGAATCCATGCCCGCATGCATCAAACTCTGGGTTGGGTGCACGACAACTCCCAAGGTATCTCGCACCAACACAGAGATCTGCCTCTCCTCTTCGTCTCCATAATTTTCATCTTTCGGCGGCCCGCTAGCCTGCATGGCTTCATACTCTGCAACCAGTCCCTTTCTGTCCACTTTTCCTGACGCCAAGCGTGGGAATTCTGTCATGACGATAATGTCACCAGGGACCATAAATCCAGGTAACCAGGCTTTGCAACAGTCTTCAATCTTGGTAGCCATGGAATCGACTGAATCGACAGCGCAAAAGAGGACGAGAATCCCTTTGATTATCGCTGCAAAAGCGGAGTGACATCCCGGAGCACGCAAAGCGGCATGTTCAATCTCACCTAGCTCGATGCGTTGACCGCGAAGTTTAACTTGGCCATCGCCAATTCTGCCCATACACTGCATTGTGCCGTCAGGGAGCATGCGCGCCTTGTCCTTTGTGCGGTAGAGCAAACCGTAGACGGGGTGAGAAACAAAAGCTTCAGCAGTGACTTCTGGGCGGTTTAGATAGTAGGGGGCTAGCTGATGACCGCCGATGGCGAGTTCACCGACTTCGCCGAGCGGAACAACCTTTATCTCTGAGGCGTCGGCTCCCTCCTCAGGTATCGCCAGAATGAAGGAGGAGACTGTGTCAAAGGAGAAGCCGATCAGGCCGGGGACAGAGTCCGCAGCAAAGGCGGGCTGGACGGTGCAGTGAATAGCAGCTTCAGTTGGGCCGTACATGCCCCAGAGGATACTAGCCTTAGCATCACTGCCACCGAATTCGCGAACGACGGGCTGGGTGAGCATCTCGCCGATGGTCAGAAGTAGCTTCAGACCGGGAGCATTTTCCCTCTTGCGCAACAAACTTCCAGCCACTGAAGGCGTAAGCTCGCAAGCATCAATCTCCAATTCATTGATGACCCCAGGCAAATCATTGAGCATGGCCGACCTGTTACAGCTGACCAGTGTCTTTCCCCTGAAGAGAGGGAAAAAGATCTCGAAGACGGAGACGTCAAAGGTAGGTGCAGCAAACTGAAGGAACCGTGAGAACTCGGGGATGTGTCGATCGTGAGCTAGCAAAGACTGAGTGGCAGCGTCGTGGGTGATGGGCACGCCTTTGGGAGTTCCTGTCGAGCCGGAGGTGTACATGACATAGGCTAGGTTCGTTGGTGTTGGTCGCCTGTGTTCGACTGTCTTTGTGGATGTGAAGGCCTCTTCGGTGAGGAGAAGAACCAACTTGCCCGTTCCATCCTCGGGCACCCTCTCCGCCAACTCGGGCGTGGTAATGACCAAGGCAGCCGAGACTTGGTCAAGGATGAACTTTGCTCTTTCCAGAGGAATATCAAGGTTAAGGGGACAGAAGGCCGCTCCGGCTTTGAGAATCGCCAATTGGGCAATGTACAAATCTGGACATTGGGGGACGAGGACCGGGACGATAGGTTGTGAGTCGTCGTCGGTCACCGGCCCGACGAGAGACGATATCGTGGCCGCCAAGGAGTCAGATCTTCTGTGCAGCTCGTGGTACGACAGTGAGACCCGCGAGCCGTCAGGGGCGAGGTAGTCGATGGCGAGGGCATCATTGCCTCTTGTCTCGGAGCGGTGTTGTACGAGATGATGAAGGAGACTGGGACCTGGGAGTTTCGTTGGTGGGTGGTTAGCAATGGAGAGGGTAATGTCTGGGTCCGAGTCGACTGTTGCCATTGTGGGTTGGTTAGTTAGTGGGTGGTGATGGCCTCTTTGGCCTTTTGTTGTCTTTCGGCACGATGAAGTGCTATTATTGAGCCGGATAGGAGCCCGTTTTTAGCGGTTGCGCGGCGGATGTAGTGGGACACCGGCACGGGAGGCTGCTGTAAGTGATATGATGTGGTGAGACTGTCCAATGAGGAATGAGGGTATCCTGAGTACCTCCAGTTGGTGTTGCTGATGTGCGGACTGATATACCCAAAACGTTAACACGAGTCCCCAAGGCGTCAATCTTATTCGCTACTTGCCCAAGGACGGCCATGTGTTGAACACGACCAATGGTAGGTATCAGATGGACACAAACAGAGGGAGAGACTTACGAAGTCTGGTATGTAGTGGTGATTGGCTGTGCTTGAGAAGTACCAGTTGATGTTGGATGATTTGATTTCTATGCAGAATCATTGGTCAGAGGCCGTCGACATGAAGAAGAACAACATGAGGAGGCTCAGTTCAGTCAACGTTGATTTGGAAGTGGGAGACAGTCTGTCTGTGATGGGCCAGTTATCCCGGGACTGGAGTGCCAAGGAGAGCGGGAGGGACGGGGGTGCAGATCTGGGTCTGTGTCTGTCTGTGTCTGTGGTTGGCGACGCCGTTGGAATCACCAGGCATGCTTGAGACGGGAGACGGTGGTGGTGAAGTCGGGAGCGAGAGACTGGAGAGGGGAAAGACGACGTGATGTTCCATGGATGGCGGCATCCTTCCCTTTGCGATTACCTACAGTAGCTCGCTCGATAAGTAATTTTAGTGGAGCTGCGATGGATCGCTCCAGTCGAAACTTGGAAGTTGCAATGCGACTATCCTCCCTTGTTTGCCAGCGTTTTGGGAAGGTGCCGGAAATTGCGTCCGCGGCGTCGTCTTCTTCTTCTAAAAATCAGATGCCTTCCTTCCGTGTGATCTCCAGCTGCTGTCCCGTGTTTTGTCCGGTCCCGAGTTGAGCCCGGCCCAAGCTCGGTGGTGTTCACAATACCGTAGAGGTAGGAGGGGCCGTTCCGTGTCCCGGTTCCGCTCCCCGCCGTCAACTCCGGCCGCCGGTCCATGCAGGTCTTGGCCTGTTCCAGCTGCCAGCTGGTGATCATTCACGAATGAAATCCAGATGTTCGTGCCTTGATCGGGATATGCAAGGTACCGATACCCGTATGCTTCGGTACTCGATGCCGGTCGTTTCAGTTATCACGTCCGGATGCCGTCGCAAATGGAAGACAAGCTGCAAATCGAGGTACCCTTTTGTCGATAGAGCCAAGATCCAATTATTCAAACATACCTCTACTTGATACTCGTGACATTTACCTTCAAGATCGAAACGCAAACTCTTCAAAATGTCACTGCAATCACACTACACGCAGTAAAAGTGGCCGCCAGTGACGGTGCGGACGACGTTCCTTCTTCGAAAACCAAAAATCGAGATGGTGTGATGACCTGAGGTTACAGTGGAGACGTTGGGGTGCCTCTCCAGGGCACTGTGTTGTGAGGATTTCGTGTTCCTTCAATTGCTGCCCGTCCGTTCTATTTCTCACTACGTAGAGGTAGTATACCTCGGCAACTATGTCTTGTGGTTTCATCCCCCGTTCCCCATTTTCCATCACTCCTACACTACTTTCCCATCTGTTTCTTTTTGCCCTTGTTTTGCAAACCGGATGAACCCTCATCGACTGTGTTCGTCGTTCGATTTCAAATCGACTGTGTGGAGTCCAAACTGAGCAAACTGCCATTAACAGCCAAGACCCAAAGCTTGGCATTTTTGGCATCGCTCTGGCACGGGAGCGACCATCACCGACGGGAATCCTCACCAAAAGACATTCGATCACTTTTGCACCAAAACAACGAGAAATGAAACCACCTTTTCTTTTATAATGCTGAAACTCTATTTCGCACGCGGGGGCCTTTCGGCATCGGTCCCCTGCACCCCCGGAACGAATTCTAACACCTAACCCTGACCGCAAGCCCTAGCACTGACCTTGAGAGCAGCCCGCGCAAAGCTTGGTAGGTACATGATTCAGCGTCGACACCGGCCCCGGATCTATCCAACTTTTCTTTTTTCTATGTCCCTTTTTTTTTTTTTTTTTGCTGAAAAGATCCTTTCTTCCTCTCTTCTTTTTTCTTTTTCTTTTTCTCACCTCTCCGTGATATCAATGGTGATAACGGTTCTTCCGGAAAACTCAGTGTAGCACCTTTCTTCATCTGCCAGACATGCAGGCATTGTACCTGCGTGACTTTGTCTTAGGCCATGTTGATCGATCCACTAGCTTACGTACCTTCGTTTCTTGCTTGAACCTGTCGATTGCAGCACTTCCACTTCGCTTGAACAAGTTTCAGAGACCTACAGTAACTGTCACGTATCGAGAACTGACTGGAAGCTCCAGAAGGCTACTTACAACACGTTTCGAAAGATGCTGCTGGATGGCCTTCAATGTTCGTTGATATCAAGCCACCATGTCGCCGACGCCCCTCGTTGCCGCTGTCTCGTTTGCGCCATTAACGACGACAACACGGCCGGGGTTGGCGACGGTGGGAACAAACGGAGGAGCAAAAACGGTACGACACTTGCAGGGAATAAATGATCTGGCGTTTCGGTCTCCGAGGTGATGGATGGATGCTGCGTGGTGCTAGCACCATCAAATCTTATCAGATCATCAGATATTATCCCGTAGGCCCGCGGAAAGCTCCAGAATGGTGAAAAGGCTAAAGACGTGCCCTTGCCGCACCATTCATGACAGGACCCAGCCCCCCACAACAGGGTACACCTCGGGTCGGACCAAGCATCCCAGAACGGATGGACATGAGTCAAATTTTCATCCCACTGTGGGTGAAATGAGACTCGGAGTCACTGGTTCAGGGGAAGAGGAGTGACTGGGTTGTTCAGCTTTATTCTACTCTACTCTTTTTTTTTTTTCACTCGGAAGCTCAGCCAGCGTGGCAGACTGGTGACCTGGAAGTGAGAAGATATGTGTTTGAAACCGATGTTGATCAGAGTGTGCGCATTTACACGAACTCCTGAAATGGTCAAGTCGGCTCAACTAATGGAAAACAGTCCTCAAACGGCCGAAATGACTAGAAAAAGACAATGATCGGTGACGCAATCCTTGGAAGAAAAAAACAGGCGGAGTCCCAAGGCAAACCGCACTCCACCCAGGTCCGATCTGATAGTAAATTTTTTTTCTCTCTCTCTCGCCTTTTCATTCCGCCCATTACCGCCTCTCCATCCGGCGTCGTCCTTGTGACAGCGGCTTTTTGTACTTTCCAACCCCGGCCCATGTTCACTGTTCGGACATGCGGAAAGACGAGACGGTCTCGGGCCATGAGTGGTGCCTGAATGGTCGAGATCAGATAAAACATCCACTGATCGCATCTTATCTGATCCGAAGATAACGCCGGTGCCGCCCCGACGCATCCCGGACCTGGCTGAGCCTGGCGAACCCACTTGTGGCACCTTCCTGTGAAGCACGAACCTGGCAAGCAAACGGACCCGCATGAGCCATGTCTTGACGGCAATTGGCCAACCAAGATCCGTTTGGAAGATTCCAACCCCACCGTGATGGAGTCACCTATCACCAACCCCACCATCCGTCTCCATTTCCCATCCATCATCATTGTCACAACAACCGAACTGGACTGAAATGCCCCCAGCACGACACCGTCACAAAGCTCCCACCACACGGTCAACCCACACTGATTGCGGCCAGCCATCGATCGAGAAGTCGGCACTGCAGTGTGAGTCTCGGAACCACGATACGGTGATGCTGTCCTGACACCAAGTCCATGGACCCGGAATTGCCAGGAAATCCAGACACCACCATGGCGGCGAGAAAAGCGGGACCGACATACAAGTGGGAGGAAAGTGAGGGTCGAAAACACATGAATTGAGAACACCATCCGAGAGACCGTCCGGGAGGGAATCCGTCCCCGCAATCGATCCAACGTTGGAATCATGCCATGGATTGCACCACAAGCCGGATGGAGCTCCGCAACTCAGCCAGGATAGCCCGGTAAACACCAGCAACAGCAGCACGTTTGGTTCTTGGCCCGACTAGCTTACATACTCGTCCCTAGCAGCGAACAGCTCGGTTCGAGGCAGAGAGCAGTCAAGATGGAACCGCAACATGGGACGAGAACGATAGACTACACCATGTAGGTCCTCCGAGTGGGAATGGCGACACACGGTGCGTGTTTACTCATGTATCACACCTGACCCTCTTTGATCCAAAGATCAACAACTCTCTTCTCTTTACCACAGTATCAAAACGGCCGCCTCTGCCACCTACTTTTCCCACTTCCACTCCCTCTTGCTTTTCCCTTCCTTCCCCTTTCCTATACCTCCTCCATCATCCAAAGCAACCCTCGCGGTGTTACTCGACCTCTCGCTTCCTATCCTCCTCCCGTTCCCTCATTCACCCGGAACTACCGTTGGGCTTTTTGAGCACCACCTCTTCCCGGTTTCTACTACCACTTGCATCAATCCTAGACAAGACAACGTGGGCAACTCCGTTCCTGGCATCTACATACTCTGTGCAAGTTGGAGTTAACGCGTGGATTCACTACAGCAGACACGAACCCCAAGTCACACAGACGTTGTTCGCCATTGGACTTGATTCCCCGCAGCCAGTTACACCGGGATCGCCCAAGCTCAACTGTTACTGTGCCGCCATAATCCCGTCATTCCGCCGTATATCCATAGTAAAGCAGCCTTCCGGCGTCCCTACAACACACACAACATTTAAGAAATGTCGCCTCACTGCAACATGGATGACTCTTCCTCCGTCTCGTCCAGTGGTTACACCTCTGAGCCTGTGGCCAATGGCGTGAGCAATAGTTCTGCCGCTGCTACCACCACCAGCCAATACAAGAACTTCTCCAAGAGCCGCCATTTGAGGCACACGCCTTCGGATGAGGTCCACGATCTCGTTTGCGTTGGCTTCGGCCCCGCCAGTATTTCCGTCGCCATTGCTACGCACGACGCTATCGAGGCCGGCCAGCTTTCCGAGTCGCCCAAGGTCCTCTTCCTCGAGAAGCAGGCCGATTTCGCCTGGCACGCCGGCATGCTCCTTCCTGGAGCCAAGATGCAGATTTCCTTCCTCAAGGACCTTGCCTCTCTCCGCGATCCCCGCTCCCACTTCACTTTCCTCAACTACCTGCACCAGAATGATCGCCTCATCGACTTCATCAACCTCAGCACCTTTACCCCTGCGAGAGTCGAGTTCGAGGATTACCTTCGGTGGTGCGCACGCCATTTCGATGACGTTGTGAGGTATCAGACCGAGGTTGTGGCAGTCGAGCCCGTTCAGTCTTCCGGGGCTAACAAGCTCTTCACGGTTACTTCCCGCGACATAACTACTGGCGAGATCACCACCTTCCAGGCTCGCAACGTTTTGCTTGCTCTCGGCGGCCAGGCCTCGATCCCCAAGCCTCTTCCCCAGAAGCACCCCCGCGTCATCCACTCGAGCCAGTACGCCAGCGTGATTCCCAAGCTTCTTCGCGACCAGTCCGCTCCCGTGCGCGTGGCTGTTCTCGGTGCTGGCCAGTCGGCAGCGGAAATCTTCAACAACGTTCAGAACCTCTACCCCAACTCCAAGACTTATATGATTATGCGCTCCGAGTTCATGAAGCCTTCTGATGATTCACCCTTGTACGTTCTCTCTGTCCCTCTTTCTTTCCATCTTTTGCCATTCTGGAAGCATGCAACTAACAATTCTCTACCAGTGTCAACTCCATCTTCAACCCCGAGTTCATCGACACCATCCACGCCCGCCCCTCGGCCTACCGCACCCACTTTCTTGCCGACGCCAAGGCGACCAACTACGGCGTTGTCCGTCTCGAGCTCATTGAGCACCTTTACGAGGTCATGTACCACCAGCGCCGCGTGCTCGGTACCGACGAGACGAAATGGCCCCACCGTATCATGGCCGCGCGCAAGGTGGTCTCGGTCTCGGAGAAGGGTGATACGCTCAAGATCAAGGTCGGCCGCTACTTCTATGGCGAGGAGGAGGAGACTGATGTCACCGATGGACCCATTGTGGACGAGGAGACGCTCGATGTGGACGTGATTATTTGCGCTACTGGCTACAAGCGCATGGCGCATGTGGATATGCTCAAGCCCACGTGGCCGCTGTTGCCCGAGGCCGATCAGGCGCTGGTCGCCGAGGCTGCCAAAGGATCATCCAAGGATAGGTGGTTTGTCGAGGGTGGCGAGGAGAAGAGCATGAGGGTGATTGAGGCCAACCGTGATTATTCGGTCAAATTTGGGGAGGGCAAGGTCGCCCAGGGCAGTGGCATCTGGCTGCAAGGGTGCTGTGAGGGAACTCATGGTGTAAGTCTTCCTTTCTTGTCTCTCTGATGACGGGGTGCATTTTGTCGATGATGAACGCTAACGGTCACAAACAGTTGTCTGATACTCTTCTTTCTGTTCTGTCTACACGGTCTGGCGAGATCGTCAAATCAATTTTCGGTGCTTAAAAAGGGGAGGGAGGGAGCACGATGATACCAATGTTGTTGCTTGTGTCACAGCGAGAGCGATTTTCCTTTTTTTACATCCATTGATGATTGTCTAAATCTGGAACGGAAAAATACCTTTGGGGTTTTCACATGGTTTTGTTTTGGAAAGAAAAATTTCCTTACATGTCACTTTTACTTCTGTTGTACATAATTTTTCTATTATTATTTTCGGTTGTTGGCTTTGGCATAGCATAGCTTTCATGCTTGTCTCGTTTCGCAGCTGAAGCAAAATAGCGTTGGGTATACCTTTTGGACACACACACTTCTTCGACCTTCTTCTGTCCTGCACAAGTTTTTATTACTGGCAGGGGTAATCACAACTTTATGGAGCTGGCGGTGGTGTGGTTGTTTCTACCACTCGCGCGATTTTCCACGTGCAGCGCGATTATCAGATCATCAGAAGGGTGGGAAAAAAAATGCGGGAAATGCCTGTAGCAAGGGGCCGATGATCGGATCAGATAAAAAGTTTTCGACCCCTCTGGGTTGGGATTCGAAACACGCCCTTGGTTGGCGATGACCTTGGCATCAGATTACGTATCTTTGAGCCGAAGGTACTTGGGTAAGAAGCCGAAGAGACGAGGGGCGGGCGGAGGAACGCTCGGCGGATCTGATAAAACACACGCGGCCGACAAAAAACGGCGTTGAACACGAGTTCGAGGTCGAGGGTGCCATAGAGTGCCTGGTGGCTGGGAACGGAGCTGGGGAAAGACTTGAAAACGGAGGCCATGATGGTGGCAGTCGGTGGAAGATGCAGTGCCTGCCGTGCCTGTGGCAGCGGGGGACGTGGGGGGGGGGGTCCACTTCACATCACCATCTCATCTCCGAGTGTGCGTGGTGTCTGGGAGCTGCATGCTTACGGTTGGTGTTCTAACTCCAGTCGACGGACCTGAGGCAGAAGTGGAAGCTACAAAGGAAACTGAAGCGGCGGGATTGAGAACCTTTGTTGGCAACGGAACTTGGTTGAATCAAGAAGGACCCGCCGTGACTGCAGCCAAAGGAAAAAAATTGCCTCAAGGTTCAAGTTCCTGTCCCATTGGCGACCCTTTCGAAGTTGACGAACCCCTCACTTATAGTACATACCACTTGCCATTTCAGTTCTGTTCGGCGTCAAGCAATGCACGAATGTTTAAGACCGGGAAGGTGCGCGGGCAGATGGTGTACACGAAATGCAGTGTGCACCTTCTCGGTCTGGATCAGTGCAACTCAACTGGCGACTGCATGGTCCCTTCCGCGGGGGGGGGGGGGGGGGGGCTTTTGTTTGATGCCAGATGTGGATGCCAAGTTCGGCTAAGGTCCTAACAGCTTTTGGTGCGTTCACTACCGCACTCGGTTAGAGAGCCATCTAAACTTACACGTTCAATCCGTCCGTCACAAGCCTGAGTGGGCCAATTCCTTTCTTCTTCCCCTCGTTTGCGAGTGTCACTTTTTCCCCGCGGCACCAGCACTCAACTTGAACTGTCGTCGAATTTCAACAAGATCCACTTTCCATCATCCTCCCGCGCCAGGCAACATTCTCCATCCTCTGCGTGAAGCTTCAGACCTCTGTTCATTGTCTCGTGACTTTCATCACCTCATGGTGGGCCATAAACCAGAAGGCTTCAACGTTCCTCTCCGAAACAAAACATAGCCCGAACCCACCCACAGCATCCACACCATCCACACCACATCCATGCCCGCCTCCTCCTCCAGAAAAGGGTACTACGGCCGAAGCTATCAGAACGATCATCAGTCACGTCCCTGCCGATCAACATCGTTACATACATATGTACCTCGTTTGCAAGGTCTCAGTCTTTGCTAAAGTCGTCGCTGGAGACTGGAGGCGAGCAAGCTTCGTTCGGCGTTACGGTTATTTCCTTTCCTGTCTCCTCGTGGCAATCGTTTGACATACAGTAATTGTCTCATCACGGGACGTGCCGTTGTCTTTCAATGTTGCTTGATGTGTTGTTGACAAGTGTGTTGATTGCTTCAAGCACTGTTTGTTCTCTGGCTGCCACCTGACGACCCACGCCTGTTGTGTTAGCTTGACGAGACTCTTGTTACCTTTGACACATTTTATGATATCGGCCTGTTTCTTTCTTGCGCTCCTTGTTCGTCTCGTCACTCTGTCATGACTGAACAGTAACTGAGTTGTGCGCATATCCAGCAATTCATCCGCTCTGATTCTCCCAAACAATTCATTTACGTTGCCCTATCCTTTCACGGTGGCCTCGTGGTGGAAATAATACCTGTGTTCTTGGACTGATGGCCCATTACTTAGGTGCTCAAGTGGGTTTCAAAATTAAAAGAGTGGCTTCATCTCTGCTTTTTGTATATCAGTCACAGTGGGACACATATTTTCATTCGGGATTATTTGATAAGCTTTCATTGACTTTTGAGCTGTACTATAAAGGAGAGGACCGAAACTGGTCGTGAAGTCCCCCGTAATGGCCGAGTTAAGCACCAACCCTCTGCTGAAAGATCTACGAGAATCTCTTCAAGAGGAGAGTGACTATACTCTGCCACATCCACGCGCTGGACCCATTTGCGTAGGGTACCAAGCAGGCAGTGTGGCTCAAATATTACAATATCTTACATATGCGATGCCCCTTACTTTCCCTTCTTCTCGTCCTTTTGCTTCTCGTTTCCCTTCACTTTCTGCTTGCCATTCACAGCATTAGCACCAGCACCAAGATCACATTCCTTCTTGTGTCTCTTCCAATCTGCCACCTGGCACTCCTTCGAACAATACCGTGCTTCCTTGCACTTGGAGCACTGATTCAAGTCGCCTCCATTCCCTCTGTTCTTTGGCTCGTTGCAAAAAGTGCACCTGTATCTCACCGTGGGCTTTGTGGTAGCCGTGGCGGGTCCAGGTTTGGCATTAGCTGAAGCCGACTTGATGCCAGCAGGAGGCGGGGCTTGAACTGAAGCTTGACCTGAGGTTGAAGGCCGCTTCGGATTCAGAGCCAAACGAGCGGCTTTAGCCACCAGAGCTTGGGCCTGGGCCTGAGTCAAGCCAGTGCCAGTCGAAGCCGCAACCGGAGTTGAAGTCGAGACTGGTTTCGGAGGTCGTATTTCGAGTGCTTTGGCGGACAACGTCGAGCGAGTGTCAGTTGGAGCTATCGTTCGAGTCGGAACTGAGGCCGGAGCTGACCTTGTGGGGTTGGCTTGGATCCTATTCGCAGATGGAGGCTGGCTCATGCCGGTTGTAGCCGGAGCCGGAGTCGAAGTCGAAACGGGAGCTCTGCCCGGAGCTGCTGCTGCTGAAGTTGTAACTGCACCCGGAGCGCCAGAAGTCACACCTGTAACTGGACCAGTATGGGGATAGAGCAGAGGATCCCAGCTCATCGGGTGCTGATACGGTTCTCCAAGCCCTGGACATCCAAACGGAAGGCTGATGGCCGCTCTAACAAGATACGGCCCGATCTCCTCCCATTGTGGAATCGGATAATCTTCACACACTGACCAACTCTTAGGCAGTTTACCCATGCTGCACGAGCAAAACACCGGATCATCCTTCCGAGACTGCACATGGTTCGCCACCAGTGCCCTCTGCTTCTTCTTGTACTCACAAGTTGGTCCATGCTCCCATGTATGGCCGCGACACCGCTCAGCAAAAGCAGGCAGAGCCTCCTTCCAAGTTCTCATCGACTGGGACATGACGGATTGATTATAAATAGGCATCGGGTCGCCGATGCTCCCGTCTGTCAAGTATCTGGGCAAGCTCTGGCGCAACTCCCTGGTGATCACCAGCACAGCGGTATCCAGTATCACCGTTCCATGAGCCAAGTCCAGACAGATGCCGTCTTTCGCAATAAAGATGACGATTCGTCTCATCCCATGTCTAGAATGTTCAGGTTGATTGCCAGTGGCAGCACCCTCGCTCCAACTGACACTACTGCCGGTGCCGCTGCCCATCTCCTTGCCGCAGTCAAGACAATTCTCATGGCAAGTGCAATCCGGCGACTTCTGGCTGGGAGCAAAGTCGCACAGCGCAAACACGCTCCTACATTCAGTATCCGGCGTCAACATGATATTCGGATTTATGTGCCTCCAGTCTGACTTCGGCCTCAGGACCCCGGCCGCCATGTCAAACAGCGTGGACAAGGTGATTTTGAACTCAAACCTGGCATGCTCGCCGGATGTTATGAGATACCGATTCAGAGCGTTAGCAAACTGTTCGTCTTTTTCCTTGAGCTGCTTCTCTTTTTCCTCGCGAGAAGCATTTCTCGGGAGTGGGTCAGCGATCTGAGAGAAATGCGAATGCATTGTGGCTTCGCGCCGGGAGAACTGGTAGTGGTGGTTTTGTAGCTGCAACCACCAGAGGCAGAAGCGGTTAGTACTGTGGAGGGAAGGGTCCGGGAGGCAGCCGATGAGAGGGCCACTTTGGCAGAGGCGGGGAAGGGTGTCGAGAGGATTACCGGAAGACGACGAGGGGGATGATAGAGAAGATGAATTGGAGGCATGCAGATATGGAAGGGACCAGTTCATGGGTTTCTGAGTGCTTTGCTCCAAATGGACGGGGTGCATGAAAGATGGGGTGAAGAAGGTCCTCCAAGCGAAGGGTTCAATCGGAGTTTCTAGATCGATGAAGCCTTTGGACCGGCCAGTGCGGATTTTTTGCTTTTCATGCTTGGTGGGGAGCGGAATGTCGATGAGAAATATCACGGGACACAAGTGGGAGTAGTTGGAGCCGTGGGAGAAGAATGAAGCGGTGGGGTCTCTGGAAATGATGAGATGATAGGAGCAAGGGGTGACCGGCACCGAGCGGATTTTGCATTCCCTATTTTCCAGTCTGTCCAGGAGACGGTCGGTGAGGAAGGTAATTCGCGTGCTGATCGATTGGATGCGTTGGTGGTTCTCGTCCATCTTGGCCGTCATCATCGTCTTGACCGCGGGAGGCACGGGCTCCTAGTCCTGTGGCTCTTCCGTTAAACCGCACATCCTCGTCACTCCGCTTTGGTTTGGCATATGCTGACTGATGAACACAGACGAACCGGAACCCAAGTTAGCCTCAAAAACCTTCAGGTTCATCTTCAAAGTTCCTGATGCCATGAATGAAAGTTCGTTCCGCCCCGCAACATCGGGGCCAATCGTAGGCACAACTTCAAGGGTCACCAACCCCGTCACTGCGTCCCCCAACAAGATGCTGGTAGGAACCATGAAGCTGACGAGCAGGTCGCTCTGTCCCTCCCACCCGAGTGGATCTGTCTCGATGTTGAGCCTGAATCGAGGAGTGAAACGCCGTCCTTTGGTCTCGAGCCGACCGAACCCCGTCTGCAGAGAAGCAAACAAGTGGCCAGGCAAGTTGGCGACAGGTTTACCTTCATGGTCATGCGTAGGACGAATGCAAGCCTGCAAAGCCGGGACGTATCGTGCAGGTATCTTTCCCCTGCCCCTTCCTCCGCCAGCTATCTCAGGTCTCAAGATGTTCAAACCTGTCTCCAAACTCAACATGATGGTTTTCAAAGTGAGGAGTGAGTGTCGGGGGATCCGCACAGTAACTGCGAGGGAGCTCGGAATGTTGATCCACTGGTAGAGACTCGTGTTGTGCTTATTGGCACTATGGACTGCCTCGTGGGCGGGGTTGTACACTCTCGGTTTGAGCAGGGCGTCGGGGTCGGGTATGGCGTGCTCGGGCGAGGAGTAAGCACCGAAATGGTGGAGGATGGTGCAGAGCTCTTGGTCGAACGAGCCTTGGGTTTCGACGTAGTTGACGAGGGAGTGCTTGAGGGATTCAATCATTACTTCCATCGTATGGTGCCAGGCAATGGTCTGGCGCGAGGGCAATGATGAGAAGAACGGGGAGAACGTGGCCGCTGAGGGGGCGATGATGGTGGATGCAGAAGATGACTCTGAGTCGCTCTCAGATGAGTCCGAGAAGTGAGAGCAGGGAACGAGGTTGGGTACCGGGGACGAGGAAGGCTCATAGGGGTCTGATCGTTCGAAATTGACGTTGGCGTAGCGGTCGGAGGAGTTGGAAGTTGTGGCACTCTCGCCATGGCCGTCGTCGCCGTCTGCGGTTGCTGCCGCCGAGTTGGTGGAAGCGGATGGGTCGGGAGAAGAACGACAGGCGTCAACGGTTGCTGCAAGGATTTCGCTAATCTCTCCACTGACCGAATCTCTGTCGGGCTCAGAAGACGTCTTTCTGATTTCGTCCAGAAATTCCGAGAAATCCACCTGTCCGATGGACTCATCCTCAGACGGATCAGTGGTTGGCAGTGGATCGCCGAGGATGACCACTCGCTCCTGAACAATCTTCAAAAGCGACGCAAAGGTCGCCCGATTGCATGTCCTTGGACTTAGCAACCTGAAGCCCACTCCATGCCTGTGAGCACTTCCTTCAGCACCTGGGTCACTAGGGCCATCGCCATCGCCATCGTTCTTTTTCTCAAACAAGTACCTCGACTCATACATCCTCGAGTAAACTTGCAGCAGAAACTCTACAAGCTCATCAGCTTGAAACCGGATCTTGCGCAGTGGCATCTCCGTCCGCATGTTTTCCCACCTCTCCTTCTGGTTGCGGAATTCGCGCCGAAGCTCAAGGTCCCTTAGCACGAATGCCGCTTGCTGAAACGCCCTGGAATCAAGCATTTCCTCACGTATTTCCGGAGGGATGTTGCGTACATGTTCCGGGATATGTGCCTTGGCGGTGGTCTTCTTCTTCTGAGGTTTCTTTTCCTTCTTCGCCTTGCCTTTTCCTTTTCCTTTTCCTTGTTCCACCTCTTTGTCCTCATCCTCCTCTGCTTTTTCGCACTCCTCTGCCTTCAGAGCCTTCAAATGCTCAGAAATCTCCCTTGTCGTCTTTTCAAATTCCTCGAAATCCCTTGCAAACTCTTCCATTACCTCACGCAGAACGGGACTGGGGCCAGGCCAGATGTTGTTCTTGTCGCTGATGGTCCAGTCCCTGCCGCTGCCGTCGGTGGGTTGGTGGTAGACGGGCCGCTTCCAGGTTAGACGCTGGTTAAAGTACTGTGCAGCGGTGGCTGGAGTGGTGGTTGGGGTTGAGGAGGGCGACGGGGAGGCACCAAAAGCGGGAGGAGGAGGACTCGGCGTTCCGAGAGAGGGTGGTGCTGGGGCAGAGGTGGAATAAGGGGAAGAAAAAGTAGGTGGCGGAGGAGAGGGATAAGTGTTTGTGTAGTATTCTACTGGCGACAGACCAAGGAGGAGGGACATTGTGAGGAGATCGCCATGCAGGAGAGTGTCTGCTACCTCTTGGGGTGTCTTTGGTCCCAGCCTCGCATCGTTGCTGTCGGAAGGCCGAGGCAGGGGAAGTGTGTGCTCGGTGTACAGTGTTGCTGCCAGTCGATTTTCAAGGAGGGGAGAGGCGGAGATGAGCACGTTAAGTGCTCCGAGATCGTCGGCCAGAGATGAAGTATCAATGACGTGAAAGGATATAGGCGCTGGAGACCTGTTCGACTCACTCGGCACTATGCGGTAATCATCGCTGTCAAGGATCAGAGGATCGAATGAATCCCGGAAGCGATACCAGTTGCCAAAAGTCGGGCCGATGGGATACCCAAGGTCTTCCGCCTTGTGGTGCTGGAGGGTATGCGCAAAAGCGAGCGCATCGCCGATGAAGAAACGGAGGGTGATGCGGCCTTTGCGCCACGCACGGCGAAAGGAGTTGCACCAGTCGGCAAATTCTTGTTTGGCGACGGCCTCGAGGCGTTCCAGTTGGGACATTCCTTCGTCTGGGGGTGGCTGGCCGACAATGGGAAGGTAGGCAGGTGCGAGGTGGAAGCCTTGAAGAGGGTCGCAAGAGTGATCGATGCGGATGCCGGGGGACGGGGTGGTGAAGAGGGGGTTGATCACTCGACGTTGGATCGAGTCGGCGCTTCTCTTTGTCGTCTTTTTCCGTCTCTCCTGAGCCTGCTTCTGGAATTCCTGCGAAGGCATCGTCTCCTTTTCCTTCCCCTTTCCCTTGTCTGCCTTCTTCTGCTTTTTCATGTTGTCCTCCAACTCAGAATCGGTATCCGTGCTTTCGTCTGTATCCTCATCTTCGTCATATCTCTCCTCTGAACCCGTTGCTCCCCACCGCCAGAAATCCTCATTTGCCACTGTGGCATGGAAAGTCGCCTCTAAGCCTACCGGCATCGCAGCTCTGAACGAGCATGCCGCTGCTCTTGTAGCGGCGTAAGGGACTCCCACCTCTTCTTGCTCCCTTTTGAGCACAGCGGTGCCGAGACGCTTGAAAAGGCCGTCTGATAGAGCCTCCTGCTGAGCGGAATCGGGTCGACAGAACCAGGCGTCCCAGATCTGGGTTAGCATCTTTAGAGTGCCCGAGTCCGTGAAGCGGATGCCGCTTGTGGGGTTGCGTGATTTGCTGGCATCTCCGACAGGGTTGGCCTTCTGTTTTCCCTCGTCTTTCTTCTTTTTGCTCTTTGACATAGAAGGATAGGGTTGAAATTCCTGACCACGACCGTAGGGACTTGCGTTCCATGTTGACATTGTTGAGCCGATCAGGCGCAGCCTCATGGCCTGCGAGCGAATGAGCCAGCCGAGGTTTTCGGGAAGGTGTTGGTGGTAGTAAATGGCAAAGAGGTCATCAGACGTGGGCGGCGGGTGAGGTAAGCCGGGTGAGTAAGAAGAAGAGGGGTTGATGTTGAAGTCAGGGTCGATAAGCAGGGTGAGCAGGAGGATGTTGCGCGCTGTGGGGACAACAGAACATTAGATGCACGGTCAGCCTTCCTACCTCTAGCTGTTGAAGATGGGAAAGGGGTGGAATAGAGAGAAGGAAGGAAACGTACCAATCACCAACCGATCGACATCACAACAAGTGATATCCAACTGGCGGGTTTTGTCCATGTGCGTTGTGAAGAACACATTTCGTATGTCACCCGACCCGAGAAGCAGGATGTCTACCGGCTTCCCTTCGCCCTTTTTGTCCGGCGGGATGTTCTCCGTCAGACACACAGCGGGGGTGTCGCCGAACGGATAGAACGTACGGGTGACGTTGGGGCAGCCTGGTGTCAGCATCTTGGATGGATGTTGGCGAGATGATACGCCCTTATGTTGTCGATACAAAATTCTGTGAGGGTGTTGTTTGTTTGGAGAAGAAGGACAAAAATTTTGAAGAAGCGATCTGAAGTTGAGAATTTTGTACGCGCTATGGTAGAAGTGGGGGGTGGCCTGTCACTGGGAGGAGATCAGGTGAATGGGAGGAAGCCGAGTGAATGGGAGAGCTGATAAGAAGGGGAGTGAAGGGCGTGCACTCCCAAAAGATCAGATGGAAATTACCTACGTATGACTAAGGCCTGGGAAGGCTGAATGATGTTGGCTAGGCAACAAGCTGAGGACACACGAATGATGTTGTACAGCTGCCTGTCCCTGAAAGCAAAAGACAGTGGCGCTGACTTTGGCCTTTATTGTCATTGTTCTCGGAAACACAGAAGACCATCCGAGCATGTCAACAATTCAGTTTTGTGGATCGGGGAGTATTAAGACCAGCTGGGTCAAGTGGATGGACGGCTGAGGCCAGTGAAGGGGAGGGCACCCACTTGTCGTGGTAAATGGTCAAAGGATGTCTGCTTAGTGGTACAAACTGTAATGAAGATCGTAGGTATGGTTGGCCCAGTTGGTCACTTGGGTGCAGAAGATGCTGGCTGTGACTTGAATGACGTGGGGATATTTGGGCCTGGCGTGCAACATCATGGTGGAATACATGTAGTCGTATGGTAAGTGTAGTGTATTATGGTGACGGTTTGTGCCTTCTATGCCCCTGGCTCACAGACTCTAGTCGCGTACGCTCTAGTAAAGGTGAGCACCACGGTCAACAAATAACCGCTTTAAAGATCTTGTCCGCATTCTTTGTCCAGAGTTCAGTGTAGGCGAGATTGACCTCCTCTTCAGATCTGTCACCTCTGCTAAGATCAACGTAACTGAAGTCAGCAACATTGTATGTTGTTCCTACCATGATCCATTCTCCCAATGAATCAGGCGGGGCCCGTCGTAGAATGTACTGCTTCGATGACCCCCTCAGCAAACAAAGAACGTCTCCCGGTTCTGGAACATCCACTTTGCTGTTGCAGAACTCCAACTTTCCGTTGTCACACATGAAGGGTGTGAATCCATCGAACTCCTGTGCGATGAAATAGGCGTATTCGCTGCATTTGTCCACTTTGTCCCATATATCATGACTAGCTACGGACCTTCCCTCCTTGCAGAAAGCACGTATAGCATTGTAGGCGTCTCCGAACGTTGCGAATCTGGGCATGTAGGTGGCGATTTGAAACCCATGGAAAGACTTCTCGAAGTAATCGCTGAGTAAGTACTCATTGAATTTCCATGGAGCTGGATCAATCACAACCCCAGCGTGGACTTGAATCCAGGTCTCGCAGTCGAGGAGATACTGCCTGCATCCCCAGATAACATGAAACTCAAGGGCGGGGTCAAGGAGGCGCATGACCCTGCTCTCTTCCAATATCTTGCATCGCCGTCCAACAGTTTGTACAGTTCCGATGATCAATGCATCGATTTCCAGAACCCCGTTCTCTTGAAGGATCCTGATGGGATTGCTACCTCTATCCACCGGGCAATGCCAGAAATTCTGGGTTTGACCTTGGAAGTCTGGTACCCATGACGGGCATCTTCGTCCCACCCGTTGACGGGAGTTCAGTGACAGTATATCAATACACCCGCCATCTCCCAGCATCCAGGCAGCATAAGCATGGAATACCTCGTCCACGGGCTTGGAATAATCAGGTGCCAGGTCATTCGGGACCTTCTCCGGACCATACAACAGTCCAAGGAGCGAGTAGATCCGATCCCTTGGGTCCGTGACCTTGAAATTGACGAACCGGGACAGCAGGTAGGCCAGCTGCTGCGATATTGTTTGAGACACGCCCTGCATAGAAGACTCACGCACGCGGTGCTCGGCTTCCCACGCAGTCCGAATCTGAAAAAGTTTCCTCGATCCATAGCTCCGTCCGGTAGATAGCGGCTTCCCAAAGCCATCCATATGAAATAGGTGATTCACAATATCACCACATACCATGTCAAGGATGGACCACGTCAGGCTCAAGTGCCCGACAAGAAACTGGACTTTTTCGCCATCCTCTTTCCAGTTCCTGACAGCCACCTCTTGTATCACCCACATCCGCTGAAACCATGGCCTCTCGAGTAATGTGTCCATGATCTCTTTGACTCCTGGTACCTGGAAATACAATTGTTTTTTGAATATGACGGCAACCTTGATACAAAGGTCGAATGTGTGCCTCCACGACGACTGGCTAACTGTCCCGTAATCTCCGAGCCAGACGTTTACTTCAGCAGCAAAGGCGTAGACATCCCGCATTCGAGGAACCTGAGCATTCCGCTCGGCCACATCTCGCTGGTTGATACAGAGGCTGTCAATCCATAGGCGTCGCGGCTCGTTTTCGTTGCGCAGATAAGTTAGAGCCAAGTGGAGGTTAGTCGTAGCTGGATAGGAGTGACCGTTGAGGTTGATGTCTTTAGTCTGCGTCGGGTCTCCCCAGGTGTATGAGATTGCGATATAGTCGTCTCGCGGACCGTCAAGGACGACGTGATCAAGAGTGCAAAAGACAGGGTCGTCAAAGGAGCCTGGGTGGAGCGTGACGACGCGGATTTCGTTGCCTTGAAGAGGTCGATGGGTGGAAGCGCCCGAAGGCTGGAACGACTCCATGGGTGGCGATCTTTGATGCGAAGAGCAATTCACAGGGGAAATAGAGGAGTTCGTCGATGGTGCTGTGGTCTAGTTTCGAGTTTCGAGAAGTGATGGTTCAGGGTCGTAAGTTGTGAACTTCTGACAAAAAACTGGAACGAGGTTGCAGTTTCCTTCGTTGGGCAGCTATTTCCATGTGACCTGTTGGGCCTCAGCTGAAGCATGACAGGCCGCCGGGAAAGTGCTCAGGAAGGTGGGACCAAATGGCCTTTATCCAATAAAGTTCAGAAGTCAAAAAGGCCACTGATCCAAGCCAATTGAGGATAACCTCCATTGAACGGGGATCAGATTCAGAAGTCGAGCGACCAAATACCACTTGATACAGCAGCCATACTATGACAACACCCCCAGTAGCTACATACCTACCTCTAGGTAAGGTATTGTTTGTTGATGTGCTTGCATCAGTGGAAGTTTAGGTCTGATCCAATGTGAGCTTTACACTCAAACCTGGACCCAACATCCAATGTCGTCAATAGGTCAGGTACTTGTCCAAATAGGTAAGCATCGAACAGCTCAAGGAAGAGGCCTTTGGATCAGAAAAAGCACCGGCCCCGATCAATGCACGCCTGTGAACCTTTGATCTTCCTCCCTGAAAATAGTAATCCTCACTTGAAGATTGTTCTGGTCCCAAGAAGCAGCCTCTTCTAACCTAATCCCTTTCTCCATCCATCAATGTTGCTACCTATGATCCCGGTTCGTGATAATGTTTACCAAGAAACACTGGGGAAGAAAGCGGACAGGATGGCGAAGAGAAAGAAAGGAAATATGAAGGACATCACCTGTACATCCAAAGTTGAATCCAGAACTGTTCAGATACGTAAAGAAGCATGACAGACAGGACATATAACCCTCATCATCCAGGTCTGTTTCTCAACTTCTCACATTCAGGCAGTCAATTCACTGCAGACACTCAGAGAGAACTCATAGCATCTTCCTGGCAGGCTATCCTCGAAGCCGATAACCTAACAGCACGAGCAAGTCGTGACCTGTACCATCGACTGGAGATCCCCAAGCAACTTCACATAACGCAGCAACAACATCCACCATGTTGACGCCAGTGGGCACCGGCGTCCTGCGCTACAGCTACCCCATGGGTGACACGCCAGCCGTGTGCTTGACGCAGGACGTTCCCCCTTCGTTTCGTATTCGCGCTCACGCCCGCACTACGAAACGAGGAGATACAAAAGGGAAGGAAAAGGAAGGAGAGAAGGGAAATGACAGGCAAGACGAGGATAGTGAAAATGACCAGAAAGACCTAATCAGCATCTTGCTTCTTGGGTGTGGAGATCTTCGCAAGATTCTCTTCACGATCAATCATGATAGTAAGCCTGTCGACAGCCGTCCACTCGGGGCGAGGCTTCAATGGCTAACTGGGAAGTAGAAGGTCGTCAACTGGACATAACCTGTTGTGACAACGAGCGAAGCATCATCGGTACGTCTCATCATCGGAAATTGGGTAGCTTTAAGAGAAGGGACAAGGGCAGAACTGACCTCCATCCGGCGGCACACAGCCCGCAACACCCTGTTTCTAACCCTCCTCATCGACATAAACTCCCAAACTCCCCCCTCCCCCTCCTTACAAGACCTCTTCCCAATCTACTACCACCTCTACCTCCCACCCCGCCTCGCCAGCCTCATCGCCTCACAAGCCCGCAAGCTAATCGACGTTTCCGACTCCCTCCAAACCTGGCACGCAAGCACATACGGTCGTGGAGGCATCCGCTTTTGTGACTCGTACTCCCTCTCCCGCGCCCGCGAAGTCTGGCAATGCTGGGCTCAATTCGAAGGCAACGAGGAACCCGGGGTTACTGATGTTGACTTCAAAGCCAAGTTCGAAGCGGACCTGGCTGCGACCAGAGGTGTGAAAACCGATGAACGAGTGGATAGCACTGGCTGTGGCCTCGTCTACACAGCCGTACGATCGGCGGCACCGGCAGCGGATGAGGATATGCGCCATCTGAACGATCTCCATCAACGGTTTTGGAGGGTCGGGAGTCTTTCAGCCCAAAACAGCGATGCGGTCAAGAAGGAGAGCAGGCAGGTTAACCCGATGTTTGCCACGCCGGATGTCGGACGTGTGAGGATGCACTGGGGACTGGATCCGCTTCTGGGGTTTCCGTTGGCGGAGGCGTATACGAGGACGGTGAGTGAGCCGGAGGATGTGAGTGCACCGCAAAAGGTAGTGGCGCTTGTGATGGAGAAGTTTGCGGCGTGGTGCCAGAGTTTCAAGGAAGCATGGGCGGAGAGGAGCGTGGTAACGAGGTGGTTTGTCGGCGATGCCATTGCCTTTGGGCATACTTTGCAAGGCTGTGCAAATGGCAGGACAGTCAATGCCCACTGGTATCGCAGCCGGCATAGCTTCAGACGTTTAAAGTTTGATGGGGAGGATTACCAGCCCGGAAGCCTTACCCCTGCCCCATTATCCTTCATGGTTATTGATACCTCCAATCTCATTGATGACCTCGGCGCTCTCAATGTGCTGGTCGCCACCTCCCCGCTGCTCGAGAACAACCTAGCCGCCACGATCTATACCGAGATGCTCACCCGGTACCATCGCACTTATAAAGATGAAGCCGACAACCTCCTTTGCGGCCCCCTCTCCACCGTCGCCCTCCTCCTCGGTCTGTTTTGCGTAGAACATTCCACCAACACCTCCGCTTATCACCCATCCCAGGACGCCATGACCTACCAAATGATAGAATACGGATCTGCTCTGCCCACAGACATGCCTCCAAAGTTGTACCAGCCATACGAGCGGCTGAGATGGAAGCGGCCCATAGCGCATTAGGCGTGCGCTTTCAACCCGCCACCACATGCATCTCCCGAATCCATGTCTCTGCCCGTGTACCCCATCAATTTCGAGGACAAGGACCTCGTTGGTATAGTTCACCAGATGTACAAGAAAATGTTCTGGGACGACTGTCCAGACGAAATCATAGCCGCCACGATGGCCAATATGAACCTGGCAGACGACGACCACAACAGCGCCCACGAACGAAGGTCAAACCACAAGCTCTACACGCCCGCCAGCTTGGCTGCTTTCCTGAAATTGATCAAGGGCAGAGTGCAAGTGGACGACTGGAGCGCGACAATTGAGGCGATCATCACCCTCATTGTGCAAGAACCGAGAAGGGTAGCACATGGAGACAGTGAGCCGGTCGCTGATTACACTCCGGAGTTGAGGGCCTGGCTGCACCTGTTTGGAGTGTATACACCACTTGAATGGAGGGTTTCCAACAACAACACACACTTGGTGCCGAAAAGGGAAAGGCTTTGGCAGTTGCAGACGTGGAAGAAAATTCCGCCGGTAATGTGCGTGACGGTGGTGGTGCCTCAGTACAAGTCAGTTGTGGTGGGTAGGTTGGAGAGGGACAATTTGGCGGTTGGAATGCCGACTTTTGTTGAGTGCGCCATTTCCAAGCCGGGCGACAACAAAAGTTGCCATGGGTTTGCGGCAGTGCAACTCGGTTATGGGCGGCCGCAGCGCGAGGTTACCCGCGTCAGAGGTTCCAAGTCGATCTTCAAGACTATCATGCGTCTCCCAAGCTTGGAAGGGAAATACCACTTGATGGTGTCCTTTATGGTCCCGACGTCGGTGCTTCTTCAAGATCCCAAGACGTCGATGGTCAAGGTCCAGTTCCGACGAACCCCCAACGCCGCCGATTATGGAGATGTCCTTGGACCCGGATTGGCCATAAACGAAACTCCCCTCCATAACTATGACCAGGTCGTCATCACCCGATACCCGCCTAGGCTGCGGGGCATCCCAACCGTGTATGAATTTCCCAGGACATTACCTCCTCCGGATCTGTCGGCTAGTGCCACCATCTCAGCTGGCATGGACGAAATACGATCCGAAATCATCCCCCTCACCGCACGCCTCCAGTTCACATGCCGTGAACTGAACTCTTGTCTCGCAAAAGGTTACACAGCCCACTACCACCTGGTATCACCATGTACATACCTCATCACCCTCAGCGGTAGCTTTACCGTGAGCACCTATGACATCAAGTCCATGTCTGAGTCGCTCTTTGTACATAGAGACGGACCAGAAACATGCACATGGGAATCAAGTTTCCCTTTCTCCTTCCCGCTCCTCACAGATATATTCACAGCAGACCTCATCACCGGCCCTGTGAGTCCTGATAACAACTCCATCGAGCTACTGGTCAGAACCATTCGCCCCGCGGATATCCGGGAAATCGGGGCCTCCCCATCGTGGATTTATCCCATCCTCCTTTCCCCCCCTCTCCCCCACTCTGCTTCCCCAGTACCTTATTCCTCAGTCACACCAATTTCATGGTCCCTCCCCTACCTCCCCTGCATCGACGATCTCCCAGTCCTTGACATCCAAAAACTTCGCTCCTCCAGCTCCTCCTGGCGTCGCTTTAACCTCTGGCTCAAAAATCACACTTACACCCTTTCCCACTGGGAGCACGAACACACAGAGACGCAACCGGAATCCCTACAAGAGGACTTGCTAAGCATTGGCGAGCTGTCCTGGTTGCAATGGAAGAAGATGGTTCGGGGCATGATTTTGGGGTTCACGGCAGCTGTCGGGAGGAGGCAGACTATCTTTGCTGTTTGTCTGAGAGGTGATCGACAGAGGGTTGTGAGCATGGTCTTCTTTGTGTCGTGTTTGAGGCTGGACGTGGCGAATCGATGCGTGCTGCTTGATGGGGCAGTTCTCGTGCGAACGGCGGAGACAGCTGCCTTGATTGATGGGTTGGAGAAGGTATTGGACGATTGTGCGGATGCTACTGCGCCGGCGTGGACGGAAGCTGAGCTGGACACATCCCTTAAATATTTCAACACTACACGTGAAGGCATCCACCTCTGGAAGGAGATCCTCCCGGCTTATGTCGAGCGGTGCCGAACTTGGGAGCATGACGCTGAAAGGTGCGAGTATCTTCTCCGCGCCGGTGCAACGGGAGTGATCATCCCGATGGATGATGATACCGAGGAGTCCTCGGTCCTTTGCAGCTGTGGTAATGGACGAGTCCCGGGCCATGATAACGTCCCGCAAAAGGTGTGGGAGAGGATCAAGAAGCATTTGGTGAGGGTCGCTATCTCCCCTCCGTTCGGATGTCCATTTGTGGAGGAACCGTATGTCCCGGAGACGAAGAAGAATGTGAACAACCCGACTCCGCGGCCGCCACCTCCACCCAAAGCTGTGTGCAGGAACCCAAACTGTAAAAGAAAGGATGGAAGAGAGTTGGATCATACTTGTCCCGTTTGTGAGAACACCAAGTACCTCTACTGTTCCAGGCCGTGCCGTAAGGCTGATACAGCGAGGCACAAGAAGGAGGAGTGTCAGGGTGGAAAGGGCAAGAAGAAGTGAAGGGAAAGCAGGATTTAGAGAAACGCAACATGTAGTAGAGGTAGTAAGCTTGTAAGATAGAGGTCCAGCTCAAACTATCGGGAACGTGCTCCCCAACCTTATTTTCCTTTCTTGTTCTCCCATTCTTCCTTGACAAACTCAGCGCATCGTTCCGCCATCATGACCACCGGTGCCATCGTATGCGCACTCGGGATCTTGGGAAACACGCTAGCATCTGCGATTCTCAAGTTCTCGATGCCATGGACCTTCAGCTTCTGGTTTACCACTCCCTCTCTTGAGTTGTTTGACATCCGGCAGGTGCAGGAGACGTGGAGGCTGGAGACACAGACGCGGGAGGCGTAGGCATCTATTTCCTTTTCTGTGACTGTGCGCCAATTTGGTTTTTGGAACTGCTGCTTTTTGGATTTGCTGTGTGTGGACGTAGAAGCAGATAGTTGTGTGGCTCCTGGCAAAAGATCCTTACCAGGCACAGGAACGGGCTCCTCATCCGCTGGCTTCTTCGTCGTCCAGAACCTTTGTAACAACCCCGTCTGGGGTTCGTAAAGGGCGTCCAAATACACCAAATCCATTCCCGGCGCAATCCTCAGTGGTGCCTCGTGCGGATATCCTGTGTTTGTAAACTCTTCCGCCAATCGCATAGTGAACCGCACCGCCTTCCTCATTGTCGCTCGATCTCTGGCATCGGTCATCATCGGGTAACAGATCTTCGGGTCAGCCAGCGGGTCATCAGACGCAAGCTTGACATGCCCCCTCGAATATGGTTGGATGAGCGTTGTGTACCACGTGAAGAGTGACTTGCCCGAGATGCTCACGGTCAGGCAGTTGACGGGGTTGATCATGATCTCGACGTCCGGGACATTCCGAGGCAGAGAAGCCTCCATGGTGTCTTGGTCTGAGTCGTCATTGTGTCGAACGGTCATTGTATTCGCCTCCAGAGCTGCGGTGCGTACGAAGATGCTTCGGGGAGTAGTTCCATTGGCGAGTAGGCCTCTGCCAAAGAAGAGGTAGAGGAGAAGGTGCCAGAGGAAGACGAAGGCGTTTTCGAGGCAGTGGAGGGTATGTTCGCGTGGGAGGTCCAAGATGATGGGGACGGAGGTATGGTCGGAGAGACCCTGTCCTACTGCTGGGAGGTCGTGGAGAACTGGGATCTTGAGGGATTCGAGATGCTGGCGAGGTCCGATGCCACTGAGCATCAGGAAGTGAGGCGTGCAGATGGTCCCACTGCAGACGATGACCTCCCTCCGGGTCTTGACCGTATACTCGCGGTCACCTTCTCGAACCCTCACACCCGTCACCCGTGTCCCATCCTTGCTGAAGAGGAGCCTCGAAGCTACCACTCCGGTACAGATCTTCAGCCCCATCCTCTCCCTCACCGTCTCCCTCGGCAACCAAGCCTTGTACGCCGACACTCTCTGACCCTTCCCGTCAATAGTCTGATCCATCACAAAGCATCCCTGTGCGTTTGCACCTGGGTCATTCACCCCCTCCCCCACAGGTAACCCAACTCTCCTCGCCGCTTCCTCCACGAAGGGTATACACCCAAGTGTGAGCCCCGGCTTCCTAGGCCTGACAACATCCTCGCTCTTCCTAAACCACGGCTCGACCCTCTCCCAGCTCCAGTCCTCTAGTCCATGGCCTTCGGCCCACTGGTTGTACCCCCCTGCCCCACCTCTTGTCCATAGCAAGGCATTGATTCGTATCGCCCCGCCCAAGGCCTCAGCGGTCCAGAGTGCCGCTCGTCTGCCATTGGCAGCGGGGATCGGGTCGGAGTCGCGACGGACGGACTGGAGGAACGGGAATTCGAAGTTTTGCGAGAGAAGGGGTATGCGAGAGAGGAAGTTGTCGCGTACACGGCCTTTTTCCAGGAGGAGGACGGAGACGTTGGGAGATTCGGACAGGCGCGAGGCCAGAACGCAGCCTGCTGTGCCGCCTGTCGGAGAGGGGGGGCGAGTTAGCTGGGGTTGACCTCTGGATAGGTAATACGAGGGAATGGAAAGGGGACTGACCGCCGACAATGATGTAGTCAAAGGTTTGATCGTGGATATCGATCGCGTGGACTGTGGGGTAGGACGGCGCGAATGGCCACATCGTTGTCGTGGTGGTTGAAGGCGAGGGAACCGAGCGTCGGGTCAAAGACAGGAAGTTGGAGACGCGGGACAGCGGTTGTCCGCTACGGCGCTGTATTACAGGCGATGTTACGCTGTAACCATGACGTGCATCCCGTCCCATCGAGGCTGATGCTTCCCCCCCCCCCCCCCCCCCCCACATCACGAACATCAACACCGCAACCTTACATAGGTAGAAACACGCAAAGTTAAAGTATCAAAACAAGAGGTATCATTACTGTACTTATCTATCCCTGTCGCTTTTTCCGAACCCATCCATTTATCCCAACTCCATTGCTTTTTTCATCAACGTCCATCTAAAACTTCCACCCCTTAGGACCGCCCCATGTGCCCTTGACCATGGCATTAAAGTACACCCAGGGGAAGAAGTCCTTCTTCAGGTGATAGAAGGCCCGTCTGGGGGTTCCCTGATCCAAGGCACCACCAACAATGGGCAGTCCACCAAACGTCTCCTTGGGCACACCCGCATACTTGAACTCGGCCAACATGACCTTGCCATACTCGGTCACCAGCGGGCACGAAGTGTACCCATCATACTCGAGCGCCGGCTCCTTGCCCTCCAGGCTCCTCAGCAGGTTGCCCACAAGAACGGGGGCCTCGGCAGTGATGGCCGCCGCAGTCTTGGAAGTAGGCAAGCTCGAAGCGTCACCGGCCGACCACACATTCTTGAACTTGTTGGACTGGGTAGTAGCCTGGTTCACATCGACGAAACCAGCCGCGTCAGCCACCGCGCTGTTCTTGACAAAGGCGTAGGGGCCCATCTTGGGGACGACGTGCAAGAGGTCAAACTCGCGCGTAACCTTCTCCTCGCCCTTGGCGAAGATGGCCTTGTTGCCGTTGACCTCCACGAGATCGTGTGCAAAGAGACCCTCCACGCCGCGCTCCTTGCGCAGCTCCTCCAGGCGAGCAGAGTACTTGGGCACGCCGAACATAGCCGGCAAAGCCGTCGCGAAGGCGATCTGGATCGCGCCCGACGAGGGGTTGGAAGGGTTGTAAAGTCCCGCGCGCTTCCAGTGGTCCAGAGCCAGCCACATGGCCTTTTGCGGGGCACCAGCGCACTTGATGACACCGGCGGGTTGCGTGAAGATGGCCTGGCCGCGCTTGAGCTTCTCGATGGTGGGGAAGACCTTGCTCACGGTATGAGCGCCATAGATGGTCGACACAGGGGCGCTGGGGTCAGCGAGCGCTTCGGGCAGACCCTTGATCTTGTCGTAAGTGATCTCGATACCGGGAACAACGACCAAGTGCTCGTAACCGATCTTGTCGCCATTGGCGAGAGTGACGGAGTCCGTCTCGGGGGAGAGCTGAGAAACAGCCTGGTTGTAGAACTTGAGCTTGGGGTCGATGAGGGAAGCCTCGTCGCGGCGCAGAGAAAGAGGGTCCTTGAGGCCGCCTCCGACGAGCGTCCAGCCGGGCTGGTAGTGGTGGTACTGAGCCGGATCGATGACGGCAATCTCCTCGGGCGAGAACTTGCCGGTGCGCAGAAGCTGGTGAGAGATGGAAAGGCCGGCCGCACCGCCGCCTACTACAACGATACGGTGCGAGCGGGAGGTGCCGGTGACGGGGGCAACGGAAGCGAAGCCCCGACGGGAAAGAGGGACGGCGAAGGCGGCACGGGGGGCAGCGCGGGTGGCTGCCGTGAGGGCCGTCCTGGTAACGAGTGAGCTGCTCATCTTGAATCTGTATCCGCTATCGGAGACTGAGCTGAGGTGGTGGAGTGAATGTAGGTTGGTGTTTTGAGTGAAAAAAAGTGTCGTGATACGACAGTCAGCGAGTGAGTGAGTGAACTCAAAGAAAAAAGACTGTTAAAGTGCCCCCGGATTTGTAACAAATCTCAAACTAGTGTAAGCGCGATCACCTCATCGTCGACCTCTCATGTTGCGTTGCTGAGTCAACCTCCCGGCCCACACCCGATAGCCGCCGAGTGGGGCTCCTTTGACGGATTCCGGGGGCCGGTTATCGGCGGGTGCAAAATTTGCCATGGAGCCCCGGTCGACGGCGATTACAGTGTGGGAGCACGGGCCACCCATCCCCCGAAAACATCAGGTCATTCCAAGTCACATGTGGCCCTTGACCTCGAACACATCGGCGACCACCTCATCGGTGATGGATTACTATGTAATACTCGGTGGCGTTCATCCCCGGGACATAGACGCCGCCCGGCCCCCCGGGACTCGGCCAGGATGTGTAGGTAGTGTGATATATATCTGTTTGTGAAATCTGTCATGATCTAGCTGATGTCAGGGAATTGTTTTTGATGCTTCAACAACACCAACATCCACATACCTCAACCATCACATATTGAATCTCACCATGACATCTTTACAGCCTTACCTCGCAGAAGTCTGCCAGACAACCTCCAGTCTCTTGACCAGCAGCACCTGCGCTCCATGTCTTTATCACATCCGACATCTCACAGCATCGTTCCCAAGGAGTGCATTACGAATCGCCGCCACTAGATCTCTCAGCTCCACATCTTCAGCATCAACTTCCCAAAGGAGGACAATTTATCGATCCCATCGACCTCATCTACAACAATCACATATTGTTCCCACAAACTCCATCCAACCCTCTTCACTACGCCGAACACACACCACCACCACGTCACCACCAGAACCAACAATAACCCCCCTCTTCGAACCCACCACCTCCACCTTCCAATACCTCGTCGCCGACCCCCTCACCCTAACAGCCGCCATCATCGACCCCGTCCTCGACTACTCCCCCCTCGACAATTCCATCTCCACCACCTCCGCCGACGCCCTTCTCTCCCTCATTGCCTCCAACGGCTACAAAATCGCTTGGATCCTCGAAACCCACGCCCACGCCGACCACTTATCTGCCTCCTCCTACCTCCAAACGCGATTAACAGAAGTACAAGGAGAAGACCACAAACCCCCCATCGGTATCGGCAAAAGGATCGGTACCGTCCAGACTTTATTCAGCAAGCGGTACGGAGTACCGCCGGAAGAAATCCAGCAGGTATTCGGCCACTTGTTCGACGATGACCAAGTCTTTCGGATCGGCAACCTCGAAGCGAAAGCCATCCATCTTCCCGGCCACACGCCCGATCATCTAGGGTATCAAATCGGCAACAACGTCTTCTGCGGCGACAGTCTGTTCAATGCAGACATAGGGACCGCGAGGTGTGATTTCCCCGGCGGGAGTGCGCAGGATCTGTACCACTCCGGCCGAAAGTTGTTGCAGAGTTTACCGGACGAAACGAAGATTTGGACAGGACATGATTACCCGCCTGAAGACAGGAAGGAGCCGGTGCCGTGTTTGACGGTTAAAGAGCATAGAGAGAGAAATAAGCATTTGCGGGATGGGATCACGGAGGAGGAGTTTGTCAAGGCCAGAGAGGAGAGGGATCGGAACTTGGCGGCGCCGAGGCTGTTGCATCAGAGTTTGCAGGTGAATATTCGGGCGGGCAAGCTGCCGGGGGAGAATGAGAGTGGGTTGAGGTTGTTGCATTTGCCGGTCAAGATTAGGACGGATAAGAAGTGGTGATCTGGACGGGTTAGTAGGAAGAGGTAGTCGAGAAAGGAGGAGGGTAAAGAGGAGATCAGGATTCAGTGGTACATCACCCACCGTGCGAGTCTGTTCACCGTGGTTGAGACGGCTCGTCATGTGTCCTAGGTGTTCATGACCCATATGCATGCCTCAAACTCTGTACCAAACTCCTCACCCTACTTCGTACATGTCGAAGCGCATTCGAATACGTGTTTGTAACATTCTTGGAGCTTTGGAAGGCCTTGTTCGAACTCGCAGGGTCGGACTATGAGTTTCCGGTCTGCTTATATGACAGGATGAGACGGTGAAATCACGACGAGATGAGCTGGAGATTGTGATCAGATGTTGATGGTACAGATTAGGTAGAGGTACCTACCTAGTACCCCAATAGCAGTGACCAGCGCCCTCACAGTCAAGTAGAACCACTTGTACATAGGTACTCCATCATGGTGGCCTTCCTTGCAAGCACGTTGTCCTGATCTTGGGACTTCCGATGATCGATGTGGCAGCAGGTGGTAAAAGCTAGCGAAAAGATGACAGCGACAGGGCAACAGCACCATGGGAGAACGTACAGGCCAATTCAAGTGTTGACCATACCACCAGATACCAATACACAAATCCTCATCACTCTATGTTATCATCTCTCCTCCTCCACCTCCCACCCAAGGTCCCAACTCTCGGGTCCCCACGGATCAGCCTCCAACGCATATGATACCACCTCCAGCTCATGCTGCTCAATCCACTTCAGCTGATCCTGCAGCCTCCGATACGTCTTTTCGTAGAGATGATAATCATCGTACCAAACACGGAACCACGAGTCCATCGTAGAGGCCATGATCTCTTCGTTGGAGCGAATGTCCGAGATAGCTGGGCGCACGGGTCGTAAGCCTTGGTACATGCGCTCGACAAAACTCGTAAAGCAGGTGAAACGTCGCGAGAGCTCATCGAGCTGGTGTGTAGTGAGGAAGGGTTCAGCCAAGAGGTCCTCTCCTTGAATGGGAAAGTCGGAGACAATGGACTTGCCGTACTCGACCCAGTAGTTGGCAAAGTCTCCAAAGGGAAGACGAAAGTCGTCGCAGAGCTTGTCCCACCCGAAGAGAACTTGGTATCGAGCCCTTTCGAGCGCATCAGCCATTAGCGACCTTGCAAAGGCTACCAGATGCCGTCTGAACGCTGCCATGCCGTGTTCCCTCAAAAAGCACCGATTACACCTGGGTTCCCTCAGCTCTCCCAATTCAGCATCTTGCACACAATATTTGCTCATCGCATCCGTCAAAAAATGCACCTCTTCGTACGCAATAACAGGCAAACGAAACTGTGACGCCTCTCGCCATTTGGCGCAACCACCGCAGCGAAGGATGCGCATTGTCAAATGGTACGTCTTGTTATCATGGGCACCGTAATATAAGAAGCGGCGGCCGATTTTGGCGCGAGGGACAGGGTCAAACAGGTTGGGGAAACACCTGTCAAAAAAGTTGTAGAAATCCAACTTGCGCCCAGTGACCACTGGTGAAGGGAGGATGGGCCGCCCTCCGTTGTGCATCGAGTTTTTGTTACGATGCCAGTCGCCCCGGACAAAGATACATTCAATGCAACGACGGTTGTGTCGACGGAGGCCGCAAATTACGAGCTCATGGTTAGAGGCAATCAGGTCGTTAGTAGTAAGAATGTCGGCCTCCACGTTTCCGGCCCAGAGGAACTGGTTGATTCCCCCAGCCTGCCGCATGCTTTCCCATGGGTGGGTGGCCTCATGATACCGCATCCGGACATCGGCAAGTGACTCATCTCGAGCCCGGATATGGATTCGGTGCTGGAAGATCCTGGCTCTCACGCCGTCATCCCATCTGTCGATAAACCACCATTCGGCCAGGCGATTGGCCTCTCTGCTGCCGGGAGGGGGCTTGCGAAGGTCGAGCCGCAGGATGTTGTGGTTATCGAACCTCGTATGCGGCAGGAGCTTGAGGCAGCCTCCACAAGCGTACTTGTTGGACTCCCAGTCCTTGGAGCCCATGCGAGGAGAGATGTGGGAATCCCTGCCTCTGAGGAACGGCGTGATGCCGCCATACTCGGGAATCAGCTCAAGGGCGAGCAGGCGCTGGAGGAAGTTGATGCGTGTCGGCCTGATGGTGGCTCGCAGAGTCTGGCAGGTTTGGGCCAAGTTGATCAATGAGATGGGATCAACGTTATCCAAGATGATGAGGAGAATTTCCAACGGAGCGTTATGCAATGAGATGACAGACATCTTTGGGTGAGGGCTCGAGGTGGACTGGAAGTGAGGAGGTAGGGTGAGGTGTGGCGAGATGGCTAACGAGTTGTGGTTATATTCATATATTCCCACCCAGTCCGGTCAGCTTGTTGTCGCATTGGTTGATGCGTGTCAAACACGAAATCTAGGTTCCGTTCCATCAAGTTGAAGTAAGGAAAAAGTGTGATGAGGACAGAGGTTGAGGAATCAAGTGAGATGGCTAAAGCCGGCGGCAGGCGATGTCAAATCGAGTCATACGGTAAGTCTCGTCAACGAAGGGCCAAGTAATCACGATGTAACGTAGGCGTGAGGTCGAAAAGGAAGGCCGGGGTGAAAGGGCGGAAGAAGGGGAGAAGGGGAAAAATGATTAATTTTCAACTTGCAGAACCACAGTGTGAAGAAACCGTGAAGAAGTCTGGGAATACGTGATCAGGTTCAACGCATCGTCAAGTTGCATGGCTGCAGGCGACAGATGAAGATGTATCAAACAAAGATAGAGAGGCTGATGAAAGACGACGAGATTGACGTGGAGGAGAGTTATCGTGATGAAGGAAAATGGATATTTTGTGATTCCGTGGAAATGACGGCGATGAGGGTTGAATTACGTGAACTAAGAGGAAGAAGCTGGAAGAACGGTGACCGTACAAAATGCGATTATTGATTTCTCAAATGGAGGAAGAAACATCGTCCGAGGTTTTTGATGTGAAGTTGAAAGGAACTGAAGTGGTACGACGTGAAGTGGAAGGTACGGTGACACCAGGAATAGGTACCTCTAGTGGGGCATGCCCCATTCGAGATACGTACCGTCTTATCTTATCTCGAGCAGCTACTCGTATCAGCTCACGTGATTACCTCAATCGTCACCACCCTCTCTGGGGAGGACTTCACTCGGCCCTTGACAGCCACAATCACAAATTGGGCGGAGCATGTCACAAAGAGTTTTGTTCATTTTAGTTTGAAGAGTATTTCTGAATTTCAAAACCATGAGTAACTATCCATTATCTCAAATTCCTTCGATAAACACTGCATCCCCCTCCCTTTGTTAGCTTGCATTATCATGAAATTAGTACTTTCAACGAGATAAAGTATCTTTGCGGATGGATCGACGGCCAATTCTATCTCAAGATCTCGAGATGTCGTTGGGCTAATCAATGCTTACCACAGACTAGACAAACCACAGCCCTCTCCAGTTCTTTATCCGCCTTCTGCTGGACCGTGATGGTTCTCACTCCATTGGGGCACTTGTTGACATAGTCATCTTCGAACTCGATGCCCAGCTCTTGAGCCGTGGGGCAGCGAATCTTTTCATCAGGGATCGGCTTGGTAGAGCCACAAGTGCGGCAGATGGCGGGAGTGAAGGGGATTTGGAAACACATGTTTGCTGTGGGTGGTGTGTGGTGATACTCGGTGTCTGAGCACTGAGTATCTGTTATTCGCAAGTGAAGGTAGATGAATGTCTTGATCCGTATCTGGTTGTGACTGTGAGTTTGATCTGATGGCGAGAGACGGAAGACTTCATGTTTAGCTCGGTGTGTCTTCTGCTTTTATATCTTTTCGGTAGAAAAGATTGCTTGTGAATATTCACATGAGTTGGGTCGTTTTTCGACATAATTGCATTATATTCTTGGTGATGTTCCATGGACGAAGCTGTTATGTCGATACAATGGCCTTGTTTCGATGAAGAGTGTTGCCCGACGAAACAATTCGGACAAAGAAAACAAAGAAGGTGAAGTCTCAGGGCCAATGAACAACAACAGTGATTTTACTTTGCTTCGTTGTGTCCATCGGTCCAAGACAGACGAGAAGGATAGAGAATGTGATGGCCATACAGCGAATCTCCAACCTGAACAAACATGAACGAGTACCTGATTCCACGACAGATCACTTCCAGTCCTCAGACCGCCATGCCATCTCAGGATCGAGTCATTAAAGAACTGGAGATTGACCAGGTGCATGACTGCTGATGTGCCCAAGTTCTGGGACTGCAAATAGGTTAGGATAGCGAGACTGAGAATCATAGACTGGTTCTTCACCAGTGGGATTCGTAGCTGTCCATTCTGTATGTGAAGAAAGGGTTGGTGCATCATTGATGATGAGGAACGTTGCGTCGAAGAAAGGAATGCTCAGCCGTGCGTGAAATACGTTGTGGTACTGGGTAGGTAGTTTCTGTTGCAAGCGCACTACTGTGTTCGCTTTGCTGACTGTCCATTACGTCCGCATCTACGCCTGGTATGGCATCTTGTGAGTTGTTGCGATGCTTGCCCACGCGGCGCTCGTCACTTCATTGTATTGCTCGCGCGCGTCTTGTCGGTAACATTTCGACTGGGAGTTCTTCATGTCACATTCTTGCCCTCAGTTCTTTTCATGGCGGAACAAAGTGGTGCCGATTTTGCGACCATTAAAATTTTCCTGAGAGAAAGGTTACCTAGATAGACGAGCCGAAGCCTACTTAAAGGCCAGCTTTAAGCATGAAGGGAACAACGCGGAGTAGTCGTTTCGATGAAGTTAGTTTTCATGATAAGATAGAGCAGATTCAAGACAAGTGTTGATGGAAAGATGCCGTTGCTCTGATAAAAGAGGTGACTGGAGCAACCAAGGAGGGCCCAGAAGAAGAGAGACGGGAGCCGGCGGCACAACATAACGAACGGCAGATTTGCTCCGTCGGCACCGAAAAGCTTCAGTTTCGTTGACAAAGGCAACGCCGCGCTTGCTGATACTTAAAATTGCTCAGCGAAGTAGCAGCCATTCGCAAGGGCAGGAGCGACATCAACATCATGTCGGATCAAAGTTCACAGTCCTTCGGGCCATAACTTGTGGGATGTGATGTACGACAAGGCTTGAAGTCGGAATCTGTGGATGTGGTGGCTGATCAGCATTGATATATGGCGTGTGCCCAGGATTACTTCGGCCCAAAGCGGTTGATCACCAGTTGTCGTGTAACCTGAGGTTAAAGAGGACCCCCGAGCAAACAAGGCGAGGATTAGTGTACTTGTTGCCGAAGAGGTCCAGATGTCCAGTGGTTTGAGGATTGATTACGTACATATTGGTGTTTGTAAATCGCGCGGGGATCTCCTCGAAAAAGGAGTACTTAGTTATTCAGTACCTATGCCCCTGGTTCGGAATATTTTGGCAACGAAAAGACGTCCGATTGGCAAAAAATGACCCTGATGTGCGACGGGAGTAGAGGTAAGACATGTCGTTGAATCGTCGCCGAACGCACCCCACTCAGTGAGCTATCAATCGTGATGCTCATCACTTTGCCAACTAACAGAAACCCACAGTTATACGGAGGAGCGCTGCTAAGGGCTGTTGCAAGTAGAGCATTTACTGTTAGGGCTTGCCACTTACGGATAATGGTGGGGTGAGAGCTGCATAAAGGGACCTGTAGCGGGGATGCTTAGGGGCCACAAGGGGTCTTTTCAGCGCCCTAAGAGGCTGAAGCGGTGGGGCATCACGGCGTTCTGGACTGTTTGGGTCAAGGAACGATGACATCATAGCATCTGACGCAAGCCCAGGCCTGGCCTTCCCTTGTCTGGACCGTGACCAACCACAGGCGGCGCAACGTCATGGCCAGGGCAGAAAATCCGATGTCTTGCTTTCTTCTTTCGTCACTCACTGCCACATCCCGGCATCCGTCCAGTCCAGTCCAGTCTTGTTCATCGTTGCTTTGGATACTAGACGGCTACTGATGCATCAAGGGCAACATTATTGAAGGTTCTCGGCATACCTATCTACCTACCCATATACCTACCTACCTAGGTACATACTCTGTCTTCTTGTTCTGGACCCCAACTGCAGCAGGGAGACAGAATGCAACCATGCTGATGCCCTCTTGTCCTTCTCCTGTTCCTACTACTTTACTCAACTACAACGCCATTGATTGATCCTTTTCTTTCTCTCTTCTTTTATTTGGTCCCAATTTTCATCTATCCCGCCACGCCGATCAGCAACTACCCAACCTGCCTGTACATACCTACCTAACTACCCGCCTACACCTACTTAGTGTCCAACAACATCAAACGCACTCGACACCACATCTATTCGACCGACCCACACCACCGAGAGCCTCCGATGGCCGACAAAGCATCGACGTACGAGCTCGAAAGGAAGGAGGATATGCCCAGTGCCTGCCCATCCTCAGGGCAACTGGACGGGGAAACACTCGAAACAACAACGCAACACCGTCACGGCCACCATCATGGCCCTACGAACGGCCTTGCTCCCTCGGGGCACACGCAACCCCATTCCTCCGCCTCCTCCGCGACAGCTGTCAACATGCCCGCTGGCGTCGACAACATTCCTCTCGACACCGTCCCGACCGTCGAGGACACCCCCGGCCTCCCGCGCCTAAAGTACAACATGATGGACTACAAATGGAAGCTCATCATCGTCTCCTCCCTGCTCGTCATCGAGTCTTCATTGTTACCCATCGCCCTCTTCTACGGCCTCTGGTTCGGCACCGACCTTCGCCACGGAATCGTCTTCGCCATCATCACCGCCTTCTTCGGCCTAGTTACTGGCATCGAATTCGGGCTCCGTTCCCTTAAACTCATCCTCCCGCGCGACGAATATCGCCCATTGGGTACCGATCCCGTCAAAGACCGGTGGAAATTTGACTTCACCCATATGACGCTTTCGTTCGGGTACACGTACATGACGGGCATCCTGATTGGCGCGTCGATCCCGCACGAGCCGATAGTCAAACCGTTGGCGATGCCGGTGCCGCTTTTCTTTATACAGATGGGACTTCAATTGTTGTGGACGGGGTGGGCGAACAAAAAACACAAAAAGGCGCCATGCAGGATTAGTTCGGTCCCCAAGGGAGGGAGGGTACCGCCATTGGTGTTGACGATTGTGGAGGATATTGTGGCGGTGGATGGTGCTGGAGGCAAGGAGTATAGGAGGGCCATCAATGCCAGGTACGAAGTCAGCAAGAGGTTTAGGGAGATGATTGCGAGACAAAATTGGTTTTGGGGAGTGGGAGCGCTGGTGGATGGGGCGGCTACAATGATTGTGATTTGGACGATACCGCAGGAGATTGCGTATGGTGTTGGTATGTTGTTCTGTCCCCATTCCCGGTTGAGGTGTTGGCCATGTATGAGATGCTAACCTTCGGTGCCAACAGCTTGGGCAAGTCCCCTTATCTTCTCGGCGATATGGACCGTCATAACCGTCATCTGGGTCAGACGAGATCTACGACGAGAAAAGGCAGAATGGCGAGCAAACGCTGAGCCGTCATTGTCCACTGAGGACACAACCACACAGGAGATGCAACAACACTCTGTTGTCTAAAGTCAAGGGTGGGGGGAAAAAAAATATATGAAGAGTTTTGTTTCTTTGCAAGTCAGCGTACACGGGTTTGGATGGTCCAGTTTCTTTTCGCGTTTCCTTTTCTTTCATCAGGCAATATACCCACGCAATTTTTGACGAGTCAAATCGGTTGTTTCTTTTGCATGATCTGCTTTTGGTAACTGTCGTCTGCATCTAACCGCCGAGCCCTTGATGCCCAAAGCCAGCTTGAGGTCACCCTGCACGAGGCCGACCGTCTTGCCGGCCGCCATGCCCCACCCGTCGTTTGCAATCCGGCGTCCATAAATTTCCTCATCCCAATCGGTTACTCTTGATGTCTCTGAGGTTGAGCAATTCCCTCTCCATCTCTCACCCGCACAATCCTCATCCCTCCTTCAACCGGCGAATGATTTCGCAAGCCCTCAATAAACAAAGCGGCACTTCCAGTATCACGGCGTCAACGTAGCCTCGACTTCCTCGAAGATGCCTGACACGTCGCCTCACATGTTCGGTCTTGGGGAGAGGTTGATGGACATCCCACCTGTCTTCTACCTTCTCTTCAAAATTATCGAAGGAATTCTTTTTCCTCCCCAACCGTTCACCCCTCGCCTGGCAAGCAACTCCGACCGCCTTAGACCTGCATCTATCGATACTTGCAGTCCCACTGAACCTCAAGAAATATCCATCTACAACGACCACCGACGTACCATCGACGGCTGGCATGCCGTAATAGGGTGCATTCTTATCATCTTACTCTGCTCTGCCCTCCGCTTCTCCGAAGACAAATGGAACATGAGCTCCCGGAAAGGGCGTTGGTCATACCGTCTCGACTGGATGAAAGAAGTCAACTACCCGCCTGAGACTCGCACTTTAGCCCCGATCATGGTTCCTTCACACCAAGATTACCGCCTCACCCAACGGCGCGAGGCGATAAGAGTACTCTTCATGGTTATGGTCACAACATGTGTGTGTCCGATCACGGAATATTTTTTGTGCACTAGGGCAGGAATTTCGGAACGACTGCATAACATTGTGCAAGAAAACACAGCTGGAGAATCATACGCTATGTTGGTGAATGGGCTTTTCCTGGTTTATCTGATCTTCAGATATGGTATCCTTCCTTGGTTCGTGACTGCGGTGGCTAGTGAGAGTATAGTCTTGACAATGCTCCCTCTTTACGGCGACGCGGAAAATGGAATGAGTGTCTGGGACAGATGGATTGAGAGGTGGATAAATGCACACCAGTTGGAGAATGTAGTGGAAGAGGCCCGGTACATGGCCGCGATGGAAGATCTCGACCCAGGACCGCAGAACATGCCAACAGACTTCGGTCTCTTGGACTCCCATGTGCCTGAGTTGACGGTTGACGTATCCTGGCGTGACAAGTATAAAGGGTTTTCCTCAACCGAGTACTTTGCGGGCTTGAATGGAGAGAGAAGTGGCCCGTCGATTGTCACAGGTAGAGGTAGGTGGGAAGTGACTATGGTAACTTTGTATGCATAATAGATGTAGGATTCTAGCCAATCATAGCACGTATTTTATGCGAAGCCCATGCATTGTGCATGCTCTGATCACGAACAACAACCTCGTTGCTCTCAACAACCAGCAAGTCAACGTGTATGATTACGATTCCAGGACAACGCGGCATCACTTCTGCCATTCCTATCTGACTCGATCTTTTCAACATCCTAGCCTGTCCTACCTGCCGTCTCGAACGGAGGTACCGGCCATTCTTCGCTTGTGCTTCAAACGACCCATGGATGTCGATAAAACAACACTGATCATCACCAGGGTGACCATCTGGGTATCGGCTAGCCACCCAAAATGTTTATGACGCGTGATCTTGGTCACCCAGAGCAGCCGGTATGGGGGTGTGGCTCGCAACTGACAACGAAATTTGTAACCATTCTCGATTCTAGTCTGGTCCCGAAACAATCACGACCCCATTGCAATTGCCCTCGTTAAACAGGATATGGAAAAATCGACACTCGAGCACAACGAGCCGCGTCTGCGACAGGATGACCACCCCCGTTATCCATCTCCCCAAAACATTCACGAATCGGATCAAGCAATTCGCCTCGTCTGCATCTAACCGCCAAGCCCTTGATGCCCAAGGCCAACTCAGGTCTCCTGCACGAGGCCGACCGTGTTGACGGCCGCCATGCCCCACCCGTCGTTTGCATCTCGGTGTGGCAGTCGTGACCGACCTTTTTTGTTTACCCGACATCCATCATTCCTGACACAAATCAGGTTCCCGATCAATGTTTTCATCCATTTCACACGCTTTCTTTCCTCTGCTTTTCTCTGCTGCTGAAGAGTACCTGACGACCACATGATTCGCTTTCTAAAGATTTCCATCGATTCGCAATTTTCTCACCGAGCGACAAACTTGAGGTATCTCCCAGAGTCAAATCGCCGGATATTATGTTTATACTGACTGGTCATTATCTGAAAGCGCTCCCCTCCATCGAGCCACTTCCGGTACCTTAACAGGACATAAATATGGACTCTCCACATCCCGAACCTACTACCTCTCCGTACAACTTCGGCCTCGGCCACGACTTCAGGATCGCCCTTATCCCACCCTTTCTGTACTTCTTGATAAGAGTTCTCTCTAGTGCAATGCTCAAAGATCACCCGCTTCTTCTCGACCAACCTTCCTACACAAAGATGATGAAGAAAGCTGCAACGGATATACAACCAACTGTGATCCTCTTGGTTATCTTCATAATCTGTTGCACCTGTCGCTATCACAACTCGAAGCGGCACAAACTGCTCCGGGCCGCCAACATGGATCACACGGACCGCTCGCTTCGCGCCTTTCTCAAGCATCATCTCTTTGCTTCGGATCCGGTCCTGCCGCCGGATGAGTACCATGTAACGAAACGCCAGGAGGCCATGAGGCTGCTCTTCTTGGTGGTGATCTCGGCGTTATCCTGTCCGATTATCGACCATTTGCTTTGGGACTGGGGGGCATTTGTCAAGAACGAGTGGATCTATAAAGCCTGGATAATTTATTCGGCGCTCAGGGTCTTTCAGATTGGGGTGGTGTTTGGTATGGATGTACCGATGGTGCTTTTGTGTATAGACCTGCAGTGTTTGTTTACGGCGACAGCGACCGTGGCGCTGGCGTGGGTGACCTTTGGGGGAAGGTATGGCGTGGTGGATATTTGGGATAGGAGGATTGAGAGGTGGGTGAAGGCTTTCGAAAAGGAGAGATCTGAGGTGACGCTGGAAGAGTGGAAGATTTTATGGGAGAAGCAGATTCTGGGGATGAGCTTGAAGGCCGTTAAAGATGAGGTGGATATGGACGAGAGGAACAACGAGTTGCTGACTTGGCGGAGGGGGATGAAGGAGGGCAGGGGGTATGGACCTGATTATTGGTTGCCGAGGGTAAAAGGAGCGGAAAGGCCGTTCCAGTATTCGAACAATGTGGATGGGGACGCGAACCACCCTAGAGATACTGCTCCTAATCATGTATCTTGGTGTTGGGAATGCAAGGCATACGTTTATGGCCATGCAAGCCGATGATTTGGCCCGAAAGCAGCAAGGAGAGTTATTCGGAGGCACCCAATGTGTTGCTCACCGCACAATTTGGACAAATGCAGTGGTCACCATAGACAATCGAGCGAATCGAATCGAGGTTTTCTCATGCTGGGATCGTGCATAGGATTGTTGCACTGAACCGTTGTCAACATGAAGATGCGAGAACGTGGCACGGCAGACTGAGGGGATTGAGAATGAGAGTTGTAATGTGACGATCGGTGTAACAGCCGAAGGATGATAAAGAGGTGTAGTCCGAGATGTTCGAGGTCGAATTTGTTCTTCTTTCTTCTCGTGATTTTGCTTGCGATTTTAGCTTGATCATTTTTTTCGCGCATTTTGACCAGAAACGGGAACAGAAGAAGTCGTTGGGAGTGGATATCGAAAGCAAGAAGAACAATACCAGAAAATGACAGCGGAAGCGGCAGTAGAACCAATCCAAGTCGTAAGTCTCGTCAACTCACTCAGGGAACCCTCGAGACAACCAAAAGAATTAACGGTGCCGTTCGTACAAGGATCATGATGTGGTTGGCAATCTCGATGTCGACGTCAGTGAGTCCATCAGAGATGTCGAGACTCTCTACGGCTCAACGCAATCTGTCACGGCCAGCATCTTCGAATACCGCGACGTCCATGGCCGTCTATATCAAGCATCCAAGACAACAGAGTACATCTTTCCTGTAGACGAACAACATCTTCAAGGCTACGACCTAGCGTGCGTTTCTCCTTCCTGCCATCCTCCAGGCCAAAACATTGACGAATACCAGCCACGAATACATGCTCATCCTCTTCTCCAACAAACTCTACCTCGCACCCATCTCCAACCCGCAAGCCATCCTCGACATCGGCACCGGCACCGGCAACTGGGCTATCGACATCGCCACCGAGTTTCCCTCGGCCTCCGTAATCGGCACCGACATCTCCGCGGTACAGCCCACCTTCGCGCCACCTAACTTGTCCTTCCAGATTGACGACGCCCAGCTCGACTGGACTTTTCCACCCAAACATTTTGACTTTATCCACTGTCGCTTTCTCTACGGCGGCATCGACGACTGGGCCAAACTCTACCGACAGGCCTACACGCACCTGAAACCAGGCGGCTGGTTCCAAAACGTTGAAATCGACATTGAAACCTTATCAGAGAACCCCAAAGTCCGGAATGACCAGGACCACGTCTTCAAAACGTGGTGTCAGCTATTCTGGGCTGTCGGGGACAAGACGGGTCGGACCATGCGGATTGGAAGGGATGGGACGATGGAACGGTTGATGAAGGAGCAAGGGTTTACAGAGGTGGTGCACAAGAGCTACAAGGTGCCGATTGGGGCGTGGGCAAAGGATGGGAAGCTGAAGCAGGTGGGGTTGTTGAATTGGCATTATATTGACCATAGCTTGGACGGGTTTGCGGTGTATCCGATGGGACAAGTGTTGGGATGGAGTAGGGAGGAGGTGAGCGAGTTGGTGGAGAGGATGAGGAGAGCGATTAGGGAGGTGAGGAGTCTGAGTTATTATACGGTGAAGGTGGTTTATGGGAGGAAACCCGAGGGGGGGCAGTAATATGTGGCTTCATGCGATGGTGTGATGGAGTTGGGATCTTGAGTCGGTGAGTACCGCCCGGCGGGATGAGAGAGTAGTTGCCTGAGATGGCATCATCCCGTCTGGATACATGGCACATGGATGGATACCTCTACATGCCCGGCACATGGATCATGATGGCAACCGAGAGATCCTGACGCCATCCAATGGAGGTTTTTTCCTTGTTAAAGTTTGGAGAATTTCTTGCGTGCCCACAGATGCCCAGATTACAATCCTTCAAGGGAGGAAGGAAGGCTCGGTGACGGCACCTGCCATCCAATCTAGCAATTAGGTTCCGTTTGGTCGCCTGCCTGCCCGGCTCTGTGGCGCATCCACTCCTGTTCCTCCTTCTGCCACAAATTGGAATTTTTCGTGTTTATTTTCTATCCTCCTTACAAGAGTTCTTTGAAAGTTATCTGCCATCCCAATTCAGCCGAACCATGAAGAATCCCCAGGTCGCCGCCATTTCGGAACCCTATCAGCCTCGTCAATTCGTCGAAAACGTTCGTAGATGTCGCGAGAAGATTCGAAGGCTCGGGCGCGAACTTCTACCTCCCGAAGATCTGGTGCCCGACTTCCTCATGCGAGAACCGATCCAAGTAACGACACCCGCGCGTACCCCGTCGCCCCTGCAACCAGCATTGCAACCTGTGCCCCAGTCCTCAACTCCCGGCGGCTCCAAAGAGCAGATTGCTGAGGAGGTATCCACGAAAGAAGAAGAAAAGGAACAGCGTCGCAAGTCGAATGGGTCGCAACCCGAAATCCTCGTTGCCATTCAACAGCGCATCAATCATTTGGAGGAGCAAAAGTCGTGGCCGGTGGTGCCCGGACAACCACAAGAAATCACATCGTTCAAGGACGCACTCGAGGTGCCCTTGCAAGTAGTGGGATCAAAAGCGACAGACGTTGGGTCCTCGGCTACCATCACCCTGATGCAGCACTTCTATGACCACATGATCATGGCCTACAAGAACTCAAGGGCCGATATCGAACAATTTTTTACTGCTGACCCTGATCGCATATTTGAAAAGTTCCAATCAATGTCGGTCGAGGACCAATGGCGAGCCTTTCCAATGATACAAGCTTACGTATCCAAAGTGAGCATACTGCGTACCGCTACAAAGACCACGAATCTTCGTCACAACCCCAGGTTTTTTGCTGTTCTCGGCGGACCAGGCTCGGGGAAATCCACCATCTGCGCAACATGGGCCAAGCTGGATGGCGGCGTTATGCACATTGGTATTGGAGACATCTTGCGTAGCGAGGCAAAGCGACCTGACAGCCCGTATGCCGAAGTCCTCCAAGCCAATCTTGCAAAAGGCGCAATCGGCGATCCGGAGATGACAGTCGGTCTCATCAAGGACTACATCCGCACCAGGATACGCAGCGCAACCGGGCCTATCCACACCTATCTTCTCGACGGTACGTAAGCAGTTCACACTTTGCACAACGTTTGCCGTGGCCTATTGACACCTTGAACAGGATTTCCTCGCGCTGTCGCGTCAGCCCAATACTTTGAGCGGACCGTCGGTCCCATCAGCAAGGTCATTGTCCTCGACATACCCGAGGCGACTCTCATAGATCGATGTCTCCAGCGAAACCGGTCTGATGACAATCATGATGCCATCCGAGAACGCATCCGCGTTTACAACACCAAGTCGGCCGAGGTCATCTCTGCTTATGCGCTTCGTGGCAAAGTCTCCCTATTGAGCGAGCCGTCTGACTGGTCAATAAGGACTTGGGCAGGATATTGGACCATGGAATTGAATCATAAGTTGTCCTATAGCGTGGAAGTCGGACAAGATGTGATTCGACATGCTGTTGCCTGCGGGCTCCTCATATGGGAGCTCTGTGTCATACGCGACGACTGCACCGAACTAAATGCTCGTTGAGAGAGTTTGGGCTTTGCGTTCACGTGGGCTTGGTACTTCTACCTTGTGGAGGCCTGTTATGGAGAACGAAGTACACACTCGGAGGATGGAATGCAACATCGATGAGTTAGCGGTGGGTGAGCATGATTTCACGCGATTGTGCCTAGTGGTAGAGGCCATCACTGCTGACCAAATGGAAATGAATTACACGAAGACGGTAGAAGAATAGAGTAGAGTCAGCGAAACATGGATAGCTTCTGATGTCCAGAGTATTTTAGAGGGCCACCTAGTGAGCGGGTGCCGCCGGGGTGGTCTTCTATGTGATCTGTATGGTCTTGTGAGCGCCAGTCCCATCGTATCCAGGCAGATTGCCAATTGGGATGCAACCTCTCCTGCCTGGAAATCTGCCCGCTACCCCCAAGGTTTTTGGTCAGGAACAACGCCCAGTAACATATTTGCTCGCAGATGCACCAAGACTCAATGTATCACGCAGTCGGCATGTACGTGGTCCCTCTCGAAAGCTCACACATGTACCTACAGCATAACATGCACAGAAGCAAAAGCGAGAAGGAGGGGAATCCAGAGTGGTTTAGTGGAGTTGGTCACGGCACTCGTAGGAAAAGAGTATGGTAGGTAGAGGTGTGTCAATGAACGAATAACTTGGAGCTGCAATGGTCTGGTTTTGATGTTTTATCGGCAGCAATGCAGGTCACTATTTGTCTAACCTGTCCATTTTCTTTTCTTCCTTCAAGGCATCATCATTTCTTCCCATTTTTCCCTTCCTTCCATCATCTTTAACCGTTGTCCAGATGTGTGAGTTGTCCAGATGTCTGATATGATTTATTGCCCATTCTTTTCCTGTTCCAACGCCCGCTAAGACAAATCAATGCTTCCATGCTGAACTCCATTCCAAACCACGCCTCTACCACCAAGCCTCGTTGTCGCTAACGCCGTAACATCCTGCAAGAAAAACCGTGCAAAGAAACGAGGGAATGAGTGCTGCAGATAGAGGTAGGTACGAAAATGTCGAGGACTGAAAGTCCAACCAGACCCAGTCAACAGACAAGCACCGTCTTACCTACCCGACTAGGCCGGAACCTCCTTTCCAGTCGGGTACTCAATGTTCATAACCTTGTGATCAGTCGGGTTAGGGATCGTGACCGCAGCACCGCTACCCAAGGCATGCGGACAGGTAGCCTGATTGGCACCAGCAGCCAAGGTACACTTCTCATCATAACCTTTATGGCACAAAGAATCGTTGATGTTCCAAAGCTGGTAATTCTTTCCCACCCAAGTATCGCGAGAAAGGCAAGACGACAGAAAGTTCATGGAGTTGGCGCCCATAAGCGGAAGTTTGCCCGAGCCATCGGTGATTAGAGATCTGCAGTTGTCCGCTGGAAGGTACTGGTAGTGAACCTCACCCATGGCGCCTCCGGCAATGGCGGTGCCAGGTGCAGCAGGATGTCCTGTGGCAAGGTAGTTCCACGCATCATAGCTGATGTCGTGGGCGCCGCCAGAGTGGTCGATTCGCAGGAGAGTGACGCTGCGGCCGGCGGTGACGTTGGTGAGCTTGACGCAGAGGTTGTCGCAGTCGACTTCGTCGGGCCAGTAGGCTACGCGGTTGGTGTTGATTTTGCAGCCGAGAACTCCGATCGAGGACGAAAAGAAGGAGTGAGGGGTCACGTCGAAGAGAGAGCCGGAACCAGAAGATTGACGCTTGTCGGTGATATGAGAGCTGGGAGTGTCAACGGGAGAGTGAGGACCGAGCGAGGAGGGTGAGGCCTTGATGATTGAGGTCGTAAGTTCCTGGGCTAAGCCGAAAGCAACCAAGAAGGCCACGAAAAGGGAGATAATTGTGTGCATCATCCTGCCGGCTGTTGAAGATGTTTGGTATCAAGGCAAGACTTGCAGGTATGCCTTTCGCTGGTGAAGATATTGGAGGTTGATCTTCGAGGGGATGGCGATGAGGATGGGAAACGAGAGAGGAGGGCTGGTGGAAGAGACATTTTATATCTGGAAGAGGAAGAGGTGCTGGAGTATCCAGATCTACTCAAAAGCCACGAGTAGGTGAAGTGCAGAGGATAGTTGAGATGAGATCGTTGAGTGAACAGGTTTGGAAACGGCGAAGCCTTCATTCACCCTTCAATGCTTCATAATCCGCCATCTGGACTCTTTAGATGAGAAAGTTTTTGGGTGATAGACGTCCCCTTGTTGATGAATCACCGCAACCAATCTAAAAAGAAGAGATAAGAAGGTCACGACGAGGAGAACATGTTGAGTGAAGGGCTTACCTCAACGCCAGGCAGCCATGGGGCGTTTACCACGAGCACCGGACAGACTCCGCCCATCGCACAAGAGAGGCCGTCTGTCTGCAAGACCTACTCGTCTGGAATGCCTGTTTGTGGGATCAAAAATCTTACTCGTTGTATATCTCCATCGCTTGGTGACAACTGGAAGGTTTTGCTGCAAGACAATCACTGCGCCCGTCGTTTGGCTCTAACAGCACTGCAGTTTGATGAACGATTGAAGCTCCGGGTTTGTCATCTATCAGACTCCCCAGAACGGCTAGTGGCAGTGGTGGTGAAGGAGTTTATCATTGTGGACGCACGTTTTCTGTCAGTCTCTCCTTCGAAGAAAAAGATAGAGGGGATACTTCTGTGTATGTTGCGGACGATGTGGTGACATTTGATGTCGAGATTCCTCAGTTACCTTCAAATCATGGGCCCAATTTCAACGTGCGACATTGCCAGTCATTGCAGATGTTTGGCACCTGCCTCAATGCTCTGTCAAGATTGCTTCTGTGACAGATGTGGAGATTACGTAGGTACAAGTCCAAACGTGCAAAACAAAAGCAAGCGAAAAGGAAGTCGCGATTCTACGATGGCTGTCAACGATTTCACTTTTTGACATTGGAAGGCACGAGTTGGAAGTTGTTTTGGTGACGTTATTTGCGAGTGTCTCTTGGGATCTAACTACTGGCTGATCCAGATTCATCATCCTCTCACACCCATTCCCGGACCCAAAAGTCGGGGACTGCACTAAAATTCCTTCTGATTGTTGTGTGTACCATTGAACTCCCAAACTATTTTCTTCTGACCACTCCTGCTTGTTCCTAGACTAATTCTTCCTTTCCCAGTCCAGCAAAGAATCCAGACCCTAACCGACTCGAACTCCAGCACAACCATGTCCCTCTATCGTTGCCGATATATTCCCGCGAGACAAAAACCGAAAGAAACGAGGAGAAGACGCTACCGTCGCATATACGAATGACCACGGCCGTGACTGATAGCTGGACCCGGGCGCTTAGGGGGCAACTTCCTCCTGACCGGTGGGGTACAGGAGGTTGACCACCTTGTGGTCGCTAGGGTTGTCGAGCTTGGGGTTCGCGCCCAGCTGGTGAGGGCAAGTGGGTTGATTCGAACCCGCGGCAAGGCTGCACTTCTCATCATAGCCGTAATGGCAAATGGGATCCTGGATGTTGTAGAGTTGGTAATTGTTTCCAACCCACGAGCCACCAAGACAAGAGGTGAGCCAGTTCAGGCCGTTGGCGGCGGCGATAGGCAATTTGCCAGTGCCGTCAGTGATGAGTGACTTGCACTCGTTAGCGGAGACGTACTCAAAGTCAACCTCAAAGCCACCGCCGGCAACAGCCTGGCCAGGTTCCTTGACGGAGTGGCCGGTCTTAAGGAAGTTCCATGCGTCGTAAGAGATATCATGGGCGCCGCCCGACGCATCGATCTGAAGAAGGTGGACCGAGCGACCTGCGTAAGACAACTTCACGCAAACATTGTTGCAGTCAGGGGTGCTGGGCCAGTAGGCGACCCTGTTCGTGTTGATCTTGCAGCCCAACACGCCAACGGACGACGAGTACTTGTCGTGGGGTGTGATGGAGACTTTGCCCAGGAGAGCGTTGTTGCCGTTCACGTTGCTAGTGCTGAGGACACTACCCGAGGCCATGGGAGATGCGGGAGCCATGGCATTGCGAGCACCGGAAGCGGCGTTCTGGGGGAAGGCGAGGGCAGGTAAGGCCAAGGCGCCGAGGGCCAGAAGGGTGGAAATCTTGACTTGTCCGAACATCTTGACGTTGTAGAAAACTTGAAGGGGGTGTTTTCGAAAAGATCTGAGATTATTGGTCGCGGTGTGGACTTGTTGATGTTTCAGGTACTGGCAAAGACGAAGGCTTGCTTGCTGGTGGGTGTGGAAGAAGGAGGAAGGAAGAGAAAGCCTGGGAGAGGAGGGGATTTTATATCTAGAGGACGTTAATTTCGTTACGGATACTCCAGTCCTATTCACCTGAATGAAGTTGAAGGTTCAAACGCATTCTCTTTAGTGAAGGAGACATGTTGATTTCCGCGAATTCATCTCATGACTTCAAGAACGGCTGGGGTCGTCCCAAGTCCAGACCAGAGCAGGTTCCGTGCCAATGAATGGTATTCTCCATGGCTGGGTTTTTCCACGGCAGGATGAAGGCAACACACTTCCGCAGTACCTGGGCGGTGAACCTTTTCGTCTGAAGCTGCGGACGGGAAATTTTGCTCATTTTATACCTTTTCTAGAACAATTTAGCAGCCATGACCATTTGGCTGTTTGAACTCAATGACTTGCGGTCTTGGCAAACCTCTAGTTTGCAATCCGCTACGGGGCACTTTACAATTTATTTGACACCCTTTACCAGCTGTGTGGACGGCGGGAAGTTTCAGTCACCCCAAACACAGCAACTCTGACTTTGAAGCTCTGCAAAGCACAACAAACCTTACATCGTACTTCCTTGCGGTATGCTATCCAAACAGACAACGAGTGTTCCGTGCCGTGTGGAGACGATGCCGTGAATCTGTTGAGGAGTGACGGCAAACGGTCGGCCTGGGAGTCACCTGCGAGAGTCTCCGCCTTTTCTTGTCGTCTCGAAAAGCGATAAAAAGGGCCCACCGCCCAGCTCTGATCCGTTTGCGTTCCATTCACTCGCACGTATTTTAAGATGAGAAGCAATAGGTAGTGAATGGACCTCGAGGCCGTTGTGGTTTTGGGGTGGGCCCCCAATGGAATAGATGGCCTGGATCTTCCTCCTCTTCATCCTCCATATCTCTATATAAAGCTCCCATTTCTCTAGCACTTCTTCCTGTTTTTATTTCCTCACCATCGACTACCCAGAGCAGCATACTCCGTCCTGCTTCATCTTTCACAAGCAGCAGACTGTCACAATCACTCCCCCAAAGCCACGCAACATCAAGAACCAACAAGATGGTGTCCTTCAAGTCTGTCATTCTCGCCCTTGCCACTACCGGCATCGAGCTTGCTTCGGCTATCAGCGTCACCCCCCACGATCAATACTCGTCTTCAGTTGGCGTTCTGGGCTGCAAGGTCAACACCAACAGGGTCGCTTACTGGCCCTCCTCCGTGGACTGCGACCAGATCTGCGTCGAGGTCACTGCCAACGGTCGTTCGGTCACCCTACTCAAGATCGATCAATCTGGAGGCGCGTACGATATCTCCTTTGACGCCTGGAACTATCTCAAGACAGGCTACCCGGCGGTCAAGGGCCACATCGAGCCTGGCGGTGGCTTCTCTGCCGAGTACAAGTTCGTCTCCGCCGACAACTGCCGCAGCCTCATCAAAACGTCTTCGGGCAAGCTGCCCTTCACTGCTGCGAACTCCATGAATTTTGTCAGTTCATGCAGCGCCGGCCGGAACACCTGGGTTGGCAACAACTACGAGCTGTGGAACATCGCCGACCCCGTCTGCAACCACGGCTTTAACGAGCTTTGTACTCTCGCACCTGGTGCAAACCAGGCCACTTGCCCGCATCCCCTCGGCTCAAGCGATGTCCTGAAAGGTCAGGATGTCTTGAACATTCTTTACCCCCGCGGTGATGTTGTTGATGCTCCTTAAGCGACAGGACATCAATTCCGGTGCGCACCACACCGATTCGAAGCACATCTCCTTTTCTCCTTTAGATACCATGGCGTTCAGAACGGATGGGTCGGATGGGGAGGAGGTTTGGTTTCGATGTTCGGCATGAGCGATCACCATGGGTGCACGGGGTTGGTTGGCGAAGGGTCATTCAAAGTTGGGAGTTCGTGGACGGAATAGAGGAGTTCAAAAGTTCATAGAGGTAGATTTCAGGGATTGAGCACCATGGTGCAGATGCTCCCCGATGGTAGCCGCAATGTAGATACTGGCTCCTGCCGAAAAGGAAATGACATAAACCGTTTCGGCCAATCTCTTTTCTGCGTGATCGTGACTTCCTCGCTTGGTCCTACTCGGCGTCCTTCCTCCTTCTTTACGGAAGAAAATGACTGGGTGAAGCTACGTACCAGGCAACAGTGAAGAAGTGCTGGAAAATGTGGGAGGGGTTGTTTCATGTAGAATGCGGATTGATGCGCTTTCAATTCTTGCGCTTTCATCGATGCCACCACCACCGGGGAAAGACGAATAAATACCACTTGGGTTTTTCATTTGTGTTTTGCATACATGACAAACATTCCAATTCGATTACTCCTCGACTTGAACCACTCCCATGTACCCATCTCAGAACATTAATATTCTGACGGTGGTAGAGGAGGTTCTGAGGCATCTAGGATCCCCCAACAACCTCGAGCTGGGTGTGAATCCAGTCGCCTCCATCCTTACATGACTTCACGGTTCGAATTTCACAGCTATGTGCCATGCGGCAGGCTAGAATTGCGCACGATCAATCGGATCAAACATGCTCACCAAAGTCCCTTTTCTTCGTCCCGACCAGCCATGTCGTGGGTTTGCACAAAGTTGCTCCTATCTCCATCCCCAAGACAGTGCCCTCGGATAATACCAACGGAACTATCCCTTCACTCAGATGCTGCCGTCGTCTGAACTCGGGGATGACTCCCAACGTTTTTGGTCCTGGGGCTCCGAGATGTATCCTGCCAACCTTGAACTGGTCCCTTCACCAGGTCTTCTCTTCACTGAAAACCTTCTCGTCTCGTTTGAACCACTTCAGCGATGGTGAATGGCATTTGGCGAGCCGCTATTCACCGGCAGAAACCCAAAAATATTTCTTCCTTCTAGATATAAAATCTTCCCCTTCTCCCACCACTTCTTCTACTTTCACACTTCCTCACCATCAACGAGAAGCAGTCTGGAAATCTTCCCTACCTTCAGCAAGACTAAGCCCAAGCCAACTTCCACAAGCATCTACCAAGACCACCGGAAAAATGTTGCCCAAGACCTTTTCCTTTGGCATTCTTGCCTTCTTTGGAACTATCCTCTCCTCTGTCACCGCTGCAGCCATCGCCAACCCCGTCCCAGCTGCTAACGGTACCACCACCTTCAGCGACGGCCGAGCCAGTGCTAGATTAGCCGCTGCCGGCGACATCTGGCTGACCCCTCACGACAAGTACAGCTCCTCCGTTGGCGTTTTGGGCTGTAAGGTGGACGTCAACCACATGGCCTACTGGCCTGAGGCAATCGGCTGTGACGACTTCTGCATCGAGGTTTCCTACGGTGGCCGCTCCGTCACTCTCCTCCGCGTTGACAACTCCGCCGGAGCCCACGATATCTCTTTCGAGAACTGGAACTACTTGGAGACCGGCTACCCGGCCTCGGAAAAGAACCATATCCAGCCCTCCGCGGGTTTCAATGCCCAGTACAAGACGGTCGATCCCAACCAGTGCCGCGGCCTGATCAAGACGGCCTCTGGCAAACTCCCGTTTTCTGCTGCAACGTCCATCAATTTCATTTCGAACTGCGCCCTCAACCACCCGAACAGCTGGGTCGCTCAGAATTTCGAGCTGTGGAACATTTACGACTCCCAGTGCAATTTGGGATATAATGAGATTTGCGAGACACCCGACTTTAAGAGTGGCTTCAACCAGGCCAAGTGTGCGCACACCCTGGGAAGCCAGGACAAGTTGGTTGGTCAGGATGTCTGGAACATCCTGTATCCGAGTGGTGACGCGGAAGAGGCAAAGGGTCCCGGTGAGGCTTAACTGCTGAGGCCTGAGTGGGCGGCGATCTTCAAAGTTACAGGTCAACATCTTCTTTCCTCTCGACTTCGACTTGGGTGACATGATAGTTCAGCATGCACGGTTCGCGGCGAGGTTAGAGGAGGTTTTCGGCTCAGAAGATGACATCCTGGTACTATAAGGGCCAGGCGGAAGGTTGCGGTCTAGAAGATGATCAACATGGTACAGCATGGAGTTCTGGGAGTTTGAAATCAGGGAAGCATTCGACAAGGAATTGATAATGGTGATGGCTTAGGGAAGAATCCTCAGGCATTCGAGCTTCTAGACACAGTTAGATGCAGCACATGGTTGATGCTGGCTCCGGTAGATGGAAATATGAATGCATTTCCACATGGCCGGCTCTACATTTTTCGTGTCAGTGATGCCTGTTTGTGCACTTCGAGTTGTCTTGCATGTTTCAAGCAAGAAGCCAAAAAGTCCATAGAGTTCGCGGTCTTGAGTAAGAGTTTTCTGGCATGTCTCGCAGTTATTTTCTTTGTAGCAAATTCGTGTTTGCGGGAAGGACAATCCACAGAAGAGATGAGTACCTCGTTTTCTTTTCTTTTCTTTTTTTTTTTTCTTTTTTTTTTTTTTCTTTTTTTTTTTGGGCAAAAATTTTGCATCAAAAGGGTCATGAAAGACCAGAAGTAGCCACTTGGGGAGAACGAGTCCCTGAGCCGCCCATGGGGAACAAAGAGCGGCAAGGCGGTTTTGAAGAACAAAGCCAAGTTTCAGAACGTCAAAGATAATTGTGCCTGGTGGGGATGCATCCGCGTTGAACAAAGAAACAAAGCATCCCATCGAGATGGGGCCAGCGCGCGGGACGTTTGAAGTAATGGTGCCAATCCATGTTCATGTTTTGCTCCCTAAGATGACTCGAAAGAAAAGCAAGATGAACTTACCTTTACCTACGAATTCTCACGTGCTTCAATAGTTCTGGATGATGTGTCCCAAATGTTCAAGTTGTGGTAGCTGCGTGTAGATGTGAGCTGCATGTACTGTGGTCGCGAGCGAAAGTAAAAACCCCCCTGTCAGGTACTTTTTTGCACGGACACTATGCGTTTAGTACCTACCCACCTAATTAAACTTACCCATCACACCAAGTATGTCTATAAAAAGTGGCTGCATGTCCTAGGAAGAGGTACATGTACCAACACGGCAATGCAGCCTAGCCAGCTTCTAAAAGAACACGAAGCTTGTAAAGTGTTGAAGCAATGAGAAAATATCTCGGACACCTAGGTATGTAATCCGAACAGCGAAGACCACGAGCTCACAGCAGACCGATGGAAGGGAAAAAGGTGTGTGTGTGTAGTAGACAACTCTATTTTTCTTGGTCTAGAGGTCTAAAAGTGCATCTAAAGTGTGCAGCTGATGTCATAACTCATAAACGTTCTCCTTGAGGAGGAAAAGTGCCCCTACCATAGGGTCTATAGAAAGGAAAACAAAAGAAAAAAAAATCGCTGTGCCTCCTATCATGTTGAGCTCCGAGTGGGATTCAACGAGTAGCAGTGTACCCGTCCTGCCTGCACATGTGCTTCGAATGATTTCCCAGATACCCAAGACAAAACATAAACCAGATCTGGTCAAACTTCTCCAAGATATCCCTCCCAAAAAGGGGGGGAAAAAAAGAAAAAAAAAAAAAGGACGAAAAATTGGTGTAAGGGAACCCGCCCATGGTATCCATCAAGAAAGAAAAATCAAAGCTGAAAAGCTGTGAAGCTGTATGTCTTTCGTCGCTCATGATTTCCATGCCCAGCTGACCTCGCCCTGCGAACTCAAGGATGACGCCGACTCGAAGGCTTATACTTTCGTGTTGTTTACGTGGGCTGTAATAAGCCGTCAGTACATGAGCGGTAGTAGACCGTGGCAGAAAAGCGAACTTACTGTAACCACCTTGACAAACTCAATTAGGATACGGAATATCCACCACAGCATACTCGGCCGGCAACGCCTTCTGGATCCCCAAAACATGTCCCGCACCACAATCCGGCTGGTTGGTAACAGCCAAATCAGGGAAACTGCACGGAACATCCTCGCCCCACTGGCACCGGGCATCCGCAACGTTATAAAGCTGAAAGTTGTGGCCCACCCAACTACCACCCTGGCACGAGTTGATAAAGTTCATCGAGTTCGCGGCCGTGAAGGGCAACTTGCCGTCAGGTGTCTTGATAAGCGGCCTGCATTCCTCGGGCGAGACGAACTCGTAAGTAGCAGCGACGGCGCCACCGAGGGCTGCTCCGCCGGCGGCACCGACGCCGTTCTGGAGGTAGGCGTAGGCGTCGTAGCTGATGTCGTAGGCGCCCGTGGAGCTGTCGATTTTGAGGAGGGTGACGGAGCGGCCGTTGGCGGTCACGCGGACGCAGATGTTGTTGCAGTCGACGGCCGAGGGCCAGTAGGCTACGCGGTTAATGTCGATTTTGCAGCCGAGAACTCCTACGGAGGACGAGTACTTGTCGTGAGGGGTGATGGCGATGGATTCGCCGCGGCGGACGGGAAGGATGACGGCGGCAGAGGTGAGGGTGGCGGCCGTGAGGCCCAAGACGGTCATGACGTTGGCTAACATGTTGTCTGGGATTTGTGTCTTTGTTTCAGAGATTGTCTGGTTGGATGTGGGTTTTAGACGTGAGACGGCTGGAAGAACTTGATCGAGATGAGTGATCGACGTGGACTGTTCGAAGCTGACTGGGGAAAGAAAAAGAGGGAATGAAACATGGCTACGCTCGTTGTTTTATAAGAGTTTTAGAAATATTCTGCCAACACCATCTTGGAAATTTCCTGTCCGATGCCTATGCAGAGTCATCGATTTGCTCCATGCCGTTGGTAGGCACAGCTTTTTTTTTCCACGCCCGGAAACCTGTAAGGACAAAGAAAGATGCATGCCCCTGAGCCACCCGCATGGGACAAGGCGAGATCGAACAAAGTTAATCTTCAGGAACGTGAAAGGGAGAACGTGGTTAAACGTGGTTGGTGGGGGGTATATCGCAGAAAACAAAGCCCAGTGGCTTGTGGCTTGCAGTCGAGTCAAAAAAGATGTGAAATGGCAGAATCATACGCGGAGAGCGTTCTGTTATATTTTCACATGCACCAAAGTTTCCACATCAGATTGCCACCCACCATAAGACATTCCCACGTATGCTGCCCGGTTCGAAGTGGGGTCGGATACTGCATCTGCATTTCCTATGCCGATACCAGGACCGGTAGATCCGGGACGCGGATCTTGGAAGTAGAAATAGTCTGGACGCAGATCGGTGATAGCTCGCGGCTCCGGGCTCTGGCCTAAGCTTGTTGTGTTGTCCGAGGGACGGCATAATCTTATAGGCCATGTCTGCCGCTCATGTCCCGTTCATAGCGCTTTGTGTTTCCATCCCAGTCGGCATCTTTGTATCGGCTCCGAAGGCGGCAAAGAGAGTTTCAAGTTGTCCAGGATAAGCAAACTTGATCTCCTTTCCCCCGCAAACCCCGATGCGGAGATGGTCCTTTGACACCCACATAAAGTCCTGGTGCTCCGTCGAGTTGAGACGAACTTGCGGGTGCTCCTGCAGACTGTGCGTAGACTCGACAGACACAAGAAAGGTGAGCTTCCGATATCGCCCTTCGCCTGACGCTCCTTCGAACTCGAGTTGGTCGAGCAGTGCCACGACATGGTTGAGGGCAAGGCCAGTCTCCTCGAGGAGTTCACGTGCCAGGGCGTGGGAGAGGGTCTCGTCGCCGAGGTCAACTCCGCCACCGGGGGTTTCCCACAGGTTGGGGAAGCCATCTGTTGGCGCGCGCTGAATCAAGAGAATGTGATGTTGGTGGAGGACCACGGCGCTGACAATCACGCCCTTGAGTGTGGGGTTGGCCATGAGGTATGTCTCAAGCGAGACGCCGAACTGATGGAGAGCCATGGTGCTGGTTGTACTTTTGCGGGCTGCTTTGAGGAAATGAGTGTTGGTTATGGTCCCCGAGTCAGTCTATTTGTTGGTTCAGTTGCGAGGGAGATTAATCGTTTGCCACCAAACGGCAACAAGAAATTTGACGATGTCCTGTTGGTTGTTCCCGGATTTCCCCAGCTTTTGAATTTGGTCAACGCCTTCCGTAATGGTCTCTTGCGTTACGCGGCGATCACGTCACTTGAAACACCCTCTCAAATTAGGTAGAATTTTCTCATCGCGGTTGCCTCTGTACAGCCTGGGTGAAGATGCCCTCACTACCTCTACCTCTATGGCGTCCCGATGGGGTTGAGGAAGCTCCAAGAAGACCAGTCAGCAAAACAAGAATATCTGAGACTTCCTGAGACTTGGCTCCAGAGTCTTATATTCGAATAAACCTTTGTCGTCGTCGAGTGTCCGGACAGGGAGTAACCAAGATGACGTCAGGGGTACAAGCCATGATTCAGTGGAAGCACGTGCTGAAATGGAGGGACGGGATCTTTAGTGTAGAGGGGTTATTTCCTGCCCCACCTTTTTCAGGGGCCTCAGCGCTCCTGGTTGGCCATTCCCCCTCCACCACTCAGCGATCTCCAGGGTATCAATGACGTGGCGTCCACTGTTTTGCTCGCTGTCAGCATCAACAGCACTGCGACTTCATTTCCCTCGAGACCTTGTCCTTGTCCTGTTCCTGGTGTCCATCTCCCATCTCCCACTCTCAGCCCTACCCGTTCTGTTCTCCATCTTTGTCGATGATCATCCCAAAAAAAAGTCCATCATGGCGACCGATTCCAGCACCCAGACCGAGACGCTGCTGTCCGAGATGGACGAAGACGACGACTTTGTCATCATCACCCACCAAGAAGTCAACGCGGCGCGGCGCCCACGGTTCCTGAACGACATCAGCAATTACATCGACAGCATCGCCGACGAGCTGTGGCCCATCAACAAGAAGATCCACGACAAACCTGAGCTCGGCTATGGAGAGGTCATTGCCCATTATACCTTGACGGCCTACATGAAAACGCAGCCAGGATGGACAGTGACGCGATCGGCGTACGGCATGAAGACGGCCTGGGTTGCGGTCTACGACACGGGCAAACGGGGGCCTTGTGTTTCCTTTAACGTTGAGATGGGTATGTGTGTCTCTTTTCCCGGCCCTTCTCAACTTCAGCCACCGTGCCTGGCCATAGCAGGCATCACCCCAGCACCCATCTCCTCGACCAGTTCCAGACTTCCACACTAGACCACAACTAACAACAAACCCCCAATCCAGACGCCCTCCCTGCCATCGGCCATGCCTGCGGCCACAATCTAATCGCTACCGCCTCCCTCGCCGGCGCCCTTGCCACCGTCCACCTCCTCTCCCTCTACTCTCTCCCGGGCCGCGTCGTCCTCTTCGGCACTCCGGCAGAAGAAGGCGGCGGCGGTAAGATCCGGCTCCTGGCCGCGGGCGCCTACAAAGACCACGGCGTCGACATCAGTCTCATTTCCCACCCCGGCACCATCCCCGACTGCGCCCTCACGCACACGACCGCCTACATTCGGATCAAGGTCGAATACTTTGGTCGGGAAGCACACGCCGCAGCAGAGCCGTGGCTGGGAGTCAATGCGCTGGACGCTTTGATCACGGCGTATAATGGGATTAGCGTGTTGAGGCAGCAGACTATGCCGTCTGATATCATCCAGGGACACATCACTGATGGCGGGGCAAGGCCGAACATCATTCATGCGTATGCGGCGGGCATTTTTGTGGTGAGGGCGGCCACGCAGAGACGATTGGAGGCGTTGGTTGAGAAAGTGATGGGGTGCTTTGATGCGGGTGCGATGGCGACGGGTGCAAAGGTCAAGGTGACCAGACTGATGGCCTACAAGGATCATGTGCCGAACCGGTTGTTGGCGAGGAGCTATGCGCGGTACTTCAATCCGCTGGTGCCCGAGGAAGGGGATGGAGGAAGGGATGGGGACGGGAACGAGGCGGGCGGACCGAGCAAGATTCCAGAGGACCAGGATGTTGATGAAATGAGAGGGCGGAGTGGTGCCAGTTCGGACCAGGGCGATATTGCTCATGCGATGCCGAGTATCATGCCCGGGTTTGAGATACCGCCGGGGCCGGGAGGGGCAGGGCCCCATAATCCAGGGTTTGCGGAAAGTGCGGGAACGAGGTTGGCGTTTGAGAGGAGTCTGAGGGTTGCAAAGGCGTTGGCGGGCACAGCGGTCGATGTGTTGACTATTGATGGGTTGTTGGAGGAGGTCAAGAAGGAATGGAAGCGATCCATGAACGGGAGCAGGTGAGAAACAGCAGGCGGAACGGAACGGTTAACGACGTTATGACATTACGACAGCGGTACAGATTGGATGTAGGTTTGGATACAAGGTAACTGAAAGGTACTAACTAGGGCTGGTCCCCATCTTTCATCAATCAACATGTCCTATCTCCCATCCCTTCTCCTCCCTCCCGTCCTTTACTGTCAAGTTACCTGCATCCCACCCGGCAGCTCCGAGACCCAGCCCTCCGTCTCCTCTTTTACCGTCTGCTTCTTGAAACAAGCCAACGCCTGCTCTGGTGTCTGCGTCTTGAGCTGCGAGCATCCATCACCGCTGCACCGCGCATCCAGCGCCCTCTGGAGCGCGTCTCCCTTCCACCCAAACACGTAGTCGCCGTGCTGGCCATACCCGGTCCCGTCTCCCATCGAGTACACAAACGGCTGTCCCTTGTCGGGCCAAATAGCCTTGTCATTGAACTGCCGAGTGTCCCACATGACTTCGTACATGAGCTGTGGTAAGCGGACCGGGTGGCTGGCGGGGCAGGGGCCGGTGGATTCAAAGGTGCCAGAGGAGGGGTACGCGACGTGCGACTTGTGGTCCGGGGAGTCGACATTTTTGCCATCCCAGCAGCTAGCAACACGTTAGTTGTTAGTGAAGGGAGTGGCGTCGAGATGAACGGGAAACTCACGTAGGAAAGGTGATGGTAGTCCGAATACCACCCGGACACATCTTGTTGGGGAACGTGACGGTGTCGTCGCCCGTGCAGGGCGCACCGCCAAACGGACTCTGCTGGATATTGTGTTCACATCGATGGCAGATTTGCCTTTGCATACCCCGATTAGACCGGAGCATGGCATCGCCTACCAGCATGCGGAAGCCCTGTTTGACATCGATCAGTAGGTACCTTGTCTTCTTCACACACACCACACACACCTTGCTTTGATGATGCCAGGGTACGTAGGTAGGTAAAACTCACAGGCTTAAAAGCAGTAACTTTTGTCTTCCCATCATACGGCGGGATATAATAGACGGTTATCCCTCCTTGCCCCTTCAGTCCCAGGTTCACCATCTGCGGCACCCTTTTATAGCTTCCGTTCTTGGCTCGGAAGTACAAGTTGGCCGTCCAGTAGTTGGAAAAGTCCTCGGCGAAGGAACACGTGGTGCAGGTGGACTGGGTGGAGGGGTCATACTCGACGGGCGTCATGGTGGCGTTGAAGGAGTTGCCGCCGACGATTTGGTGCATGTGCGTCGAAGGGAGCATGCCGGGGTTGACGAGCGGGTCAAGACGCTCGATGGAGAGTTGGGAGCATTGAAAGCGCATCATGGCTGCTGTGGCGTATTGGGCTAGGGTGTCTTGCACGAAGACTGAGGCCACAAGGGCCAGGAATTGGAGCTTCATGGTGATGGATGGGTTGGCTTTGTGAGATGAACGCGTCTGTCTTGGAGCAAAGAGATGTCGAAGGTACCGGGCTGGTGGTTTACGGTTCTAAAAGCCAAGAAGGAAGGCAAAAGGAGAACGGTCTCAGGGAGTGTGATGTAAGACAACCCCTTATACTCCAGTCGTGTCTCTCTTCGCCTCCCATCCGGGCTCATAGCATCGATCATCATATGCCGAGATCAACATATATAAAGACGCGGCATGAACGTCTGTCTCATCGACAACTGCAACCAACCGTGAATCTTGCTTCATGCCATTGTGTAGTTGTCATTGGTTAACCCATTCTGCCGAACTCTGGCAAGAGAAGCAGTATACCCGCCTTGGTGAACTGCCGCATATTGGCCTGCTTTGGTGGTTAAATCCGGGGTAAAGTCTCATTGGCGAGGAAGGGCGATCTGCCTTGAGTGAGAGGTCGAGGTGCAATATATTCTAATGAGGACTTGTACCTTTACCCCGCTCTGAAAACATATGTGACCATAAAGGATTAGAGGTATATAAGGTTTGTCATAAAGGTTGTGGTCAGGTTTGCCACAGGAACGGAACCTTGGAAGGGTACCTACCTAGGTACCTAGTTGATGATTGCATGTACAATCACCAACATTGCCGTTGTCACTCACATGGCACGAACACGGCTTGTTGCCGGTTGGATTGGAGTATCACAGTCACAAACTTCAGTCAGAAGACCAGATAGGTAGAGGTAGAGTAGAGTTACAGTTACAGTTATGCTTAACTGGAAAACTAAGTGTAGATGCTGAGGTTACATGAATGTCCGAATCAGATCAGAACCTTATCAGACGTCACCCGATGGAGCTCCAGTCTCGGTAGTTATGATCTCTTCACATGTGACGGATGCTTCGCGATTGCATCGTCGGTCATCGAACCAGCAAGTATCTCGATTAGTTTAGGTAGGTAAGGTTCACCAGTCAAGAATGATGAGGACTGTCGAAAAGGGGAAAGAGAAGAGAGAAAAATGAGATCATCCATATTGTGGCATGTCACAACATACATGTAATCAAACTTGGAGGAATTAAGGTCGCCAAGCAAACTTGACGGTATCGTCGGCAACCGAATCGAAGAGGGTCTAAAGATCTTTCGGGATACCTGAGAGTAGTGGTTTGCTTGATACCGTAGGCTGACACTTTGAGCAGAGTACCTCTAGGTGCAGGCAGGTTAGGATAAGCCCAAGACAAACCCAGACTCCTACTGTTCGTTATCTTCCTATCATTCGAGTAGGTAGGTAAGTAAGACATGCATGCTTACACGGAAATTGTCGGCGATGTGAAGCACCGCGTGTCCAGTCTGACTCTTCCCTTTTAGTGTAGGTTGACAGAGAGAGCCGTTCAGCCATTTTTGAAGCCAAGGATACGAAGCACGAATTCGGTGGTGCAACTGGTTTTCCAACGTTGCTCACGGTTATGGGTAGAATAGACGAGAGTGGGTTGGTTGATTAGGCTAACTAACGGTTTCTCACCGTGACCACTGGTTAAATACTACTGCAGTAAAGCCCACCAAAATCCTCAAGCCCCATTGCACCTTCCAGTGGCTCCAAAGTCCCAAACAGGCATGCATGCCGGGCGTTGTACACTAGCCATAATCGATCGTGGCTACATCGAGGTACATATGTAGACGGCGCTCGTTGGATCATGGTTCAGGGATCATGATCGTTGTTACACTGCCTTTGTGGCTTGCAGGCACGCAAGATAAAGGAGATTAAAAGAGGGGATCAAAAAAAGAAAAAACAAAAGAAAGCGTTCAGGAGAGAAAAGATGATGAGGAGGAGGAACTAAAGAAGAAGCAAAGGGTCTAGATCGGTGATGCAGGAACGGTCCACATTGATGCCTGTCGCGAATAGGTATTGCAGGTGTTGATGAGTTGGTTGCCCTAGACATGGAGGCACGTCAGAGCTCATTGGGAAAATAAAAGAGGGTTCGTTGTTGGCTCAAGGATTTCCTGTCTTGATCTCCTCAAGTGTTCTTTTCTTATAATTCTTTGATACCTCAAATCATTTGATGCTCAGCACTTCCATCGGCGATGTCTGGCAGTGAATATCAGTAAATCCTTCGTTCACTCACCGTCCTTTTCAGTGACCGACCCCTGCCTCATAGTACATTACTGTAGGACCCGAGCACTGGCGCTAGACATTGCTGGTTGGTTGCCAAGACGCGTGTTCGTTTCTTCACGGACCGGACTTGTCGTCTGCAAAGTTGTTGCCGATGTGACTCGTCCGGTATTCTCCTCCTTTAGGCCAAAGGAAGGCCCGATGTTTTGTTGATACCTATCTTTTCGGTGTGTCTAACAATTTACCGAGCCATGTTAGACAAGATAACGCAATCCAACAACTCTCCGAGGCGATGAGAAGGAACAGTCCCATCTCATCTCATGGATCCCCCATCCCAGTTTTCAACCTACAAGTCAGCCCCGAACACCTCACAACTCGCGCTTACCCAAGACACCTAGACGCCGCGTTTAGCGCATCATCACCATACCGTTTACCACTAGAATGTCCGTTAGCCCGGTACTTTGCATAAGGTTGATTAGGTGGACATTTCCACATCCAGCCTCGACAGCATCTGCCCGGTTCCTTGTTGCCTGCTGCAGTCAACTTTTGGTAAATTATGCGATACACATGTTGTCCGTGAGGTGTGGGACACCTGGTGGGGGGACTTTTTCAGTTTTGATCCGCGATCGGGCAATTCAGTTCTCTCTCCCTTCCCTTGTTCCTTCGACGACCGTGACGTTGTAGTGAAAGTGTCACGCTAACAAATCTTCAAGGGTTGTGTTCACTGAGTGAGACAGGCCCACTCGGACTGGCCATTTTTAGTATTTTTTAGCGGCAGAGGCTGGGATCGATGGAGGATCAGGAACCCTGCTGCATCCGTTGCGGGGCCCCAGGCAGGCAGCTGTTGCAGCCTCCATGTTGTTGGTGCAACAAGTGAGCAAGTGAGAAAATGGTGGAAAAAAAACAACCAGTAAACTGAGCCTTGTGGGCTTGGTTGCTAGTGGCTGGAAAAGTGGTTGGTGCGGATTGGTTGTTTTGTTTTGTTTTTCTTCTCTTTTTCTTTCCATCCTCTCCGCCTTCACTTTGCTGACGTGATTGTTGACTTGGTGATCGATTGAGGCTGTTGAAGTGATTTGTCAGTTGGAGCATCCCCCCCCCCCCCCCCCCCCCTTTTTTTATTATTTTTTATTTTTTTTCCCATCTTTTCTTGGCTAACACAAGTGAGTGTTTACACTGCTCAGACAACTTCTGCTTCTCGAATTTTCGGCATCACTCACCCGCGCCCAGATAGCGAGATACGAATGGCTCGGCTTGGCAACGTATCATGGACTCCATCAGGATCCGTATTCATCTTCCTTATCAACGGGCGCCATGACGTACTACCTTGGAGAACCGATGACCTTGTGAAATGTTTACCAGTGTACACTATCGATTCCTTACCTCCTCGCAACTCTTACCCAAATCTCCCCCATGGTTTCACTCACATGCACTCCTATCGCTTCGGAATCCGGGTGCCTACGCCTTGCGGAGATTAAAAAAGCCAAAAGATGCTCCTAGGTAGCGCTTACGGACCGGGACAAGGCATGGAAGCCCTTGGGGTGAGCGGCGGTCGGGGGGACAGCAAAAGTCGGAAGACGCCACGACGCCAAGTCCAAACATCCCAAGCAGATCGGATGTTCGGGCGGGTGTAAGGCCGATCGCTACTGCAATTAGTGGCGGTTAGGGGGGGCCCGTCGTCGTGAAGCCGTCCAGTGGTTTGTGGCCGTTTAGCGTTATCTGCAGCGTGTCAGCGACTTTAGGTGCAGTGCCACCTCACTCATCACCACCACGACCGCCGCGCCGGGCCCGCCGCCAGGGGTCGGGACTTGGTTGACAATCCTTTTTTTTCATGTGGGTAGCAGCCCTGACGGGAAGGATGGATGGACTCTCGTGGAATTCGAGATCCGATGATATATGTATCGTGCTCGCGCTGGTCGCAGTGCGGTACCGACCTTGGGTACTTGACATAGTTTCATGCTGCTTTGCCTTCCTCCGACAGCCGGCACCAGATAGACATCATCACCACCCATCATCGTCATCGTCATCGTCAAAGGAGGAAGTCGACGTCAGGCAGCAACAACACCACCCAACATGGCGACGACAACAACGATCATGGCCACCACCATCACTACACCAGGACCCATCCTGCTTCCACCAACACCACCACAGACACCACCCCTCGAGGCCAAAAGGTCGTCGTCATCATTTTCCCCCATCTCCAGCGACGCCTTTTATTCCGACGACAACCTGCCAACACTGCCGCTTCCAGCAGCAAAAACCACCCACCTCCCTCTGTCTTCCGCCCTTGGGCTACCCAGCCCCAAGAACACAACATTCACATTCGAAAAACCCCCTCCTCCCCCCGCAAAACCAACCCTCTCTCGCCTGGCAGTCTCATCCCGCCTCTCCGAATTAGGATGGAAATCCCGTCCTCGCCAAGGACCCCAAGGCGATTGCCGACAACTCCAAAAGCCAAACAAAAGTCTCCAAGTACCCACGCTGCTTCCTGGAGGCGTCCCGGCCGTGGTTCTGCATGGGCCCAAGTGCGAGTGTCGGGAGCGGGAAGAGACAACAGAGAAGGCGGGCGATGATGAGCTAGTAGCAAGGGTGTTGGCGCTGGCACAACGCACGGCAGTGAGACAGCGGCTTGAGCAGCAGAGGAGAATGAGGGAAGAGCAGCGAAGGGCAGCAGAAAAGAGGGAGAGGAGTTTAGAGAGGAAGGGAAAGAGGGGTGGCATGATTTGTGGGTGGAGAGTTGGCATACCCAAGGAAGTGACGAGGTTTTTTTCGAGCAGGACATCATCTGTCTCGCTGTCCGACTCCAGTTCCGACTCCGACTCTGACCCCGAGTCGACGACGGTCACCGGCAGCACCAGCATGGGACTCGGATTCGACCAAGACAAAATCACCGATCTCTGTCTCGCCTGCTCCAACCTCGACATTGACAAAATCGTCACCCACCTCTTTACCAACAAGGTCCCCATCAACGGGCGATGTACCATTACTACCTCGGCGGAAGTTCCACTTGATTCTCAACCAGTCGAGACCACCCCCCTCTTTTCCGTGCTTCGCTCTCCCCTCTTCTCGACTCGTCCAAAAGGTCAGATGGCAATCCTCCGACTTTTGCTCGACCTGGGCGCCGACCCCAACGCTTCCATTTCCGTCGTCCCGCTATCATCCGAATTCGAATCCACCCATCTTCCAGCCCAAACACAGCCTGGAAGGCTCACCATCCTCAGCGCCGCCTCCATCCTCGGTCTACCAGAAGCAGTCTCCCTCCTCCTCGAGCGCGGCGCCAAGGTCGACGCAAGGCAATCCAGTCTGCCACTTGGCGTCGATGGAAAATGGGGCAAAGGGCTCAGCGCATTGGACGTGGCCACAATGGCAGGCCACGATCGCGTCGTCGAGATTCTTCTTCGGGCAGGTGCCAACGTGACAGGAACCTGCGACCTCTTTCTCCCCGCTCAACTGCCCATCAACAAATTCGCAGGAGGGAGACCAAAACTACAAAGTGCATCAACTTCCAACCTCCTCTCCAAGCCTTCTCAATCGCAACTTCTCCAAGTGCCAACTCCAGAACCCCAATGGCCCACCCCCTTACCCATCCAACGAAAGACCACCCGCCTCTCAGGCGTCACACCCCTCCACCTCGCCTCTCTCTCCGGCAACTTATCCATCGCCTCCATGATCCTCTCCTCCTCCCCCTCCAACAAAGCCGACATGACCAACGCCCGCACATCCACCACCAACAACAATATGACTACCGGCGGACGAACCCCCCTGCACTACGCCGCCGAATCACTCAACCTCGAACTTTCCTCCCTCTTACTGTCCGACCCGCGCACCGACCCCGACGCGACGGACGACGACGGCGCTACGCCCCTTGCATTGCTCGTCAGCAAGCTGGAAAGTACCTATTCCATGAGACAGCAAGAGGAAGTCGTCGAGTTAGTCCGCAGGTTACTGAGAGCCGGAGCGAACGCGGGAGTAGTCCGGTGCGGAACGGAGTTGTTGAGCTTAAAGGCGAGGTTGTTGGCTTTGGATGATGGTCGTGAACATGGAAACAGAAGAAGGTGGGGGGATCTGTTTGAGGAGGATGCGAGGGGGGTGTTGAGGGGGAGTGTTAAGCGGAGGTATTGAAGGCACCTAGTTTCTAGAGGTTGAGGTTAATGACAAGGGACGATGATCTGATGGATCGATGCATTACAGGCGTTGGCGTTGGTGCGTGTATACCGAATGGCTGAGTGGACCTGATACATGTACTAGGGACAGGCAATTATTGATTGTATCTTCATTTTTGTCTGTTGCATTCGCTGGATACCCTTCTTGGTAAATCAAATGGATTTTCATCAACACAACACAATACAATGCCTGCCTGCCTGCATCTCTTCAGTTGCCAAGCAGCTCCATGTCCCATCTGATATGATCACGCAGACCTCAAAAGGGAAACTGAAGGATGATGCAGTCTCTGAATGGACCGGTCACGGACACACATGCATTAGTCTAATGGCCACGATTAAGGCCGCATAGCAAAAGGAGCACTAATCCAGGCAAAAAAGAAAAGCGTGAGTAGTCCCCTTTGGGGAACGACCAAGAGCATCTTTGCACTTCGAATTAACACTGTGAGACACCGACATGCGCAAGCTGTCTCTCCCTCGCCTACCGGTCCAATCGGTACTTTTGTTTCCCGAAACCTGTCTGACAGCTTCGAGGTACCTACACACTAAGTAGCCTCACAAGGCTGGCTGCCTCTCGTCTATTTCAAGCCACGCCTTACGGTCCCAAACTTCTGGTTCCGGTCGCAGTACGCGCGGCGGTGGCACGTCGCGCAAAGGTGCTGCTGCTGTGATCGGGGCTGACAGAGTGATGTGATAACATGGAATCAAGATGAGGTGACACCGACTTGTCCGCCTGTCGAACTGGTGGGTGCAGGGAAGGCAGGATGTCAAGGAGTGTTGCACGACAGGCAGCAGACAACAGAGGCCGCCACGAAAAGATATACCATGTTATACTAGGTAGGATTCCGTCTTGAAACTTTTGAACGACCGTGATGAAGCAGTTTTCCTTTAACCCATTCCAAAAACTCCGAAACAAACAAACAAACATATTGAACTCCTCCTCCCGATGCCGCCGCTGCTGTCTTGTCCCTTCTACGAAGCGAGTGTCTATAAAGCGAGTGTCGTCTATCCATGCTCCTCCCCAAAAGTGTCCTTTCTCATGACCTGGTATCTGTCAATCCCGCATGGCCGGAGTGCGGCAGAAGCCACAAGCACGGCCTGGGATAACCCAAACAACCTCGCCGTTGGCGGCACATGTCGAACAGCGGATACCAGGCAGTCCCTGATGATGGCGGGTAAATACATGAACCGAAAGTCGTTGGAGCAGAAATCTCAACACTCACTGGAGCCTTCCGAATGCCTTCGCCGACTGCGGATGGAATCGAGAGCGGACCAGCGCTCGGAGCTAGCAGATCCAGCTGCTGCAGACGGAGGGGGACGTGACTTTGAAGAATGATGTTGTTGAGAGGAAGCATTGCGTATAGCAAACGTGTCAAGGAGGGAGAGAAATTGCCGTGGCTTGACTGTGGTGGAGTGATACCTAGCAGTATCTTTCTCTTTCCTACAATTTGTTCTTGTGATGGCGGCGCTTGCTGAATGCTGTGCTTGCTTCCACTCTGTGAGAAGAGACCCGTTGATGGTAAAATCTCAGGGTTTATATCCTATTTCATGATGAAGCATTGTGGAGCTAGGGCCGACAAGGACGACTGACTTGGCTAGTCAATGGACTTGTGTAACGACAGCAGGATGAAACGCCTAGAGGCTTTCCGGAAGTAAACACCCGACTTGTTGCCCTCATTGGCTATAACGAGAGAACCCAACAGAACAAGGAAACACAGTAACGTCGGACCCCAGCCCAACGCTCTCCCTATCTCGGTTAACCAACGGCAGTCAGTCACCGTGAAAAGAGTATTTTCTCCTGAGCGTCAAGCAATGAAGAGTAAGGGAAATGGACTGACGTTCTCACGATATTATCGCCACACGGCCGAATCTTTCACCAGGAGTTCTTGACCGAGTGTCCATCGCGAGCTTCACCGGTCACTTGGTGTGCAGCCTATTACAACGGGAGCAGCGGGCCGTTGGGGAGGGATAATAAGCACGAGCCGCGCCGTAACCCCCACCAACTCATCCTTGTCTTGCCTCATCCGGTTCAACATGGGTACCTTTGAGCCGTCTGGTTGGCATGCCTTTCTGGTCCCAGCTTGAGGAGACCGGTGACGAGGTAGCCTATGAGAGCCTACAGAGTTCATGATAGCCGAGAAAACTCTCTGCGAAATGAATGGGCTCTTCCTGGCCGATGGTGGCTTCCACGTTACCTTGGGCTCGCCTCGATGGGACGTGGGCTGATCTTCCACATATGTAATGAATTGCTGTTTGGCTAGCACTAGCTGCAGCACAAAATCGTGCACCCTAACGTTCATCAACCAGATTGCGACGGCAGAACGCCAAGAATTCAGGACTCCAGCGCCACAATCTTTGCTTGGCCCAGCGTTCTGGCAAGCTCCAGTGACGATGGGGCAACGCAGGGAGTGCATTGAACCGTTCCATTCAATATCGTGGCCGGTCTCCTGTCTGAGGCCCACGCATCAGGTCTGGTCAGGTGCTCCCTCTGTCACCCAAACGGTCTACGCACGCTGGCCCTGGACTGCTTACGCTACAACCCTGTGTCTGTGGCCGTTGGGAGGACAGCTGAGCCAATCTTGAAGAAGAGGTTATTGATGGGTGACAGCCAACCGGATGCTCCGGCACCCCGACCTTTTCCGTTATAACCAGCAACGTCCACTGCCAGAAACCAGGACTGCAGGGTTTTATATCAGTTCTCATATGGCAGATCTCCAAACAGGAATCCGGCACTTTCTCGTCCTCTGGTATCACCATGACTGGCGCGCTTCAACAAAAAAAAAAAAAAAAAAAAAAAAAAAAAAAGACTATGAGGCATTCGGCCTACCTCTTGGTAAGTATTTCCAATGGTTCGAACCTTTGATAACAAGCAATAGGCCAACCATCGCTCAAAGAGGACAATGAACGCCTGGAGTCGAACTTCCGCTTCAGGCGGGATGCTTCCGTGGGCTGGCAGCAGCGGGCTGTCAGCACGCTTCTGGTGCCTGCCCACACGTGGCTGATAAATGCCGCAGCGATTGCCTCGGCAAGGATTTCGAAGTGCGCTTGACTTCACCCTTGTTTTGATATCTCGGTCGTCGAATCAAATCACCCCGACACGCAACCCAGGCGGGTGGTTATTGCTGAATGAAGAGTATGCCGAACCTTGGGCATACCCTTGTTCAATCTTGGTGTAACACTGGGTAATGGTGTGGTCGAGGATCTTGTTGACATTCGATGTGCAACGGAGGAAATATCAGCATAGCCTTCGTGGCTAGGAATAGAGGATCAGAACAGTCTCCAACTCAATGGTAGAGAAACAGGGAGAAGAATTGGGCCAGGAAATCGATACACCCAAGCTCGCAGTCAAGTGTGGAACTTCAGAAGAGGAGGGGAACGGCGGCCGACAACTTGAGAAACTTCTGTCAAAAGCTGAGGGTCGGGCTTCGATTTCGGACGCCCAAGGAGCCCAAACTCTTCATCGTGTGGTTACCAGAAGGAGGTCAAGAACCATATCTGCTCCAACCAGCCGCGAGATCTGAATATCGTGGTAAGGGGGCCAATGGCAGTATTGGCAAGTCCGTCATAGGCTTCCATCGGTTGTTGAAGCTTTGTCTTCCCATTTGCCCCTCTGCTGGAGTTCCTTCTCTTCGGGCATTCGGGTCATGGCGCTCCCATTTGGCATCGATGTTCACCCTTTGAAACACGGGGAAATCGTCAGATGGCTTGTCGTTGGACCAGAGAGATGCTGCATTATTCCGAATCGAACCAAGAGCTGGCTATCCATTTTTGCCTTTGAGGGTGTGTTAGCAACGGTCTGCTTCGATTTTTCGCTTTTATACACGTCTTTATCTCTTTCACGTTGCTAAGTTGGACGGTGAGGGAGGATCAACAACACCTACTTCCACCCAGTACCAAATTGCAACGAAGGCGAGGTACTGAGTACCCGCTATTGGTCCAGATCGTCTTTGACCAAAGGCGTCTTTCTGAAAGCCTTGTATTCGACTGCGTCGTCGCTCGAGGGCCGGTCTTTGGGGTCAGAGCTAGTGTCCGTGGGGCGGTTGTGTAGGCTTGACAAGGGGAGATGGAAGTAATCGATCTGCTCGGATGGAGGCGAAGCATTGAAGGCATCGAGCTTTCTGCATCGGCGAGAACCGTCAGTACTCTTGGGACGCTCAACAAGGAGTCAGAAAGGACATGGGAAAATAAACTTGGATCAGAGAGAGGCAACAGCGAGGTGATGCCTGCCTCGATTTTGACGGCTGCCTTGCACCATTGGTCAATCGCACACAATTGGGCAACACAACTTCGTGCTCGTAGCTGCCAAACTGAAGAGAAAAGATGCCATGGTGGAAGCGTCCGATGTAGCGGCAGCACTTTGAGATGTGATGACCAACCCACGGCAGGCACGGGTGCCTGCATACAACCTCAAAATTTCCACAGACGATGCCCCAAGTATGATAGGTTACCATGCCTAAACATGTAACAGCGAAAATACAGAGAGGAGCATCCGCCACAAGTCGAAACAAAACATGGGGAAAATAAGAAGGGAAGCCATCCCCATCTTCCAAGTCCTCAACATGATCACATGCGGTACTAGGTTCCGGCCCAAAGCTCGTCGTACAAACTCCCAAACAAAACCGTCATACAAGTCAATCAACGTAAAATAACGACCTTCTCGCCGGCTCTCATTGGGATCTTGTCCCTCACATCAAGCACCTTTGTGGTCGCTCTTGCGCTAGCACCCTGGGAAATTGTACAAGTTAACACTTACTCCCCATCCGGTCGACCTGGCAGCAGCACCATCAGCTACATCAAGACCGAGTCGACTCCAGTCCGCGTGACTCCCAAAGAAATTGGGAACAGGGCCGTCTTGAAGGAGGAGTACACTCCGGTGGTGGTGGTGCCGGAGTAGGCCAAGGGACGGTAAAGGAGACGAATGTAATGATATCTTGTAATTTACGGAAAGCAACTGTTTGGTCCGGATCGAACGGCGGATGGCCGGGTTAGAAGGACTGAACCTGAAAGTCAAGCTGACAACGAAATGATGGAATGCATGATCTTGAAATCGGGTGAATACAAGGTCACGGAAACTGGAATGGAAGGCGCGCCCATGTTGACCTTGCTGAGAACTGCGACAGCCAGGTTGGGGAAGGAACTGCTTAGATGTTACAACCGAAACAAGCCGAAGTGTCCCACAGTCAATGCCGCTGAGGGAAGGAAGAGCTCGAATGCTCTGCCATTCTCACGATCAGAAATTCTCGCATTGTCTGCCGGTATCTGTTCCTAATCATTCCAGCCCGGCATTTCCTTCACTCTCTGCACCCAATGAATACTTCTCCCAAGCACAAGGCCAACCGAGCATCCTCCTTTGCAAATACCCGCAACTACTCATGTGCCACTCGTCACCACCAAAAACAATAGCCAGCGTAACAGCAACAATTGTCCACTGATAACCATATTCCAATCTAAACCAGGTACGTATCAGATGACTACATGGTGGTAATGATGACTAACTTAACTCCAGTCTCCAGCACCCAGCTCAACCTTTTTTCCCGCGCGCAAGGCCTCCATGATGTCTTCAATCTTCCACGGCTCGTACTTGTACCCCGGCGGATAGTTGGGCGGCACTTCAAAGTCCTTGTTGAACGGAATGCCCCTCTTCATGTTCAAAACCACCTGGTCGTAAACCTCGTACGCATACTTCTCCGGATCGTGCTGCCAGACCCATCTGGGCATCCTAGGCTGGGCGTTGCGATAATCCACCTTCGCATTCTTCCAGTCGGTGTCTTGCAGCAGTTCGGCGTTGAAGAAGCCCAGCTTCTGAGCACATGCGTTGCGAATGAAGCGCATCCTCACGTGAGCACGAACCGACTGTGGAACATTATCCCATCCGCCGATCTGGAGACACGACGCCAGGCTGACGGCATCTTCAATTGCTTGCGTTGCTCCATTTCCCGAAGCTGGCAAGAACGAGTGGGCGGCGTCCCCAATGTTGACAACACGCCCGCCCGGAGACGCCCACTTGGGTTGAGGATTGCGCCAAAAGAGCTCAAAGTTAATGATGGTCTTGGGCGGAGTAAGCTTGATCAGCTCCTTGAGCTCGGGGGCCCAAGGCGTGGGGACTTTGTTGTCCATGTTCCTCAACACCTCGTCCGACTCGACCGTGTGTGTCCAAGACTCTTTCTCGGAACCCGTAACATCGTGGTTCATGATCCAGATCACCGTGTCTGGGCGAGTCAGCTGCATGGCATAAGTTCCCGGTCTGTCTCCAACGTCAGTTCCCACCACACTAACACGTGCATGGGTAGCACCACTTACCCAAGCCAGGTACGGACGATGGGTTCTGGCTTTCCACCGCCCTCTGGAATGTGCATACTAAAGAACTTCTTGAGCTCGGGCTTCTGGTCCAGGTACCTAATGTCAAACGCCGCGCGCCACATGGCTCTGCCAGACTTCATAGCCCTGACCTGGCCACCGAGGAGCTTTTGCGCCTTTGACCCGACGCCATCAGCCGCAATTACGACATGCGCTTCGTATCTTTCGCCGTCCTCAGTAATGACCCCGGCCACTTCGCGTTTCAAGTCCTCATAATAGTCGACAACCTTCTTGTTGAATGTAATGGGAATTCCGAGTCGGCCCACCTGACGAATATACATACGGTAAACAAGCGGGCGCATTTGAAAGAGCCCAGGAGGAGTGCCGGGATCAAGTCCAGCCTCCCGGAGTCGTTCAGCAACCTTGAGGGGAGGAATTACCAATTCTCCGTCGTGCTTGTAGGTCGCAAGCCAGGAATTATGGAGAGATATCTCGTCATACTCCTTCGCCATCTCAGGCCAGTGTTTGAAGAATTTGGTGGCAGACAGACCCATGAAGTACATATCCCCTGACCAAGCATGCGTAAGCTGACATTGGCTTTGGACACGTAGATGATGTTCGGAAAACACACTCACCTTGGGTGTTGATGTCTGGGCATTTCTCCAGGATTCGGACCGTATGACCTTTGCGACGGCACTCAATCGCAGCCGTTAGGCCAGCCAGGCCGGTTCCCACGATAAGAACATCGATGCCTGAGTCCGGATATGAACCAATAGGTTTGGGTTCGCCTTCCGTGATGTAGGGCATATTGTAATTGGTTTGGGCTGTTCAATGTTGTTCAACCCGAGTGTATGATTCGGGGAAGAAAGCTGATGAGAGCTAGTGACGTGGGGAGACCTCATTAAGTATATGCATACACCCACAGAATGTTCTTTCTGTCTCCTGGAACCATGTAAAAGGATGGAGAATGCACATGTCAGACCCGAAGGTGCCAGCCCGATTCCCACACGGGGATGGTAGCTTCCGACACCGAACCCAAGACCAATGAGCAAACACGTTCCAGTTGGCAGTCAGCCAAGCCTACAACACCCGCCCCCCGATGCATCGAGGCGGGCATCGGGCGGTACCGAGGCGTGGGTTACAGTGCGTCCCATTTGTCAATTGTACATGACCATACATTGTCGTTGATTAATTTCTGTTGGCTGCTCGATTTCTCATCTGCATTGTCCCAGATCAATATGTCCCTTCCCTGATCTGATTGTCGGTTCCTACCAGCTCTCTTCTTTCCTAGACCTGTACGTGTACTTGTTCTTGTTTCGAGCTGCCAGCAGCTGCTGCTGTATACACCGCAGTGCGGAAGTCGCCCTACTGAAGTTTTCGTCTCATGCCAAAGTTAGAAATCCATGATCATCAAGGGAATTGACGACCGGACGGAGTATGTGAGGTATTGGAAGCGCTATCGCCTTTCGCTGGCGCCGCCATTTGCTATTATTTTTGTTTTTCCCTATCGTACCACTACCCATAGCCCGCCACTGCATGCACGTGGCCGTCGCGGCGTCAATCAGCTCAAGGGTCACTGCACGGGGCCATCCTTTTGGGGCTCTCCGGCGGCCAGCAGACCATGAGAACATTTAACATGATGCACAATGATTGCCACAGGTGCGTTAGACAACCATGGGGAAAGGAGCTCAGAAGAAGAGGACTCAGAGGAAAGGGGAACAGATGAGAGGGAGACGTGGAGCGACTTCTGCCTCGGCGGTTGGAGTCAAGCTGTCAAAGTCAGCCAAGGCCGCAGTCGAGACTACCTACGGCTCCCAGGGGACTTGATTGCCAACTTGGAGGGTTGAGAATCTTGGAAGTTTGGGCGTGGGAATCTTGGCACATCGACTGCCAGCAAGCAAGCAGAATGCCAGAAATCCGCTCAGTTTCAGGCTCTACCTATGGTCCGTCGAAAGCCTCGGCTTCGCAGTTCACGAGCTGACCCAGTCCACCGATGATCAAGAATCTACAAACTCTCAATGACAGATCTTTCAATAGGGGACCGGACAAGGTTGAGTCCGTCTCAGCCGGAGTTCTACGGCACTTGAAGGCAACATGCAATGGAAGGAAGGACTGGGAAGGAGGGAACTCAGGAAGAGGGAGAAATCATGCCGCATCTCTGCATGACTGACTGTTCAGCCTTTGGACATCCACAGGAACTTGTTACTGTATTCTGCGGGGAAAGGGGGGCGTAAACAAGACCATGGAGTTGATGACGCTGCTGAAGTGCAAGAAATCCCACGAAGCATTCCCGTCTGAAACCCTCCGCGTATGTGCCGGGATCTCCGGGAGGGAAGGAGTCTGGTATTAGACGGCAACGGGAAAGATCACGGTGCCCGTTTCAGCTGGTCTTCCGGTTCGGCACATAGTGTTGTTCCATGTTAGCTGGGAGCATCGTCATACATTAGTGGGCGGGACAAGGAGCATCCGTCATGGGTTTCGCAGCCCTTGAGCCTTTCTTTCTGGGAGTTTCTCTCTGATCGATGTGTTTGATGTTATCCGTGAGCATCCTCGCGCCCTAACAACTAACTTGCTTACCTCACTCACTTGCAGCAGGTACAAAACAACCTCAACCGGGCTACTTACCTCTAAATGGACTGTGAAGCACGGCCCGATCAGTCCTAAATCTCGTGTCTGCGCGTCCAGGTCCCTGTGGGTTGCATTGGAAGCAGCGCAGCGCTTAGATAGCACGGAAGGTATCATGTGCATTGCATTCAAGTCAGATGCACCCCACAAGGAAGCAACAAAGCGTTCGGCACGTGGGTGGGCATCTCCAGTCCAAGCTTCAGCCACTAGCATCACCACCATCACCACCACTATTACCACGTGCACCGTCTGAAGAATCGTCGTCGGCGAGCTAATCCAATCCAATCCAATCCTATCCAATTCGGTCCGGCCAGCAACAGTGCCCGGTCGCCCGGTGGTTACCAAGTATCCGCCGCCAGTGTCGCAGTCACAGACTGGATGCGTGCCTGTGCCATACTGGCAACTCAGGTTACCTACTAGGTAGATGCTTCTGCCAAGTCTCCCAGTCATGTCCGGTCCGGTCGACCAGCTTGACAGCTTCCATCAGGCTGCTAGGTAGGTACACACCTACTTCTTGAGCGCATATCAGTATCCCAGCTCTACCTAAGAACATCAACTGAGGAACTTTGCTTGGATTGCACCATGCATCATGCTTCCAAAGCGTCAGTCATAAGCAGGTTAGCATGCAGAAGGGACCAGGCGCAGTGCAGCTCAGCGCAGCTCAACGTGCATTGATTGAGCTTTTCAGTGCTTTTTAGATACAGCTCAAGGGGTGAGGATAACAATGAAGATTTTTTTTTTCTTGTTGGCATGAATTATCGTCGAGTGTCAGTTGAGTGTCAACAACTGAAGGCCAATCTTCGTGGTACTGGTTGGTTAGCCAGCCTGTACGGGGAATTATGGCCACTATTTCCAAGCAAGGTGTTCAACCAATCAAACGGGCCGCTGGTCTAGTGGTATGATTCTCGCTTAGGGTTCAATCCTGAGCATTCTTGCGAGAGGTCCCGGGTTCAATCCCCGGGTGGCCCCATTCTTTTTCGACTTTTTTTCCATCGGTTTTTTTTTTTTTTTTTTTTTTTTTTTTTCCCGGCTTTACCGCTTCACAGTTCTCTTTTTCTTCTTTTCCTTTCTAGTCTCTCTGTCTTTTCTTTAATTCGACATCAATGTCTTCCTGTCTCTTCAAAACACCATCCTCATTAATTCCATGCCTTTGTGTCTTTTTTTGTCTCTTCAACTGCAACTCCAGCGATCGCAAGATGCAACTCCCAACTCGTTATGAAGAACATTTAAATGCACACAATTTCTGTACAGACCTGTAAAATTGCATGTGTGAACTATGCTTCCAATTCCACAGTAAAGTCCTCGGTCCAGATCCATGACCACCCCTATCCCTTGGATGAAAGGGACTTCACATGTCAGGCCTTGCAAAAGCAGGAATCAATCTCTTCCTTTTCAATTGCATCTGGTTAAACAAGAAGAAAGTAGCGATATCGTCGCCGATGCAAACACATCAAGAGCACCGCAACATGGCACTTTGCAACCTGTACTCAGTCACGCGATTCCTTGAAGTTTTTGCGCAAAGCCGCCTCATTGCCTGTCATTTGGTGACTGCAATCTCCGCTCCCGATCTTGCCAAAACCATGATCAACACTCCGATCAACCAACTCTAGAGTCCGGACGAGTTGCTGGGTGGGTGCAGACCCCTTCCTACCGTGGGAGATCTCTTGGTACTGACTTTTGGATCCTGATAGCTGTTAGTTATCTCACCTATATTACTTGCATATACCTAAAAGTTTATGTGCAAGCAACTGGAAAACCTTCTCGTGGGTGCCATCCCGGACAGGAGAAAGCATGACCGTTGCCTCCGCAGATGCCTCTACAGCACGTACACCTCGACTTCGACAGTATATCTGCAGCCATGCCAGTTACAAGATAATGGGTACTGGACTTGCCGTCTCTCTTTCATTAGCCGCGAGTCGCGACCGAGACTTCACCGTAACTAACTTGGTCGAGGGTTGGTGCAACTCCCGCCGGGTCGCACAACCTTCCCGTGCTCTCCCATGCCGCAGAGCGTAGAGCACAGAGATGCAAAAAGAGAAAGTGAAAACAAGAAAAGCAACGGCAGGAAACTTGAACTTGGTGATATGTGCTCATGATTTGTTTTGAGGGAGTTTTGTATCCGTATCTGACCTGACGGGCCTGCGTTCCACTTCAGCAACCAAGGTATAAACCCCTCGCAGCAAGACATACACCGTAACGCAGCCCAAAGTTCATACATAAACGTGCTTTCAATTGGCTTTGTTAGTCAAGGAGAGCAAAGAGCTTGAGTGAGAGAAATGGGGATGTCATTGAAGTCTAAAAAAGGCAAGTGAAGCCGACACTCATTCCGGAACCAACTCCGAATCAAGTAAACGTTCTCAGTTATTGCTTGCAGTTTGCAGTTCGGCAACAGAGCCACTGAACGAAGAACGAATGCCCTATTCTTGAGTTAGCTTTTACTTCTCATTTTCTAATGTCAGGCTCCATCGCACTCACCAAACGATCTGAGATCCGTCTGCTTCTCACCCAACGGCCCTACGACGCTACGTCCGGGGCTCAATGACTTTTTCATGTTGGTCTGATTCCGGCGCTGAGCCTGTCCTTATTCTAGAAACTCAGTCGCGCAATCCATACATTCTTCCGCTCAGATCATCATCAGTCCACTCGACTGAAGAGAAACTGGAGTGATGAATTCGCCAAAAGACAAGGAAACACGTGTTGCGTACCTCTGTCATGTACACTGCCACCCGCATCTTGCCTCGCATAGTACATGAAACCGGCGTCTAACTTCTCTCTTTGTGCCAGGCTGAGTCCTGAGAGAGGAGACGCAACGTTGGAAGCGTTGTCAAATGGCATCCATTATTGGTTGGGAGGTGTTCTCGTATAGCATGATGCTCGAAGCTGTGATTTCCAGATGTCAGCGTCGCTGCAGAAATGCTGTGCGTAGGGATCAGAACAACGGCAACGCTCTTGCTCAATCAAGGAGGCGACGGCATGTAAGGGGGGAGAAAGTAAGTGCATTGAGGATCCCGGAACGGCCACACCATACCACCCCACCCTTGGCAAGTGTGATAGCTGCGAAGTAGTCAGCCTCCATTGATCAATAAGGGTTGATGTCCCTCCGCCCTTGTCATCAGACACTTCAATTCTTCCAAAGAGCCGACAATATCGCCATTGACGCTCGGACTCCATCAGGAGGCCGGCGCTAAGTCGTTGTGGTTGCTGAGTGCATTGCGTATACATTGGCAGTCGGCCAGGTGATAATGAGGAGAGAAAAGACGCGGGCGGGCGGCCTTCTCGAACTCGCCGTGTCAGCCCCGCTACTGGAAACAAAGCTGGCAACTGTTAAGCATCAGTCTGCCTGGACAACTTTC